TTATGCGGTTTCATCCCTAGATGTGGACTCGGACCATCAGACATCACGGAAGCCTTCGCGAAGGTCATATCGTCGTTCCCGGACCGGACGCAGAGGAAGCCAGCGAAGGCATGCCGAGGACACCTGAATCCAGATCATCATCATCTAGAAGGACATCGAGGGACTATACAAGAGCAGCGAAACTATCAACGTTCCCCTCACAAGTCTCGAGAAGATCAACCCATAGACAAGTTGATCATCGATATCAAGTATAAGAACTACAATCGTATATTGGTTCTGTTGAATCCATGACGAGGCGTATGTTGGCTGGCCTAAATAGATCTAGAACGATCAATTAGACACTTATCACCAGACTTCGTGAATACGACTTCTGAATATGATAAGATGATCCATGCGCCCCTACTTAGGCAAGCGTCCGATCCACATCCTGTTAAACACAGAGGCTGTTCGCGAAGCAAGCTCATATATATATTTATATATATATATATATACTAATCGGGCTTTGATTCGACACCTTCGCGATGGTCGCGAGGCTAAAGTGGCTCCAAGTCTACTTCACCCAGAAGATCTAGAAGGGATACTTGAGAACTTCGCGAAGTCTCCGGCGTTCACCGAGGAAGTCTCCTCCAAGGTTTCCATATACTCAGCCACTCGTCATATATAGCTACTCGTCCAGTCCGTTCAAGGCGCCGCATAAGTTGATTATCAACTGTATGCCAGATGCCGCCTCTATAAGCCACTACGAAGATAATTGCTCAGGCTATTTACAACACAGAACGCCGCTGTATTATTAGTCAACGACATTTCATAGATCTTCACAGAAATCAACTATTCCGTATAAATTGCTAATATACAACCTCGACGACGATACGATTATCTACATGTGACCATTACGCATATCTGCGCAGACAATTCAATATCGAAATTGAACAGCAGCCTGGTTACAGCGAAAGTATAACTCTTAATCGTCAAAGTTTCTGAGAAGAAATATGTACAACAAGTTCAACGTTAATTCTACAATTATGACGATACATTCATGTATACAGTCTACAAGCTCACAACTTGCAAGTTGTTTATACCCTTATATATAAGGAAGTCGGAATTATATTCAAAACTGAAATTACTTTCGCGACAACCAGGAAAATAACCTACCCAGCATAAAATTACAGAGCGAGATATTTTCACCGGAGGTTTTCAGTAGCGATTACTATTAACCCTCGAAACACGTGGTCACTCGGATAACTTCCGGGAAGCTACGGTGAAGACCGACGTTTATGCTAATATCAACGACGACAAGAATTTATTCAAGGTGGGTTTTTCCGCTACACCGGTGACATCACAGCGGGTATTATACAGAATCAAAATGCCTTGTTCTGATTGGACCGCGAGGGACAACGACCTACACAGAGGTCGATCTCAATTCACAGTTCAAGACTTACGTCACAAGTGACAACTATATATCAGTGAACGAGCAAGCCTCATTACAGTCCAGTTAACCTGAACATTCATGATTAGACTGCCTTTCTTCAAGTTAGAGACCTCCCCTGTCAAGTTAAGACGAGGGATCGGCAGTCAGGCGATTTTACATAAAGTTCAACGAGGACAGACACACCTGGTTGTGCACCTACATCGTCAAGGACTTCGTGAGCGAATTACCTAGAGCGAAGATACAAGTGGATCTAAATCCACAGCGTTTTCAGACTACAGCTGAATTTCATCAAGCGACTAACACAACTAGATGGTTAGTAAACCTACTAAACTTCTGTTTGGAGAATAAAACGGAAATTTCACGCCCAACCTGGGGATATGAATATAGTGCTCCAACACCTCACAAGTGAGGTTTATGAACACGCCTGGATGACATACTTGGACCCCATGATACGATGATTCTATCAAGTTGGCCAGCAAAGAGCACTGTAAATTTATCTCCACCAAACCAAACAGGAGGAAAAATGCAACAGATTATTTCCTCTATCATCAACTTACGCAGAGTGAAGTCTCATGTACTATATCTCCATTTGGATCAGAACTGTCATACTACGTGCATATGCGGATGGACCTATTCCGACCCTCCATGAGCTTAATACTCATGATATTATAGCTTAACTTCTACAATTGTTTTACACAAATGTGATTGAAATAATGGAGGGTTATTTCTGAAATCCGATATGGTGGTTGCAAACCATTATCTGAGAGATATCACCACCGAGGGCGTCTCAGGTATACACCAATTCGATCCCATGGTCCCTCGCACAACAGCTGACAGTTCCTCGGAGAAGATAAGTCAATCTAACAGATTTTTACTTATCTTATAACAATACTAAATAGCTTCATGCTATGTATAATTTACTTAAGTTCCTTTTATCATCACAGTACTATGATTATTACATCATACAATATATAAGTTAACAACTCTACAGAGTTTGTTATTATATATATTTACCTTAAGTTATTCATATCTTAAGAGTAATACTATGGTTACATGATAAATGCATTAGCTAACAAACTCTACAGAGTTTTTGGCTATTTTATACATAGCTTAAGTTAATTAAGCTAACAAACTCTACGGAGTTTTACTATTATATAGGTAACTTAAGCTAATTATACCTTAAGCATAGTACTATACTCATATTATTAAAATATATTGGCTAACAAACTCTAAGGAGTTTTGCTATTATATAGGTAGCTTAAGCTTATTCATATCTTAAGCTTAGTACTATGTTTATATCATATAAGTAGATTAGCTAACAAACTCTAAAGAGTTTTTTGCTATAAGTATCATCATATTTCTAAGCAATATGGTTATATTATAACATGTATTAGCTAACAAACTCTACAGAGTTTTAGCTATTATATATGTAACTTAAGCTTATTCATATCTTAAGCGCAGTACTATGTTTATATCATATAGGTATATTAGCTATCAAAACTCTAAAAGAGGGTTTTGCTATTATATATTTCGCTTAAGTTTCATCATATTTTAAGCTTTATGGTTACATTATAACATGTATTAGCTAACAAACTCTACGGAGTTCTTGCTATTATATATGTAGCTTAAGTTTTCCTTCATAAGCTCAATACTAGGTTTATATCATAGCTAACAAACTCTAAAGGGTTGTTTTAAGCTATTATACAATTAGCTTAAGTTTCATCATATCTTAAGCAGTATGTTTACATTATAAAGGTATTAGCTAACAAAACTCGATGGAGTTTTGTTATTATATATATATAGCTTAAGTTTCATCATAACTTAAGCTCAGTACTATATGTTTTTAACATAAAAGTATATTAGTTAATAAACTCTAAGGAGTTTATTTTGCTATATACTTTTAGCTTAAGTCTAATCTTATCTTAAGCTTAGTACTATGGTTACACTATAAACATATTAGCTAATAAACTCTACAGAGTTTTTGGCTATTATATATGTAGCTTAAGTTAATAATATCTTAAGCACAATACTATACTCATATTGTAAAATATATTAGCTAACAAACTCTCACGGAGTTTTGCTATTATATATGTAGCTTAAGTTCATTATATCTTAAGCACACTACTATACTCATATTGTAAAATATATTAGCTAACAAACTCACGGAGTTTTGCTATTATATATGTAGCTTAAGTTAATTATATCTTAAGCACACTACTATACTCATATTGTAAAAATATATTAGCTAACAAAACCCTACAGAGTTTTTTATATATATGTAGCTTAAGTTAATTATATCTTAAGCTCAGTACTATACTAATATTATAAATATATATTAGCTAACAAACTCTACAGAGTTTGGCTATTATATATGTAGCTTAAGTTAATTATAGCTTAAGCACAGTACTATACTCATATTATAAAAATATATTAGCTAACAAACTCTACAGAGTTTTTGCTATTATATATGTAGCTAAAGCTTATTCATATCTTAAGCTCAGCATTATATCTATATCATATAAGTATATTAACTAACAAACTCTAAAGAGTTTGCTATTATATAATTAGCTTAAGTTAAATCATATCTTAAGCTTAGTACTATGTTATATCTTAAAGTATTTTAGCTAACAAACTCTAAGGAGTTTATACTAGCATATTAACAAGCTTAAGTCTATTAGTCTTAAGCATTGTATTAATGTTATATATACTTTATCATAATAAGTACATGGTAATAACCTTTTATATGGCAGCTGATAAGTTAGCAGCAGGAATTCATCAGTTCAGTGCCTTTATGAAGTTCCCATAGGGTTATTACAATCATCACAGTTCAAATCACTAATTATTAAAAATCCAAAGTATTAGATATTCCCACCTCCGTTCCGTAGGATGCTACAAGCAAAAAAGAGCATGAGTCAGGATAAGGAAAAATATGTAATTTTTGGAGTAAAATTGATATTTTATACTTATCCTGACTCATGAGGTCAGCCCTCCCATCCTCCCCAAATAACACTTTGGATTTCCCTGTAAATTCAAATGTTGGGCTCAGTATATGAGGAGAGAGTGAGGCACATGGGTAGAGGTGGCGCCCTCGTTCCCGCGCTTGTGGAAAGGAGGTAACTCGTGGTGAATACTAATTAGTGATTTTAAATTGAAGGGAGCTTCAATTAGGGAGATACAAGTGTTCCACTATGTTCGCAAGAAGAAGAAGACAAGCAAAAAGAGCATGAGTCAGGATAAGTATAAAATATCAATTTTACTCCAAAAATTACATTTTTTGCAACACCTTAAAACTTTAGTATGTGGTTTATTATACTTATAAATCATGAATAAACATCATAATAAAATTAATTTTAAATACCCAGGGAATTTAATGATCAGCTGAAACCTTTGAAAGTTTTGCACTTCAGATCATTTTCATATTGATAATGATTAGCTATGTAATGTAAGAACCCATTCAAAATGTAATTTTTAATGTCAGAAATTGTACTGTAAGTTTAAATAGATTCAGTGTTTGGTCAGAGTTAAAACTTAGTTGCCATGGTTACTGATACCTGGTGTGATATGATTTCAGTTCTGCAACATGATGATGTCCACAGCAGATGAATGTAAGAAGATGTCATTAAAGATGATGGACAAGAAAGAGAGAAAGAAGAGACGGACGAGTAATACTCCAAGGAGAGGTAAACCTTTTCAAACAACAGGTTCTTTTTATTTGATAAAATGGCAGTTTATGGACTTATTAAAAAAAATCAGAAAATATTTAAAGAATTCAAAATTTGAGTTCTTTGTCTTGTCATATATATCAGAATTGTAGCTTTCTTTAAAATTTCTGATTCCTTTCCTTAAGAACTATGTAAAAAGGAATTACTTTTCAACCACAACAAATTAATTATTTCTTCTTTTTTTTTTTTTTCCTAATTAAGGATACACTTTGTAGGCATTAATGTTTGAATAGCAATAGTGACTGGTATCAAAGACTTATGAACATTGACATATTTTTAGACATATATTGATGCTGCATTAATGGGTGAAATAAACATGAGTAGAAACTGGTCATGTAATGGAAATATATGACCAGTCCCATGGGCACTTGTACAGTATCATCACTGATATTAAACTTTAAAGGTTTTTCCTTTTCTCTGGCTAAGGATTTTATAAGAGTCTACACTTTTTCTTGCCACATATTGTTTGGTGAGGGATACATTAATTGACTGATGATCTTATCTGTTGATGGCCTGAATTCCCACTATGTCAAAAAACTACAGTTGAAAAACGGATGAGGAAATTTAAAAGACAAATATTTAATTTGTTGTGGGTCTTATAGAATGCATGCGATAGATTAGATTGAATTTATGAAATGAACGTCCTCCATGTGGATATTGATCTAGGTGATGACGAAAATATTCATGGGTCAAGGACGTCCCTGAGGTCAAACTCGTCAGTAAAACGTAAGATTGTGTGACACAATGTTGGCGATGTTATATAGCTTGCTTTGTTGGATGAATACTTGGACAATTGTTTGTTAGTAACTGACAACATTGAATTATGCATGCTGTTAGTTACATACTAACCACGCTTGTTGCAGCTATGAATGCACAATTAGGGTATGAGCACACTGATTATGGTACATGTGTGATTAAATCAGGATGAATGGTAAGTTCTGTGACAGAAGTAATTGCGAAATGTCCCTATCTAAAGTTTTGTTATTTTGGAAAATTATCAAAATATAGATTGGATTATGTGGTTTCATTCATGTAATTATTCTTCAACCATCAACCAGAGGAGGTTCATGATCATGATGATGTTTCAGATATAGCTGTGATCATTCTTTTTCCTCATTTGAAGTTTTTGTATGTTAAGACCATGATTTACGTTCATAGTAGGTTTGCAATAACAATAGTTTGCTCAGAAGGGGAATGATTATGTTTTGATAGTTCTACTTTTATTTAATTGACCATGACTACTCAAAAGAGGGATGTGAGCAAGTTGTGACTATTGGTAATGATCATCATTTGGGACTTTCTTGAGAGAAGGGGTGGTGGGGTAGTGGTTAAAGCGTTGGCTCGTCATGCCGAAGACCCGGGTTCGAATCCCCACATGGGTACAATGTGTGAAGCCCATTTCTGGTGTCCCCCGCCATGATGTTGCTGGAATATTGCTAAAAGCGGCGTAAAACCAAACTCAGTCAGTCAGTCAGTCAGTCTTGAGAGAAATTGAGGCTGCCTGGGATTAAATTGTCATCATTCATTATCATCATTATTTTGTCATCCTTCATCATGTCAAGAGATTTAAGAGTAACCTGTGTATAGTGGTACCCTGTTAATCTGTATGTAGTGTTCCTATTGAAATCACCCTGAATAATGCTTTCTGGAATAAGTGTGTCCAGATGGTGTCCAGATTATCAAAGTCCAGACTAGTGAGATTATCAAGGTCCAGACTAACGAGGTGTCACTGTATTCATCATCTTTATTATACTGCCAGAATTAGAAACATTTCCATGCCAATTTGAAGATGAACAAGAAATTCATTACAAGGATATTCAGCATGAAACTGTTGATTAATTACTAACAGCATGGCATGTACTGACTAATTAGATGTGTTTTACAGCATGGTGTGTTCATGTGACAATACTCAAGATGTTTGTGCATTGATGGCAGTGCAAGGGCCACAGTGTTGCCATCAGTGTTTGGTGTATATAGTCACTTGTATCACAACACAATACTGATGACCAATGACAGGTCTTGCTATAATGTATAAACATGTAGTGATAAGGAAGGACATAATAGTGGGATGAAGTCAACTTGTGAGTAAGGGATCTAGCAAAAACAAAATGCTGTTGCTCTAGTCACTCAATCTATTGTGTTTGTTTCTTTTGACTTTGCCAGGTTTTTTTACAATGGCTAACAGAAATTTATTGAACACAATAAAATTCAGTCATAAAGAACTGAAACGGATCACTAATTTTAGTTTGTTAGTTCATTACTGGTTCACGCATTTTGACTAAAATACACAGCAACAGGCTTGAACCCAAAACATAGTTTGTTATATCCTTCAGTTCATCATAAATATAGTTTGTTATATCCTTCAGTTCATCATAAATATAGTTTGTTATATCCTTCAGTTCATCATAAATATAGTTTGTTATATCCTTCAGTTCATCATAAATATAGTTTACTGTGTACTTTTCTAAATATTGTTTGAATACTGATTATACCTCAGCATGAAATCAAGAGCGGAAAGTAACAATGGCCAAACACAGCGAGTTTTGAGACAAAGTGTTCCTGATGCCAGAACCATATGATTATTTTGATTTAACGTTGTATGTGTGTGTGTGTGTGTGTGTCTGTCTGTCTGTCTGTCTCTCTCTCTCTCTGTGTGTGTGTGTGTGTGTGTGTGTGTGTGTGTGGTCACAACAACTAAAGTTAAATTTCTTCTGATGTATGAAAGTTATACTTAATATGGATTTGTGTAGTGCAGCATTCAAAATTACGTGGGGTAGGGGAAGGGATGGTCCTGGATTTGAATTAGGTTGCCCTTAAATTTTTAATTTCTAACAATTTGGGTCATGACAAAGACCTCTTGACTTTCATGCATAATTTTGAACACTGGCATTGAAAGCTTATCACTGTCACAACTAACAGCATGCTGATATCACAGGGTCTTCGACATCACGGAGGTCAAGCTCCATATCATCACTTCTGTCACATGAAGCATTTACAGAAGGTATACTTGTACTGGTGTATGGAGTGTTTGTGTGGGAGATGTTTTGTCTTCACTGGGGGATATCAAGGTGTCTGGAGTGGGTATTGTAGTGTTTTGTAATTAAATGTCTACACCGAGGAATAGCGAGGTGTCAGGAATGGGGATTGCAGTGTTTTATGTGGGAGATGTTTTGTCTAAGGTGTAGTTAACATCTTGGGAATACTTGGAAAGCTGTTCTCCACTGTTGCTTGTTGTGTCGGGATCCTGCTTACTGGGTTGTTGTTTTGTCCAAAGGGGAGCTAACTGTGTAAGGCATGTTATCTTGTCAGAATTGTTGTATCCCGAATGGAGATTGTGGTGTCTTTAAAAGGTGTCCGTTTCTAACAGAAAGTAGCAAGGAATGAATATGTGTGGGGTGTTGAGGGTTACCAAGCCATATGACTTTAACATTACATGCAACTTCAGTAGGGAATGGGGGCCGTGGGGTAGCCTAGTGGTTAAAGCGTTGGGTCGTCACACCGAAGACCCGGGTTCGATTCCCCACATGGGCACAATGTGTTAAGCCCATTTCTGGTGTCCCCCGCCGTGATATTGCTGGAATATTGCTAAAAGCGGCGTAAAACCAAACTCAGTCAGTCAGTCAGTAGGGAATCAATTGATGATGACTTTAAACATTGGGTGGGAATCTGTTCGTTCACATTTTTTAGGCCACAGAGGACGTCACATTATCAGATTATGATTAGGCATTATGATACATTTTGTACCAATTGACGCAGGATGACATATTACGTACAACTTTAGATATTATGACGCCTGATGTACAATTTGAAGCGGGATGTCACATTGTGTACCATGTGAGGCAGAAGATACATAATATACAATCTGTGGCAGAATGACACAATCTGTTTGAAGCAGGATGTACTGTTATGTACAGTTTTAGGAGGGATTAATTCTGTCATTGTCTCATGTACAGGGCGGTGGGGTAGCCTAGTGGTTAAAGTGTTTGCTCATCATGCCGAAGACCTGGGTTTGATTCCCTACATGGGTACAATGTGTGAAGGCCATTTCTGGTGTCCCCCGCCGTGATATTGCTGGAATATTGCTAAAAGCCGCGCAAAACCAATTTCACTCACTTACTCTCATGTGCAACTTTTAAGGAACTTCTTTGGGTGCACTAGTGGCTAAAGCGTTTGCTTGTCACGCCGAAGACCTGGGTTCGAATCCCCACATGGGTACAATGTGTGAAGCCCATTTCTGGTGTCCCCCGCCGTGATATTGCTGGAATATTGCTAAAGGCGGCGTAAAACCAAACTCAGTCAGTCAGTCTTTGGGTGCAGAAGCACACAGCTCAAGGCACCTGTGTTAGGTGATACACCACATTATGTGGATATATAGTTGGAATTGTGGAATTGATTGTTGAATCTGGGTTACCAATTGTTCCTGCGTGTTTCATTTGTGTAACTAATGAACAGGGGAGCTAACTCTGTGTGTGTTTTACACTGTTAACATTCATGTGGTATCCATGTCCATATAGTTTCTGTGTATTCAGATAACCTAGAAAGTATTTGAATTAACAAGAAGTGTGTTTTGTACTTGCCCTTCTGTGTACAATCTGTTGTAATTATGTAAAGTCTTTACCAGCTTAAATGTCGCCATATATAAAGCAACAATATATGATCATTAATGTTCATGTGTAAAAACATCAGGTTTTTGCAGCCTCTATCAATCATGCTCTTGACCCTTCTGTCAATACTTGACATTGAGCTAGTTCATTTGTTGTATCAAATTGCCCATGTATTTAATATAGTCATGTCAAGTAAGAAACACCATTGTGACAGGTATTAGCTGTAGGGGGCAGCGTGTATTATCCACCCTGCTGAATGTAAACATCACTGTATCACTGGTTAAGTAGTCTCTATGACTCCCTGAAAATTTATTAGGCAACCAAAATTGTTACACTTTGATTGAAAATTGAAATTCATTTGATTATAATTACTTAAAATCACTTGTATATCCCTTTTACCCTTATTAGGCCTGACAATTCTGTGTTTCCTTGCTGATTTATTTAGCTTTTTCCCATGTGCTTCCTGTCTTTGTGTTACAATATACATGTGTGACATCAATCACTTCTCTGCACCAGCCCCTACAGTGAAAGCTGACTCACAGTTGTCTGTGAGGTCCAGCAGAGCAAGCAGATGTAACTACGGTAACAATGTCTGCTGTGGCGCTGTGATCTAACTCTGTATTTGTCTGTGTTATGGTCTGTTTATTACCTCTAACAGACTTTCTCACTTTACTTGAGATAGTAATAAACATACAGGGGAGATTTCTATCCTGTCAGATATTTCCTCTTTGAATAGCTCTATTTTCTTCAAATGGTGTTTGCGAACGTTTAATTTGAAACTAATCAGAAATGCATGTTAAAATATGGTGAGAAACTTAAACAGATCACAAAAACAAGACAAAATAGATTTAAATTTTTTAAAAACCCAGCAAGTTTTTAAATGAATACAAAATTTGATGTGAACAAAATATTGCAAAGAATTGTTTTAAAACCCATGGTCATTTTGGTGAAGGGTTTTGATAGAAATTTCCCTGTGGTATGTGTGAGAAACGACAGGTGAGAGTTTTGGGGTGCAGTGTGGAGTGTTCTTGTGTTTGTAGTTGTTTATCTTTTCATTACCTTGATTACTTACTATGCCCAGATATCAAGTTTATTAAGTCTCTGAATCAGCATGGTTAAAAGTATCCTGGTTGTAATAGACACATTTTCTGTAGAGAATCAGCATGATCAGTTTGAAGTGTGGCTCAACAAATTCTAATACAGTAAAGTGACAATTGCTATCATTTTTACAAACTATTGGTTGCAGGATTCTATACGTTTATATTATACTTAGCGTTACTCATAGTACCACATGGCATCTTTTAACAGATTGCAGAGAAATTATTTCACTCATGAAGCATGTTTGGATGTGTATCTCTTGCATACCCATGAGTACAAGATACTTTCTTTTATGAAATGTATTTAACAGTTTAGTAACATGAAATGTGCAAAGTAATCACTTTACAATATAATTGTGTGACATATTTGGAGGATAGTTTGGAGATGTAAATGAAAATTGTCTATGTTATATTGATCAAGTAGTTCCTAAACTTAAAGGACCCATAAAGGTCCAGGTTAGAATATTGATCTTCAGTAACCCATGCTTGTCGTAAGAGGCGACTAACGGGATTGGGTGGTCAGGCTTGCTGACTTGGTTGACACATGTCATCGGTTCCCAATTGTGCAGATCGTTGCTCATGCTGTTGATCACTGATTATTTACAGACTGCCGACATATAGCTTGAATATTGCTGAGTCTGCGTAAAACTAAACTCACTCACTCCTAAACTTAAAGCTTCGACCTTATTGTATGCTTGTAGTAGTTCACTATGCAAACACAATTTTGTACAAGTGTATATGCTGAACTGGCGTATTTTCATCATCTCAGATGAAATTGAGGAGGATATACAGGACGACCTTGACATTAAAGAAGACATCATGCTCAGTTCAAGGTCATCTGTGACTAGGTCACCTCGTAAATTGCGTAAGACAAATAACAATTTAATTATAAATACATGTCAGCATAAAAGATTAAGCAACAAGAATTATCTGTTTCTGTATCTAAGCTTTAAAGTTATGAAATGATGTCAAATTAATTAACTTCATAATAACATTGAATTTTCTTTATAAATCCTATGTGTACAGCACCAACTGTGTAACTGCAATTGATAGGCATTCTGTTAATGTACAACTGAAGCATCCTTTTAACTTCAATACTTCAATTCTTTTGGCGAAAATAGAATTTTTTAGTTTTATCCTGGTATGAATGAAACTTCACTTCAGCTCTAATTTTAACTGTGGTTATAACAAACTCTAGTTGACCAATAATTTAAGTTTGTTATAATCATAGTTCATTATACTGTCTGCCGAACAATTATCACCGCGTAACAGTTATCGCCAATACATCCGTATCACGCATGCGCAGTTCCGGTTACTTACACTTCTGTTATTTTTTCACACAGTATTTGTCACCATTAAGGGCAGCAAAAGAAAATTGTTCACAACAAGTAACATAAGAGAAAAAGAATTTTTTTTATCGTGTCACACGATCTATAACAGCAAGTTCAAGTTCACAAAAGTCATTAATTGTTTCATTCCCTGTCAATCTGCTGTGAAAAAACACTCAACTAGTCACACAATCAATCAATTATTTTATCATATAAATATATATTATTTCACACATGACATGAAAAATTCTGAAATGGCGATAACTGGTACAGTTAATTGTGAGAAAACATCTATTTGTAATGCCATGATTCCCTTCTGCCACGTTATATATAACAATATCGACGACAGTGAATGGGCTGGACACATCGGTGAATAGCTAATTAAGTATCATAATTAATTCTGTTTCATTAATTTAACGAATGGTGGAGTAATTTTGTAAATACCGCTAAAATATGGCGTTAACTGTTCGGCAGCCAGTACACATTTCAACTAAAAGAGAAATCAAGTGGCGGGTAAAAAACCAGTTTGTTATATCCGTCAGTTTGTTATAAGTGTGTTCATTATAAACAGTTTTCTGTCCTCTTTTATTGAGGTAAAGTGATGCTCAGTCAACTGAAATAAGTGGTGCTGTAAACAAATTTCCCAATGTATTTGTAATTTTCCACAAATCCATGAATGGCCATCTATTGGAGATTATTCCCATGTATTTTGGTTATCCCAGAACCACAAGAGAAACCCGGATCTCTTCTGTCGTTAAGATCCAATCGTAATCCACACACAGAGGAAGGTAACCATGTATTTTGCACCTAGCTTGTCGCTTCCTGTAGCCTGTGCAGTGTTACAGCAGGGGGCTCTCACTTCCTGTACGAGACTGTACAATCCAAATTGGGCATCGGAAATACATGTATCACTGTTGGCAGTTCATTGTTGAAAAGGCTTCTGTGAACACTTCCTTTTATCATCAAGACTTGAGAAGGACATGTGAGGGACGCAAAGTGTACATGGACATTCGGTATTCTGTAAATTTTAAGGATTCGTGAGACAAGACTTGCAGACAGAGTAACCTCCCTTGAGTTGTCAAACATTCTGATTTGGATTTAAATAGGCTGCTATAACGATAAATATGTTAGGGGGAAATGTCACTTAGTAAGGTTTGAAAGTTTGCGTAAATGTCAGTTATGTTGTTGTTAAATTGTGGAAATTAATTCCTTATGGCAAATGATTAAAGCAGTTCATGAAGACTTATCGTGACAATGATGGAGCACCTTGCTGAAACACTGCATTAGGTGACGTGGGGAATGAGTGGTACATTGTGTTCAACTACCTTAGGTTTTGTAGATCTTGTACTATTGATGAATAACACCCTGAATCTTAATGTTAACTCAGTCCATATAATTTTGCATTTATGTTTTATTGTGCAAAATAAAGTGATCTTGTCAAATGTTTATAACCAAATACTAAATAAGTTCATTTCATTCAGAAACTAAGATGGCATTTTAATCTATGTGAAGCTGGAAGTAAGAAATCAAAATGCTCTTAAATGATATTATCAGATGATGAAGATGAGATAGATGAAGATATACAATCAGAGGAGGAAGAAGATATCTGCCATATATTTTCTCGCTCTCGTTATGCTTCTCCTAAAAAGCAGTGTAAGATCCTTGTTTTGTGTCGCATCAATGTCATGTCATTTTGTGAACTGGCTTTGTATATGTGACTTCCCTCAGCTTTCTATAGACCAGAATGCTTGATAATTGCTGCAAGCTTCTAAGTGGCTTGAAGAGTGAGAATATGCATAATATAAATGTCCAATGTCAAGAATACTATGATAAAGAACTGAAATAAATTCATAAAATATATTCAATACTGGAAACAAAAAATACTTGCATAAATACTTACCTTTCATATTTTATTTTTTATCTGTTTTATGTTGTTTCTTTTTGTGTTTCCTGTTGTTATGTATATAGTACTTCTGTATTTTGAATTATTTGTGTTGTGATAGTTTTCATTTTCAGTTACAATTCTTTTCCTGAAAATTAAAAGGAATTTATTTATTCAAGAATTTGTTCTTGTAATGCTGTTTGTGAAGATAGTTTTTCATATGTTTTACTCATAGTTCATTACAGGGTTTTGAATTTCTTTTATTTTGTGTTTGTGATACAGTCAAATCCCGATGAGTCGAATGCCGGTGTCTCGAATATTACGCATAACTCGAAGTACCTGTCGGTCCCGACCATTCCCTGTAATAGTTGTCATCATTTGAATACCGGTTACACGAATTCGACTCATAAATACACACGATGACTCGAGAAGAAAATTTGGTCCCATGAGATTCAAACAACAGCAATCTTGTTTACATAAGCCGAAGTCAGTCAATGAGAAGTTGATTGGTGTAGCTAACTGATCCAATTAACAAACCAGCGCAGCTCACACCTTTCCGCCTTTGACGGGTGAGTTCAAAAGGCAGATTAGTGATTTTACGGAAATCACTGTCTGTGCTAATCAGACTGGAACTGATAAGGTGACCCTATTAGTGATAGGGAAATCATTAGGTAAACAAATGCTTAGGGCGGAGGAATTAGGACTGGATCATTTTTTTTCTACCTCATAGACATACCTATGTCTCGAATACATCGATAAGTCGAATCTATTACTTGGTCCCCACAGATTCGACTCATCGGGATTTGACTGTATTTGTTTTTATTCAATTTTACTTTGTATTGAATCATGTTTATGCTTATTTCCATATTTGTCACTCTTCTTATGTTTTCAGCCTTCCGTTGTAGTTATTATGATATTTGTTGATTGTTTGACTGCTTCATAAGTTTTTATTGTTTTTTTTCTGACCTACAAAAACTAGTAATAAAAAGCATAGTTTTCTAATATATGACATACATTATCACTTAAAGATGAAAAAAATATCCTTATTTTATCATGTCCATAGAAAAAAAAAATTAAAACAAGAAAGCTGAAAAACAGTTTCATATTTTAGAAAAAATACTGGTATTGTGGTATTCAATAACATTTTTTACAATCATGATTTTAAGACTGTCAGATTTTAGATATACTACTCAAGGTTTGATAAGGATGTTCCTTAATATTCAATTACACACAGGTATACATGTATGTAAATAGCATGAAATATCGGTGTGCTAATGATTAAAATTTGAGGTTATCACACTAGTAAATATCCTGTATTTGGATAACCATTGAAAAGTGAATCCTGGCAACGTAAATACATATTGTTGTTTTCTGATGGAAACATGCCATGTACTGTATTGTATAATGTCATTTAGAAGATAAAGCTACTCTGTTTTCAATTTTGCAGTTCTTTATCGTTGATTTAAGACTGCTAAATTAAACATTTAGCGGTCTTAAATCAACGATAAAGGACCACAAAATTTAAAACAGAGTAGCTTTATCTTCATTCTAGCACGACTGATAAGCGTTTTAAAACCGAACTGTTTGGCGCGCTAGAACACAAGGCGCAAAGGGGCCTTTTTACTGGAAATCGCTTGGAATCGTCCCGTTGAGGGACAGGTTGTGTAATGAACAAAATAAGACATTTTCAACAACATAAATGCTATATTTCAGGAACCAGTATGCTTGTATTTGTAACATGTAGTCTGTACAGCATCATGTTGTTTGCCAGGCAGATTACATTGTCCTGATGTTATGAAATGTCCCAATCAGTAACAAAATAAAAGTAAAACTGTGCACATATTTTAGACAAATCTGTTTGAAAGCATCGGAAAAGACTGTAGTATCTCTACCTGTTGGTGGATTGAATGGATAGTGTGGGTAGCATTTCTTTGTTTTGTTCACTATGTTTGGTTGTAGTGAGGCTATTAATGCTTGGGTATGCAGTCAAACTCTCTTCAAAGCTCAAAATCAAGATCATAGGGTCTAAATGATCAGAAACAATGCTTCTTTATTAGTATCACAGAATTCCCAAGGTGTTTTCCCATGAATATGGACATCGTAAAACATTTCAGAATTACTGTCTCATGAAAATATGTTATGTTAAAATGTTTATATCAGTTTTGCAGTCATATTACCTGCCTCTCATCCCAAGAGAAATGCTGTATATTGTGTACACTTCACATGGAAAAATATTACACTGTGAAACCTTAGATTGGGAAGTTTTCTGTAAGTGGTGCTTAGCTTGCATTGAGCCCGATAGTGTTTGCCCTGGCTTGGCTGCGTCTGAATCTGGCCAAGGCATCAGCAGTATTGGATATTTATCAAACAACATTGGTAGCCTTTGCTAAATCTAATTTGATATTATGCCAGCCTATCATATGTACATTTTAAGAACTGTAATGAGAGCAGACATAAGGTAGGCTGGACCACTTAGTTCATGTGCTCATGATTAGGTGCCTGACTCTGAGAGTGTTGGTTCAAATCCTGAATGGGACCTGAAGTTTAACCTCTAGAAAGTATAACCCCAATTATAACATCTGTTACTGTACTGACATAGTTGCATTGATTATCCCCTGTATTTGTTCTTATAGAGGTTGTGTTTGTCTTCATGTGTACCTTGAATGACACTGTCCAAAGATTCACTATTATTAGGACTGCGTTTATGACTAAAGGTTGTATATGTTGGGGGGTTCAATGTTGAGTCATTGTATGTGCAGTTTGAAACCCAGGGCTCTGTGCTGTATGTATATGACGTTGTAGCTTGTACCATTGACATTTGAAGAGTTTTTTTTTGCATCTAATTGATGGCAAATGTAAATCCATTTCTGGGCTATTTAAGAGTGCTCTTTTCTGTGTCCAATGGAAGAATAATGTTTCATGCTTTACCCTGAGGAATTTAATGTTTTACAATAATACCATTGGACATTTGCCACATTTGAAGAACACAGCAATCATTTCTCCCATTTCTGTGCCTTAGGAACATCTTGAGTATGCAACTCTTCCATTTTACCGGTACCTGAATCCTCTGTAATTTCAAGAGCTATTTTCTATGACACATCCCATTCCATATGAGGGGCTTAAATGCTTTGACATTCTCCATTAGGACTTAACTATGACTTCTCCCCATCTCTTAACCATTTGAAGAGCTCTTTATTTTACCAGTAAACATTAAATGTAGTAGACTGGCAATCAAAGTTGTTATCTGAAGGATGACTTAAATGTAGTTGAGTGATTACCACCACCTAACAGCAATGCAGCTGAAAGAGTTCTGTAACTGTAAATGTAGCACCCTGACTACTCCCATTCCTGCAATATTTGGAAGACCATTTAGCAAACCCATTGGAGGTTATATATTACTCAAAATAAGTTAAGAAACACACAATTTTTTTCATATGACCATAATTAGCTTGTGGGTACTGCAATACACAGTTTTATGCATGTGTGGGTGTTCTTTAACTAGTTTTGGGTTGTATACATCTACAAGTTGAGCATCCTTTGCTACACCTGATAAATGTCCAGGCAGTTCTTCAGCTGTTCCAAGAGTATCCAGTATTTAAATGTTTGTGAACTAATTTTACTAACATTGGTTTCAGGTTGTTCAGAAGTTAAATTAATATAACACATAATTTGTTGATGATATTTTATCAGTTTCTCATATGCTGTGGTCCTGCAAGGAGTGGTCTTCAGCAACCCATGCTTGTCAGAAGAGGCGACTATTTGGATCAGATGGTCGTGCCGTGTCATCATCTCCCAGTGTTGTAGATCAATGCTCATGATGTCAATCACTGGATTGTCTTGTCCAGACTCGAGTTAGAATGCTGTCATATAGCTGGAATATTGCTGAGTGTGGCATCAAGCAACAATCTTATTCTGTTAATGTGTATGAATATTATGTGAAATTTCCTTTTTTCTCTTATTTTTTGTCATTTTGTCAGTGACTGTTTAAATAATGACTTCTAACTGCTATTATAAACTCTTACATGATACAAAGTTTATGTTTTCAATCACACAACTCTGCCGCTACATTTCAGCTGAAGGTCAAGGACTGTCACATTCACTGCGTTCAGGTATGACAGTTCTCCATTATGTGTTGTTTGGTTGTCCTGTGTCTTGGCAATGATGATAATCAAATCTTTACTCTTTATTGTGTTGTTGAAACAATTGGGTTCTTGTATACTCTAAGATGTCACAAATACTCACTTTTGGGCAGCTGCTCTCTGACGCCACTGTGGAAAACTCCCCTCACTATGAAACCATAAATCTCTCGTGCCGGATCTGAGGAAGCTTTGTTTTCAGTATTAATATTATTTCATACGATAAGCTTATGCCAGATATTTGCCTAGTGTTTAATCATCAGTGGGAGTTTTCCTGGGTGCCGATGTCTTTGGCATCAGATGACCCAACGTCTTATTTAGCATGTTGATATCACTTGTTAGATGTGAATGTATAATTCATGAACTAACATTCATGTATAAGCCATCATTCATATTTCCAGTGTATGAATTTTTGTGTTAAAAGTATTACATACACAACTGTGAAATGTATAAGAACAGTGAACCCTAAAGATGCAATTCGAAAGCCTTGGTTGGAACAGGGCATCCTTTCACAAACACTTAGGTGATCGTAAGTCACTATGGTTACCTTAGTGCAATGTTAAAGAATGGGAGTTAAGGTTAACCTTAGTAAAGGTTGCTTCATGAAAGGAGCCCCAGGTCTCCAGGAATCTATGCTAGACGTAAAACGGGACTAAGTTGATTGTTGGATCATTGTTCATTAAGTCAATCAGTGGATTGTGTGATCCAAACTCAGTTATTTACACCATCATACAGCTGGAATAATGCTGGGTGTGTTCTTAAACAATAAACAGTCTTACAAATGATAATATGGCTAACAAGGTCTAGACAGATATTACATGAAGTTTTTTTATGTAGTTTATTTATTTCAACTGGATGGTTTACTTAAATCTTTCATATCCCTTCCAAATTCAGTGAACATGTATAAATTTTAACTTGTCTGACTTGGATAATGGGGCATCGTGCAAAATCAGTAAAGTGCTTCTCCTAACATGTCATTAATATGTTCTGTAATATAGCTACAAGATGCTGTCTGTATTTATGTTTGCAGCTACTTCAATAACAAACTCTTCTGAAACATGATATTTTTCACAAATACCTCTTTTATAACTCTTCACAAATACTATACTTGCATGTTCACTATTCTGTCAATTTTCAGTTGGCCGAACTGGATCAAAGTCATCATTAATTAGCATTGGTACATGAGAGTTTCACTTTGCTTTGTTTGCTTCGAGCTTGCACCTTGTTGTCCCCCTTGGTTCTCCCTCACAAGCACCTGTTGGGATTGCATAGTGTTCTCTGGAAAACTGATTGCTTGTTGCAAAGCTGCGTGGTCCTACCTTTACTTTTTTTACCATAATTTTCCTAGGGAAGTTGAAAGAATTGTTATGGCATTTGTCATAGGTTTATGGATTGTAAGCAAACGTGTGAGTTAAACCAGTGTTGTAAAGAACTGATATTTAAAGCATCAATGCTTATAGTTTGGTACAATTTCAATCCTTCAATTGAACATCCATAGCAACAGCCACAGATACCTCACATCCTTTCAGGGGGGGAAATAACCCATTGCCTGATGCCCGAGTCCAGTGTTTTTTTCTGTCGGGCAAGCAAATTTGTATATCACACTGTACCGGTGTCCAGTTGACTTTCAAATGTTAATTATGTTCTTTATGTAAAAAATCAACAAGAAAACAGCTGGTATAGTGGAAAAATTATCAGGGCAAGTGATTTTACATGTGCTACTGTACCGGAGTACACTAGCAATTTTAAAGTTATTTCCACCCCTGTCCTTTAGAAGTGAATAGCTCACAAAAATATTAACTTTCATACCACATTATCACTTGACACAAAGATAAAAACACTTTTGTCAGTTTATTGAATGACCAGTTCATATGTTCATTGTTTCGGTTTACACTTTGAAGCGAAGGCTATGAATGGTTTTGTAAGTTTCTTTGTGTAAGGCATCATGTTCTTACTGTGGCTGCAGTCTCAAATCCGTTTTTCACCTCACATATTTCATGTCCGACAGTTGGAGACGTGTTGTCTTTTCAGGAACGACTTTGGTGAAACAGATTTAAACTTCTGTTGTTGTTGACATTGACACGTGTCATTGATATTCATATACCGAACAAGAATGAATACATAAAATTCAAACTGAATTGATACTTTTTGATTAGTTAATAGCCAATGCACATGAAACGGTACTCTAAAGTTTCACTGGTAATTTGAATCCATCTTACACTGTTTCAACAGGCAGTATGGCCCATTTGAATAGTATTGTAAGAAAATACCTTGGACATATTTAATTGAAAATAAACAGTAATTCATAAAAACATGATCTATGTACCATTAGATGATTTTATTACCATTTCTGATGTAATCAGTCACAGATAAATTCTGCAGTAAAATTACCAAAGATCTGCAGAAAGTACGAAACCTTTTCCCAGTGTAAATTGATAAAAATTCATATTGTTTGTGTCTAGATGTTTCAGGTTTGGTTTAATATTTCAACTTTATGTTGTCATAATGCCACAAGAAATTTGAGAAAGCAGAATTATTTATTTCCAATTTTGTTATATTGCAAGATTCATAATTGGTATGTTGAAATCACATGTTAAATGTCTGGGGATCACTTAAATGTGAAATCTGATGGAAATGTTGGAAAATTTTGGTTGATTTGCAAAGGGCAAATTTCATAACCTTTTGTAATTCTGGGTTGGGCCAGACAAATATTATTTCTTGTTTTACCGATCCGTCGGGCATATTTTTTCAAGAATAAGAAAAAAAGTATACATAAATTTTCCTTGCCTGTAAAATAAAATCCTAATGTAAATATATGCGGAAGCGAGAGCTCGCAAGGCAGTTTGTTAGACCCTAAACACCAGTATCTGTTCTCAGAGACATTAAACTGACTTATCTAACCATATTTGTGTTCGAAATCAGTGCTTCAAGCACCTCAGCGAGTGTGAACTTGAAAAATAATGCCTTTTTTTTGCTTTGGTGATCCGTAAAACAAGAAATAACATTGATCTGTTGGTGACTGAAAAGCTAAAGTGCCAAAATCAGTTGTGTTTATATAGACAGTTCTTAACAGTGTTATAGGAAACCTTATAGAAATGTTCCCAGAATGATTTTCTCCCTTTAACATGTTTAGTTTGTGTGTATGTTTGTTCTAACATTTACTAAATGGCTGCATTGATCTTCTGACCCCATGAATCTAAGGAATCAGAGTGTTTTTGAAATAAACAAAGTACTGTTCATCCTCACCGCATGATTGGATGTGTTGGGTGGCCTGGTGGTTTAAGCATTCCCTTGTCAAACTGAAGGCCCAGGTTTGATTCCCAATACATGAATCCCATTTTTGGTGTTCCATGCTCACTTACCCATAAACCCAGGTCACTGGTTGATGATGCTTCACTGACGGAAATATCTCTTTTAAGGCCTTATTTTTCTGAGACTTCTCATAGGTTTGGTTGAAGCATTTCAAATATGACGTTTATCACATAAACAAAAGGAATTTCAGTTAGATCATCAAAATATGTTTATCTATTACGATCTACGGCAAGAAAAATGTTATTTCTGGTCATTTCTAGATCTATACCTTTGAACTATGGGTACAGGTAGGCTATTATGCATCAGTAACATTTATCAGACGTAATGCATTCAAGGTAATTCACACTCAAGGTCATCGTTAACATTTGACCAATAATCAGCCTTATTTGTAAGTACTGGTAATTTATTTGTGGGAATGTTGATTTTAAGCAACTTTGGTAAGCTGAATAACCCTTTTTGAATTTAGGGAATAATATATCTGGTATTTCGCCTTCTGAATGACATAGTTTTCTTGCAACATTGAAAATGTACAGCAGTTCGTTGGTGAGCCACAGTGCTTCTGAGTTGATAAAGCAGATTAATGTACACTTTTGTTCACATTCTAACATAGAATACATGCAAATGTGGTCAGTTTGATAAAAGTTTCCATCAGTTTGCTTTTTTGGTGCTGGCCTTGTTTCAGTAGAAAACTTGATTGCTTTATGCTCCCAGATGTGACATCCAAAAGTGTAATTTTAAAGTGCTTGGTAGTTTAACTGGGAGAAGTGAACAGCTTCTGTCTTCATGGATTGAAATAATATTACAGTGGATCTGTTTTTGTTTGCTTTACAAGTATGCATATTTGTTGTTCCCATGAAAATTGTACTGAAAACAAATCTATATTGTTTTGTTTTTTTTTATATTGTTTCAAATTATTTAGTCATCCTGTGTCAAAAAGAGTCCATGAGGTGTTCATTAGTTTGGATCGGTAAAGAAACATTAATTGAGTAATCATTATTCATCTCAACTAATGTTAACTGATTGATTGATTAAATAATTGATTTGAATAGTGTACGGTGCCGCACACGGTAAGCTGTGGACATGAGCACTTTCTGTTAAGTGTACATATTTCCATCTCAGTATATATTGTGTTTCAGATGACATGCCCAAGCCCTCTCCCAGGGTGAAGAAAGACAAGGTCCGAACTCCAGTTGGGTCCAGGAGTGCCAAGGTGTCTGAACCCTCCAACCTCAGGGTAGGTACCAGTTTCTCTAGTACACTTAGGCCTTTTTTTAAAATTACTTGGTTTGCGGAATTTAAAAAAAAAATTATTAGGTTAGTAGGGAGGGAAGAAAAAAAGAAGAAGGGAATATGGAGATAATATTTGAAGACTTGAGTATATCATACATGCCAGGTGCAGCATGTTCCACAAGTAAAAGCGAATATGTCTGACTAATCAGCTCAGAGAATAACATATTTAAGTTGAATGGTAGGGTGTGGACAAGCAGAGATCTTACACCCACTTACAAGTACTGTTTCAAGGAATATTTGAAAGGTATAATTTGCAATTTTTAAATTTTTTTTCACTTGCTTTGTCTTTTTATCAGGTCAGATGAATATAATTATTTTATTTTTCCCCACTCACTTCACATTTCTGGTCAACGGATCTGTAAACCAAGTTTTTAAAAAAGGCCTTATGATGGCTACAAGGGTACCTCACACTTCAGGTTAGTGTCCTGGGGCCCGTTTCACAAAGCGATCGTAGCGCTTCGACTGTCGTAAGTCTATGTTAAAGTATGGGAGTTACGATCACCTGAGTGCTACGATCGCTTTGTGAAACGGGGCCCTGTAGTACAGACTATGATGGGTACCAGGGTATCTGAGCCCACTAGACTTTGGGGTAGGTGCATGTCCTGAAGTATATGTCCTGAAATATGATGTGTACTATGGTGATTAAATTCCAGACAACATGGTAGGTCCCATTTGTCTAATACAGAGTTGTGATGGGTACCAGTCCTATAGGTTCAGTGAAACAGGATTGTGGCAGTATCTGAACCTTTGACTTTGAAGTCTTAATTGATACGAAGATTATATTGAGATCTCCATGATAGCCTATCAACTAGATCTCTATGAGATTTTAGGGGTAGCCTAGTGGGTAAAGCGGTGACTCGTCCCGCCGAAGACCTGAGTTCGATTCCCCACATGGGTACAATGTGTGAAGCCAATTTCTGGTGTCCCCCGCCGTGATGTTGCTGGAATATTGCTAAAAGCGGCGTAAAACCAAACTCACTCACTCACTCACTCCATGAGATTTTAACACTATGAGCATAACATTACCAAAGCATCCTGACGCCATATTGGCACTAAAATGTCTCTGAGAACCAATTCAGCCTTGCATGATGTGAAACTGCTTTCATGTTCTTCCAGGACTGGACCCACACCAGCTCCAAGGGCTGCTTCTTTATTGATGCTGATGAAGGAGGTCAAATAATCAGTCACCAGTACACACTGGATCTGGCAGACGACACCAATGTCTTCATCACCATGCAACCAAACAGGATTGGAGATGCTGGTAGGTCAAGGTCAATCTATTTACAATGTCACTGCTTCTTACAGGGTGGTAGAAGACTTTATCATGTTCTGATGTCTGTTGTCATATCCAGAAACGTTTACATTTTAAGGTAACAAGGTCAAGGTCATCCTGTGTGATTTAGATGGAAAATTGAAAATACAGTTGGTGTTCCAAACTATTCTGTTACAATACGACAATCTTCCACTGATCTCCTGAAATCTAAAGCCTGTGTGCTTGTTCTGTAAAATGTTTAGGTCAGTAATGGAAAATAAAGACCCTAGCAGTTTGTTTCATCACTGTTACCCAACAGCTGATGTATAAAGCATGCCAGTACCTGACAATGTTACCTTGGACATGTTGGTCCTCGGCTCAGAGACTTGAATGAGTGGCTTCTCTGAGAGGCGCGTGTTAAAGTTGGGGCACTAAGGAAGGATAACAATATATGGATGAAGACCCTCTTTATTACAATAGGAGTGGCGATTCAGTGTAGGTGCCTGTACCGAAATGTTGTCCCTATTGGAATAAGAAGTTGTTCCATGTGTTGTCATCATTCCTCATCCGAGTGTCATCTTACCCCAACTTTGCTTGTAATATCAATCACTGGTTTCTCAGGCCCAGGCTGGATCATTTAGAGTGAGTGAGTGAGTTTGGTTTGTACGCCGATTTTAGCAATATTCCAGCAATATCATGGCAGGGGACACCAGAAATGGGCTTCACACAATGTACCCATGTGGGGAATCGAACCCGGGCCTTCGGCGTGACAAGCGAACACTTTAACCACTAGGCTACCCCACCGCCCGGATCATTTAGAGACGCCAAGGATATGACTTGCATATTGCTGACAGTACTGTAAAAACATCAACTAAACAATATTGCTGACCTTGTCTCCCCTAGGCTTCACTGATGATGGCCCTGTGGACACTGCCGTCTACGTCCTGCGTGAAGGCAGCAGCAGCCACAAAGTGGTCACCTTTACAGAACAGCGAGACAGCAAGGGGGTGAGTTCATGGCATCTCTGGATCTTGTTTCACTGGTGCATAGGAGTCAGGATCTGTAGACTCAAATGACTGCCTCTGTGGTCTAGTGGATAGATTGTCTGCCTGGAGAGTGGAAGGATGGAGGTTAAAGAGTTATAAGATGGTACTTGTTCTTGCCCTGCCTTACACTCAGCTATAAGGGATTTAAACAAGGACTGACTGGCTCAAAGTTGGTATCTCATTGGGGTATATAGGCAATAGTTTGGGCTAGTACAAGCAGCCACTCACACATGAATGCCTTTCACTGTAAGTGCAATAGTAATCACCATTCTTGTTACCTATGTTTTACATAATGTTTTGTCAAATATCTTGGGATCCATGATGCTATCAACAAAGACAACAATGTAGAAGTACATAACTTGTTACTCTCATGCCTGAGGATGGTACTGTATTGGAAATAATTTGAAATATTACTAATTTCACATATGACCTTGTAAGTAAGGATACTTCAGATTCTAGAAAGCTACATTTTATACTCTTGTTTAGTCTTGGTACCAAAACCTGGATAATTTTTATGAAAGGTTGTCTAAGTTTATCAAACAAACCACCTGTTTTGTGGTATCATTCAGAGATACTGTGTGCGGTGTGACCTACCTGCAGGGAAATACAAGCTGGTTCCTTTCACAACTGGCTGCCGACTTTATGAGCGCAGCTCTGGCAGGGAGACGAAGGAGGTGAAGCTCATCAAACAGGACAAGGACGATAAGATTGTGCTCTCTAAGCAATTCAAGTAAGAAAATCGTTTTGATGATGATGATGATGATGATGATATTTTTGAAAGGTCAATTGTCTGATATTACATGCAGACATGAACTTAAGCAACAGAGTATTCTGTTTATGGATTTGACTAACCTTGATAAAAGACTCTTTCAGAAAATGTTATGAAAATTGTTTAAGATTTCAAAAATAATAATTTAAATTACAACTAATTAAGTACATATTTTATATACATGTTACTGTAAAAGTGCGAAGCATAATGTACAGAATTAACACTTAAACTGAAACACTTGGTCACATAAACTGATCATTTCAAGCAAATGTTAATACGAGAAATCACTGTAGGAAAGCCCTGGAGGATATATTTGACATGGCTGACTTGGACGGGAATGGTCTGTTGAGTCGAGAGGACTTCAACTGGTACAACATCCGCACCAGCGGAGAAGAAGTCGCTGATGATGAGTGGGATGTGGTTGAGGGTGAGTAGATGCATTATATAGATGGGTGCCAGGGGGTGAGTGAGGATGGGGTGTTTGAGTGGTCATGTAGATGCATGGGTGATGCAGAGGGTGGGTAGGGTGAATGAGTGGGTTTCTGAATGGCTGCATGGCTAGCTGTGTGAGTGAGAGAGCTAGTCAAGCTGGGGAGTAAGGGTGTGTTATGTTGTGGCTTGCAGGGGCTGTGTGTGTGAATGAGATACACTTGTACTTGATATTGAGAGTGATCATGTAATTGTATGAATTGTTATTGATTGATTGATTGTCGATCCAGCTATATGGCAGCGGTCTGTAAATAATCGAGTCTGAATCAGACAGTCCAGTGAATAACAGCATGAACATCAGTCTATGCAATTGGGATACGATGACATGTAAGCGAGCCTGACCACTGATCCCATTAGTCGCCTCTTACGACAAGCATGGGTTACTGAAGATCAATTCTAACCCGGATCTTCATGGGTTGTATGAATTGTTGAAAATGTTAAACCATACGACCACTTCAGAACATGTCATGTACTTCATAATCTTGAAATGAGAGCACCTGTTGATGATACATTCTAGGCAACATAGAACTGGAAAGAGGCGAGATCACAAAGACTGGATTCATCCACCTCAACCAGATGGAAGCTGAAGACAATGATGGAGACACAGATGACCTCTGGGTTACTCTGACCAGCATGGGCTTCAATAAGAGTCTTGTGTTAACGCAGGTACGATTTACATGCTCCAAAACAACAAAAAACATTATTTTTTCTTATCCTGACTCATGCTTATTTGCTTGTCTTCTTCTTCTGGCGAACCTAGTGGAACACTTGTATCTCCCAATTGAAGTTCCCTTCAATAAAGAATCACTCATTAGTACTCACCACGAGTTACCTCCCTTCTGTAAGCGCGGGAACGAGGGCGCCACCGAAGCCCATGTGCCTCACTCTCTCCTTCTTCGCCCAGTGAGCTGGACGTGAGAGCGCCTGTGTCTCCCAACACACTATATCCTTTATTTATATTTAGTTAGTTCCTCTTATACGTTAGTATAGAGGTATTACTAGTATATTTATTCAATTTGCATTGATTATTAATTGTGTTTCTGCTGTTTATTCACGCTTCGCCGTGATTGTTCAGTAGGCTACATTAATGAAAATTAGCACAGATTGTAAACTACGTTATTCTGATACCGATCCACATTTAAAATGCCCTAGTTGCATTACTCCATGTTCCTTTGATTTCTCGTTGTAAATTGTGTATCAATTTACCAATCTCTGCCTTTGACAAATATTTATGTTCCGTTTATAGACGGAAGGCAGATAAATCTCGTAAACAGATTTCAAACATGGCTAATAGATCGCAAATTAATGTTCCTTGTCAACTGTTGATTAAGGACACGCCACCGGCTGGTGGCATGCCTGAGTTTCCCTCGGCGGATAAGCGTGGGACGCAGTCCGCTATGTCCAAGAAGCGACCTGCATCTCAAGAGCTGCCGTCTTCTCAGTCCAAGTTGAGGAAACCAGCCGTATCATCTCGTACACTGCGTACACCAAGATCTACACCTTCATCTAAAGGGAAGTCAACAAAATCTAATAATTTTGCCTCTGATATCTTACCAGTTACAGAATTAGCATTATATATGATGATGATATGCCAATTATCATTCCAGAAGTTCGCCACAAGAAACGGCCCGTTTCTGCAACTGTCACCTCAGCGCAGATGAACACACAACCGGACATGCCGACACTATCACCAGAAATTTTATCTGAGGGTCCCGTCACCTCTGCAGAGAGACATCCCTCATCAAAGCAGACCGCTTCAGACGACTTGATCAACCAGATAATCAGGGTGATGGAAGACCGCTACAGCTTACAGAGGCCTCAGAGCCACGGGCCTCAGAGCCCACCCCATATTAAGTCATACAGGGCCTCAGAGCCCGCCTTGGCTTCGTGTAGGGCCTCTGAGCCCATAGACGCGCCTCCGCGAAGGGCAACCCTGCCCGGAGTGAGCTCTTTGCATAAGGTATCCCAGGCCGCCTCCGCGAAGGAGCTAGAGCCTCACCTTTTGCAGGAGGCTTCGCGGAGAAGGAGCGCTTCGCCGAGCACGCACCTTGTCATGCACGAAGGGCGTTCTCAAAGCAAGCGCTCATATGTCGGATCGGACACTGACTCCAGACATTCGCGTGGGGACGCGAAGGCTAAGTGGTTCTACATCGCCTAGAAGGCGCTCAGAAGTAACCCTCAACGTTCGAGAAGTCCAGAGCGCTCTGCGGCTATCACCGTTCACGAAGCCCACAGTCTCCGCGAAGGATGTCTTCTCCAAGGTCTACATACACTAGCCACTCGTCAGTCCGTTCTCCTCAGTCCTCACATAGATCTTCTTACAGATCGAGGACTCCGACATACGACCATACGTCAGAGGAGGACGATGGTATCATTTTCTCAGAGGCTGAGATAAGGTATTGGATGGTAAACGAATTACAACTGGCCTCCCCTTCTAAGAACGAGGATGCAGCCCAAACTTACCTGATGAAAGATGATGATGTAGATCATATCACCGTGCCTCCTATGGATCCTATCGCAGCCGTTCCTGCTAAACTGGATACAGCCTACTCCAAATCTACTAAAACCCATCCTACCCATTTACCGTTCTTCAATGCCAAGAGTTTTTATGGACATAATATGGAGCCCTTTTTCAAGACTCAGGAGATTGATGAAAACTTTAAACTTATCAGTGATTCCACGTCCAGAAGTTATAGGGTAGACGATCACAAGATGGCCCAGTTAGATACCATTTCCAGAAGGATGTTCTTCGGACTTAATAGATCTAGGACTATTAACGAGACTCTCATCACTAAGTTCAAGAACTCTACGGATGAGGAGGACAGATGATCTATTCAGCTCTACTTATGCAGAGAAAAGATCAACAATTCCTTACAGACCATCTTTCAGCACTTACTGAAACTACTACCATGACACGTCGGCAAGGATTACTAGCCTCCTGCTCTTGGAATAAACAATTCACAGAGCCCCTGTACACAGCTCCATGGTCTTCACCTTTACTGTTTGGTGGCAACATTAACAAGGTTTCCAAGGAAGTATCTAAAGATTCTAGAGAAGTACTCATGATTAGATCGATGGATACGTTAGCAAAAGTCTTTATACAATCAGCACAGAGGTACTCGGGTAAGTCTAAGTTTTCAGGGCTACAGAGAGCACGGGATAAGAAATTAGCGGCCGCTAATAATCCCAAGGATTCTTTTCGTCGCCCGTACAACAAGTTCAGAGGAGGATCAGCTAGAGGCAGATCATCCAGAGGTGCCCGTGGATTTAAACGATGAAAGTCAGGTTCGGAACGACTGGAGTCTTCCACCCCCAGTCGTCCCAGTACAACCTTCTCAAGTGGGTGGACGTCTACAACTACACTGGGAAAACTGGGGAATACTTCAAGATCCGTATGTATCCAACATCCTTCAGTACGGATATCGTCTACAACTCAAGGCCAAGCCTCCGTTAACAGTCAACCCACCAGGGTTCAACGTTCATCTGGCACAACTACCGATGTTAAGAGAAACAGTTCAGTCTCTACTAAACAAACAGGCCTTAGAAGTTCTCGATCAGTGAAACATCATACCAGGTTTCTACTCCCCAGTTTTCCTAGTGCCGAAAAAGAATTCCAAAGAGACGTATCGTCTCATTTACAACATAGCACATTCAACAGAGAATTTCTATGCAAACCACCAGCGTTTCGCATGATACATTTACCTCAACTCCGTCATCTGATTCGTCCACTAGATTACATGGTAAGTATAGATCTGCAGGACGCATACCTACACATTCCGATTCATCCCAGTTCAAGGAAATATCTGAGGTTTATGCTAGACGGCATACACTACCAATGGAAAGTACTTCCCTTCGGAATCACTTCGGCCCCATGGGTATTCACAAGAGTAACCAAGCCTATTGTCTCATACCTACATCGTCAAGGACTGCGGAATGCATTTTACCTAGACGACGGTATACAGGTGGATCTAGATCCACAGCGTCTCAGACTACAGCTGAACTTAACAATCAAGCTACTAATGCAGTTAGGCTGGTTAGTAAATCTACTCAAGTCGGACCTAGAGCCCACGCAGGATCTGCAGTTTCTAGGTATACGATTCCTTACAGCTCAGAATCGTATGGCAGTCCCGGAGGACAGATGGATCAAGATACAACAACTGATCCCCCAAGCCCTACTCTCTCCGTTACCACTACGACAGTGGCAGAGTCTACTGGGACTACTCACATCAGCTCAAGACTTGACACTCAGAGGCAAGCTTCAATTGCGTCCATTACAAGTCCTCATCAATGCCCATCTCGAGGACCCTCTACCGTTCAGTCTACCAGATTACGTCAAACCAGATCTACTCTGGTGGACCAAGAGATTGAATGTTTGCGCAGGCGTCTCCTTAGTAGAGCCGGAATCGAAAACACATCTCTACGTGGACGCGTCACTAAAAGGTTGGGGAGCCCACCTTACCGGCAGGACAGCGTCAGGCCTATGGAGCATTCAAGAGAGCTTATGTCACATAAATCTGCTAGAGATGCAAGCAGTCATAAATGCCATAGGTCACTGGAGCAACCTGTTACAGAGCGCGCTCAGTTAATGATTCACACAGACAACTCAACAGTGGCGTTTTATGTGAACAAACAAGGGTCAACAAGATCACTGAATCTACTCACTCGATGTTTCAGACTGTTCGAATTAGTCGACAGTCTAAACATACGTATCAAAGCCTGCCACATTCCAGGAGCAAAGAATGTGTTAGCAGACGCTTCTCTCGGCCGCACCAACCGTCGCGCCGACAGAATGGATGCTCCACACAGAGATATTCAATCAGATAATCATGGAAATAGGATCTCCTCTGATAGACCTATTTGCCACCCGATTCAACAATCAACTGACAACCTTCGTATCGCCAGTGCCAGATCCATTAGCCTGGGCAACGGACGCACTAAGCATATCGTGGGAGGGACTAAACGCGTACGCTTTCCCGCCTCCTGCGTTAATCCCACAAGTCTTGCTAAAAATCAGTCAAACGAAGAGCCTCGATCTCATTTTGGTCTCGCCTTACTGGCCAGCGAGAACGTGGTTTCCAGAAGCATTCCGACTTCACGTGTGGATTGTATCAAGGCATGTTTGAATAAGAGAGGTTATTCCACCAGAGCGGCTAAGGCGGTCACGCTTGCACTACGTAACTCTACTCATAACTTGTACGATGACAAATGGCTCAGATTTGTCAATTATGCGGCTAAGAAAGGATTTTCAGCCAGATTTGCTACACATCCTCAAGTGGCAGATTTCTTATGTTTCCTACGTCAAACTAAGAATCTAAAAGGATCTACACTGTCCACTTATCTTGCAGCCATAAGTTCAGTCATAACTATGAGAACGGGCGTCAAATTGACTAAAACACCGGAGTTACTCGCTTTGTTACGTGCCTTTCGATTGGAAGACCAGAAACGGAAGTTTCAAGCGCCAGCCTGGGATCTAAATGTTGTACTTCAACACCTCACAAGTGAGGCTTACGAGCCATTGTTATCTGCGTCATTTCAATCATTGACCCACAAAACCTTATTCCTGCTAGCGTTAGCCACTGCCGCCAGGATGTCTGAAATTCACGCTTTGGATTACGAGAGAACACGATTTGATGATATTCATAACATCGCTCATCTGGGACTTAAGCTGGGATTTTATAGCTTAAAAATCAACTACCAGGTCAACCAGACAGGTTGTTCCATGTCCCAGCTCTCTCTCATCCATACTTGGACCGCAGGATACGATGGACTTATCACTTTGCCCTGTACGTGCACTGAAAATATATCTCCAAAGATCCAAGCAAAGTAGAGGGAAATTCAAAAGATTGTTTATCCCTATATCTACCGCCTCACAGACAAAAGTGTCGCGCACTACCATTTCTATTTGGATCAGAACTGTCATACTAAGAGCCTACAAGGCAGCTGGACTGGACCCTCCAAGTGCTGCTAATCCTCACGAAATTAGAGCACTAGCTTCAACTTTGGCTTTACATGGAAATTGCTCATTGAATACCATTATGGAGGGATGTTTTTGGAGATCCGATATGGTGTTTGCCAACCACTATCTGAGAGATATCACCACCAAGGACGTCTCAGGTATCCACCATTTCGGTCCCATGGTCCTCGCTCAACAGTTGACAGTTCCACGGAGAAGATAAGTCTATCTTGTTGATTTTATACTTATCTGATAACAGTACTAATAGCTACATGCTATCTATATATATTTTTGCTTAAGTTAAAATATTATCTTAAGCTCAGTACTATGATTCTATATCATAATATATATATACCTACAACTCTTACGAGTTTCTACTATTATATATATGTTCAGCTTAAGTTTCTATCCTTAAGCTCGGTCATATGTTCATTTCATAACATGTATTAGTATCAAACTCTCAGTAGTTGGTTACTATTATACAGCTTAAGTTATCATTATACTTTAAGCACAATTATGTTATAGCTTATATATATCCATATTGTAAGCTTACTACTTTGGTTCTTATAAAAGTATTCATTATAAACTATCAACAGTTTATACTATCACATTAATGGCTTTAGCTTAATTAATGTTCTATATACTTTTATTATATTCAGTAAATTGTAATAACCTTCTTTTAAAAGGCAGCTGTTAAATTAACAGCAGGAATTCAGTTCAGTGCCTTCATGAAGTTCCCATAGGGTTTTACAATCATCTCAGTTCAAATCACTAATTAGTAAAATCCAAAGTATATATAATCCCACCTCCTAATCCGTAGGATTCTACAAGCAAATAAGCATGAGTCAGGATAAGAAAAAATATGAAATTTTTAGAGTAAAATTAATATTTTTATACTTATCTTGACTCATGAGGTAAGCCCTCCCGTCCTCCCCACTTAACAGTTTGGATTTCTCGGGAAAAATAAAGTCTTGGGCTCAAAACAAAAAAGGAGAGAGTGAGGCACATGGGCTTGGGTGGCGCCCTTGTTCCCGCGCTTGCAGAAGGGAGGTAACTCGTGGTGAGTACTAATGAGTGATTTTTTATTGAAGGGAACTTCAATTGGGAGATACAAGTGTTCCACTAGGTTCACCAGAAGAAGAAGACAAGCAAATAAGCATGAGTCAGGATAAGTATAAAAATATTAATTTTACTCTAAAAATTTCATATTTCCAGAGTTTGAAACTGATGACTTTTTAAGTCTTAAAGGCCCACTAACAACCGGAAGAACTCTGTTAAAATGATGTCAGTGGCAGAAACAATATCTTTTTCAACACAATTATTCTTCAAGATGTGAAAAACCTGTGATAACTTCTCTAGAAAGCTGAACAAACAGGATAAAATTGTTATGGACATAAAATACATTTTGGTATTCATAAAAGAAACCTAGGGATTTCAGACATTGAAAATGGTGTTATTGTTCCTTTTGTTGAGGAAGGGGCTAACTCTAATGTTTGGCTACATGATATAACATGAAAGGGGATGTTTGTTGAGTTTGAAAATAGATCTAATGTATGTCTTCTCAATGGCACCTCATGTAAATTCCAAAGGGCACACCTAAACATCTTCATGAGTGTCTTTTGGCACAAAAGAGAATGCATTTCTACCTGTGATGTAGGAATTAGGCTGCCAATGTTGTATGATACATGTGATCCTGTCCACAGGCCTGTCCCTTCAAGCTGGACGTCTACACTGAGGACTGTCGTGATGCCAGTCTGGAGGTGGTGGGGCTAGAGACCCAGGCTGTGATGGAGGATGCAGTCTGTGATACTGTCATAGCCAAGGTACAGCATCTGGCATTTTTTACAGATACCCAACACAAATTATGGCACCCGAAGTCAGCGTCAGATTGCTCTTGCATAACAAAGTTTACCATGGTTACAGGAAACAAATGAGTATTTCTTCCTATTTCATCTACCTGTATGAAAAAGAAGCCAAAAACTTTGTATTGATAGTCAAGCTTGTGTGTATAAACTAACTGGGTGATGAATTAGGAAGTGGTTGTGTGATGTGGATTCTATAACACTTGCTCTATTGGTTCTAGAGTGAAGCGTCCAAAGTGAAGGGCATGAAAGACCTCAGCGTCTATACTTACATAGGTGATGCCAGAGCAACAGTCCTTGTGGAGAACCAAGTAAGTCCTACCATCTTCTACCTCAGTGTCCAAATGAAAGTTTGGTATTTAAACTTCAGTGTTCATGTTCATCTTCATTTTTTTACAATACATTATGCAATCAGTGGTAGCTGATGTTATGTTGAATTATATCCAAGTTATCTACCTATACAGGTTGCCAATTTTCTTTTATGAATATTGATGGTAATATCACCATTACAATATTTATGACAAGATATTTAATTAAAATTACATGAGCAAAGTTAAAGTAAGTTCCCTGAAATGAGGATATTGCCAAAAGCGGCTTAAAACTAATCTCACTCACTCACTCTTGCTTGCGTACTTAAATTTAAAGGGCACATTTTTGAAAATGATACACTTGAAACCAGCTGCAGATCTATACCTGATATGGTTTTGTTTGTTTATCACCATAGTCTTACAGCAAGATTAGGATCCAACTGGACTGCAGTAGAAGTAAGAATGTCGTCAGCAACCAGCGAGACCTGAACTACACTCTGACCGTGCCATCCAACACGACTATGGTAGGTGACCTGTGACCTAGCTAATGGGTGTTTCACTAGGAAGGTTTAAACCATGTCACGTTTCTCAGTTTCTTTAGAATTTGAATGTTACAACCTTCCCAAGGTTTGCACTGGCTTATATCTGTTGTTTATCATTTCTCAAGTAGACCAGGTTCTGATTTATTTCTATATGTTATTTCCCAACAGTGCCTGTTCTAAATAAGATTTTACTAGGGGGACTGCTATTTAAGGATATATCTCAATAGTTGTTTCTTAAATTCAGGACTCAATCTGCTCCAGAGAAAACAATGCTGTCTAAATTAATCAGGGCTAGATCTCCCAATGGTATGTACATGACTATGATGTGAACACCTGTGGTTATATGCCTCTTTTTTGTTTCACCAGATCGGTCACCACTTGATACCACGAGACGAGAAGGCAGAATGGATTGTCCGCTGTCAGGAGATCATTATCAGATAATATGACACTGCCTACAAATGGAGCATGTGTGTGACAGTGTTTAAAATTAAGCATGGAAGTCAAGGGCCCTTTTAGTAACACAGATGTCATAATAAAAGTACGAAGATCCCCAGATTCTGACGCAGCAGCAGCAAACATCAAGGACCCTTGACCCCCTTAATTTGGATCACTGTTTACTGATACAGCATTCACACCACACACCACATTGTGTTTTTGTGACTCTAAATATCATAAATGAGGCCGCATTTAACCATTTATTAGATTTTATCCATATTTTCTGTAAATCCTAAGGAGACTTTTCATTGTTTATGTATTTTTGTTGGGGACAAACAAGGCATCTTATGTACGATTACTGTGGACTGATGTTAGTAGATGAAACTTTAATGTTGTGTTCACATATTGTGTACTTCATCAAGTAAAGAAATGAAGGAACACACAGTGCTTTTCTTTGTGATTACTTAGAAACAATAAAAGATGTGGGTGGGGTGTTTGATTATGGGGTGGATGAGGGCAAAAATTCAGTAATTAATTTATTTGGAACCAATAACAGATGTGGGTGGGGTGTTTGATGGTGGGATGAATGAGAGCAAAAATTCAGTAATTAATTTATCATTTTATGGTGTTCTAAGTTCCATTGTGTGGGACAGATTTTTAAAAGAACAACTCTCACTAGATGCTTGATTGGCATTTTAGAAGATGCTATTTGATGAACATACAGATTTTTGTGGGTTACATCTTCTTTTTATTCAAGAATAAAAAGAAGATGTAACCCAGAAAAAATCTCCATGTTCAACTCCGTCACTGTTTACTCGACATCTGCTAATGATACAATCCAGTGTCTGGATGTGAGGTGACTTCTCTAAAGTGTGGTCTTTGTGAGACACAAAATCATAATCTGGATGCTAGTACTTAATTAGGCAGCTCAGAGATCTGTAGTAACTTATTGTTTGAATGTCTGCACAGTAGTGTATGTTTAGGTGAGCAGCCAGATAGAAATCACACATATTATTTCACCCTCATCTCAACAGACTTGTAATACTTCTCAAACAGATGTAAGAATATACTGACATTTGTGTGAATTAGGAATTAGTGTGCCTTTTCAGTGGGGTTGACAGGAGGACCTTTTCTGCAATATGTTGAAATTGAAATATTACATTGTTATTGGCAATGTTTTGGGTAAATGGGATCTTATAAAACAATGAATGTGCAAATTTCATTATATTTTACCTGTCGTGCTTACACTTTTTGTTACCTTCTGTTATTTTCCGTCCAGAATAATATATTTATACTTAGCAAACTTACACCAACTGCAAAATATATTGTACATACATGGGCGGATCCAGGATCCCTCAACCCCCCATTGGCTCTGCCAACGCAAAAAAATCTTCAATGTGGTCTTAAGTCATTTTCAAAGGGGGTGGGGGGTGGGTTCGAACCCCCCCCTCTGGATCCGCCAATGACATAAGATTCTATAGCTTGAGGTCAATGAACCCAGAGGAATGCTGTAATAAATGGTTCACCAATTCAGATAGTGTGTTGTCATACATCAGAGACCTTTGTGGCCTCAGTTTTTATACAGTGTGAACTGGTGCATAATCAAAACCATGTGGTATATTTTAATTGTTTGGGAACAGTGTGATAAGGGCAAAACTATATACCTTTGCATTGTTTTCTTAGGCCAGACCAATTTTATTTCTTGTTTTACAGATCCGCCGGTTGTATTTTTGCAGGAATAAGAAAAAAAAGAAAAGAAATTAATTTTCCCCACTCAAAAAATAAAATCCTAATGTATTTATTTGCCAAAAATGTAAACTTACAAGAAAAGTTTTTTTTAGAATGTAAATTGCCAAAAGTAAAATACTTTTAGTATTTAAAAGGAATATTACTTTGACTGGTGATTTATAAATATCTTTTTCCCCTCCTGCCTTTAGGTTTTCTTGGGTAAAAAATCTGTAAAACAAGAAATAAAATTTGTTTTGCCTTATGAGAAATAATTTCAGATCATCAGGAAACTTAACACTTTGCTGAATCGAGTATATTGTATGTGAAATGTGAAAATATTTCCAATCCTCTACCATTTTCAAGGTTACCTTTGATATTTATAACTTTCAAAAAGCAAAACCAGTTTTGTCCAATGTCATAACTTTAGAAGGATATTTAATGACTATTTCTACAACATCCATTCCATTTTACATCATGTCTGTGATAGTATGCAACAAGAATAATTAAAAATACAGGGATGTAATCTACAGCATAAATTGTTTCACTTCTGTGTCCACTGTATGTTCTAGTTTTTCTTGTTGCTGGATAATAAATAATATAAGTAATAAAATTTAAAATCATGAAAAGTTGTGTTTGTGTTATTTTATATGAGCGAGTGAGTGAGTATGGTTTTACACCGCATTTAGCAATATTCCAGCAATATCATGGCGGGGTACACCAGAAATGGGATGTAAATATGAAGTCATCTGATACAGGGCTACCAGAGACTGATGTGCCTTTCAAGTTCTGCGATAGTTTTTTGATAACTGGTTTGTCTAATTATTTTCTAATAAGGTTTGATAGCATCGTACATCATAGACATGCATCATTCTGGGCTCTTGTAACACATAAAGCTGACACACTATGATCACAGGAGTCTCCTGAGTAAAACAAGGAAATGTTCCCTATAACTCTTCCTGGTCAGACTGTCCTTGTACCTTATGCTTGTCCAAAGACTAACATGAAGAAGGTGGTCCATGCTATGAGAACTAGGTTAACTGCAAGCTTCTGTTTATAGATGATAGTGTTGTTACGATTCACTCGCGCATTTGGTGAATTGAACCTTATCCCTTCATGAATTCTGTTCGATATTCGTGATCTTTAGAATCAAATATTCATGAATTTGTATAAACGGAGTGTATTAACATGAGTTTGGGTATTATTTGTCAAAACATGATTTGCAAAATGGAAAGTATTCAAGGCAGATGACTACACTCATTTCTTTGAGAGTATACCCGTGAAGGTCCGGGTTAGAATGAACCTTCAGTAACCCATGCTTGTCGTAAGAGGCGACTAACGGGCTCGGGTGGTCAGGCTTGCTGACGTGGTTGACACGTCATTGGTTCCCAATTGCACAGATCGATGCTCATGCTGTTGATCACTGTATTGTCTGGTCCAGACTCAATTATTTACAGACCACCACCATATAGCTGGAATATTGCTGGGTGCGGCCGTAAAACTAAACTCACTCACTCTTTGAGAGTAATGTGGTCACTGATCATTGTCTTGATAAATTAACTGTCAGCATTGTAAGATTATGTAAAATAATATATATATTTTGTAATAATGTTACTCAGTGTACTGGATAATTACATTAACTGTTGACTTGTCATTGCATTCATTTCCCAATATTCATATTTGTTATCAAATATTCGTGATCATATTTGCCTCTAGTGGATTCTTGCGGCCCTAATAGATGGGTGCATCTGTAAACAACCAAGTCAGTTGTTTGTCAGAGGTGGAATGCAGCTTAATGTTGTATTCAATAGTATTGCACTTACATTGAGAATCTGGGTGTGTGGCTGCTTGTACCAATCTTGACTAATGATGGTTGTATAGTGACAGCCCGCCAAGACACAATGATTCAGCTTACCAAACTCAGAACTGCCCAGGCATCGTTTCATCATCTTAATGCTGAGTAACATCTTTGGTACGATCGACCTTCCTCCATCCTGGCAGACCACACAGGGTTTTCAGGAGAGACCATAGAGAATGTCCGGAGTTGTATTGTAAGATACTGACATCCATGTGGATTTTTTAAGGTGGGGATGATCCATCACCAGTCAGCAGTACTTTGGCTGGGTGTCCAGGAAGATTGTCTTAAAGAAGAAGAATATCTATCATTCTTTTTCAGATGAGGTCCTCCTTGGGGTACTTATAAACATTTTTATGTCCATTAAAAATTCCTAAGACAGTTGTAACAATATTTTGAACAAAATCCCAGATAGCATTCGGACATTGGCAATGTTGGCAAAACCATTGCCAATGTTGGGCCAACGTCTGAATGCTATCTGGGATATTAACAAAAAAACAACAACTCGTTTTTGTCTTGTTCGACCACCCCTGAAGGGCCCCTGCAGGACCCCACAATCAAGAGAAGGTAACTCTTAACCTTCATCCAAGCAGCCCACACAGGGTTTTCAGAATAGTAACAGAGAGAATGTCTGGAGTTGTACTGTAAGATGCGGACATCCATGTGGAGTTTTTTAGGTGGGGATGCTACATCACCAGTCAGCAGTACTTTGGCTGGGTGTCCAGGGAGATTGTTGTAAAGAAGGTAAATATGTATCAATTTCCTAGACACAGGTCACCCTTTGTTTTCCAGGTATCGAATTCCCACTGGGATTTGATTCTGGAAGGGATTCTAAATTGTATGTTTTTCTGCATCATGTTAACTCTCAAGCTATCTGACACATTCCACAAGTGTATAAACACAAAGCATTTGTTCAGTCAAGGACACAGTTTATTTTTCATCATCAATACATCCAGTTTCAATGCATTATTGGTGACAACTGATTATAACCATAAAACTACACATTAATCATACTTTATTGCACAAATTAAAGAATACGATGTTTCATGTAATGGCACATTGCTATAGACTTTGACCAATTATAGTTCAATCTCCTAAAAGTTACACCTCACAATCTTTGTTTGACATTGATGTTGTATACCTGTAATCTAAACTTCCCTTCGCTGTTGCAATTTAATTCCCGTAAAAGAATAACTATAGATGTCTAGAACAATAAATAAAAATCTGAAAGCTAAGTAAATATTCCATTCTGTCAACTGGCGGGTTCACATTCAGTCAATACAAATACTTGTCTCATTCACACACATACTTCAAGGGCGTCACACATTCACACCAAACTTTGTCCAATACATTATAAACATGGAAAGGTTTAAGAACAGTATCACTGGCAAATAGAAAGTTCATGCTTGGTCTCCACATCCTCCATCCAAGGCTTGATATGAAAGGAAGAAATGAATTATCACATACATTATTTTTTTTTTAATTTCCTTACCTGAAAATGTAAAAAAAGACACTGACAAATTGTTCAAACCTGTCCTCGTAGCCTTAACCATCCCCTTGACATGTTAGTCTACAATTACCTTATTTCATTTTCTTAACATGAAAGTGACATTAGGCGGACTTAGTTATTTTAGACAGGCTGATGTTGGTAAGTATCTGCAGAGAGTATGAGAGTGGGTATGGTTTACGCCGCTTTTAGCAATATTCCAGCAATATCACGGCAGGGGACCCCAGAAATGGGCTTCACAAATTGTACCCATGTGGGGAATCGAACCCGGGGTCTTCGATGTTGCAAGCAACCGCTTTAACCACTAGGCTACCCAATCGTCCCCTGCAGAAAGTAGCATTGCAAAGCACATAGTAACATTTCACAAACAACTAGAAAGATGGTGAACTGTCACCATTTAATAGACAATTTCATGTGATTTCGTGGTAACACTAGTCCAAGAGGACTCCTTGGAACAGGTTCATGTTAATATTTGGAAAAACTTCCACAAGAAAATAACAGGTCCATGGAACCTGGTCAAAGACCACTTGAAGGATGTTATGCTGCGATGTGTCTGACAACACAATTTCAGAGAGTTCTTGACCATGTTCAAGGAGAAGGATGACTTCCATAATGTTCCTTAACCATGTTCAATGTCAAGGATGACTTGGCAGATGATCACAATTCCACTGTATGTTTGTAAAATCGGGACGGTCTGATGGAGACAACATATATGCAAATCTCATCCTTCAAGTCCTTCCTCAATAACTGATGTCTGCATCTTTAAACAGACCAGATCACATACAGCACTTACGCCATAAATACCTCTCTGAGAGACGAACGTACATGCATCAAAGTTCAAAATCTCTTCAATCATCTCCACCAATGAATTTTTTCTTGTGTGGACACTTCCATCTCTGGGTTCATCAACTGTATTCTGATTTCTCTCTCAGGGCATACAACACATCATCCTGACTGACATTCAGCCTGACCCGCATGTGGAGGTCATTGCGACCATGCTCCACCAGGAGCAGACGTGAGCTGCCCAGTCGGGAACACATGGCAGCCAGTTCAGTCGTTGATGGTGGTTCCAGACCTGTAGAGAGTACAGCATATATTACAACTCATTACCACAATCCTTCACAATTTTCTGGATTTGCTTGAATATCATTTGATTAACATAATGAGTTCCATAAACCAAAAAAGATGTGTTCTTTAAGGAGGAATAAACAAGGATTGTACAGAGATGTTAAACTTTATTACTGAATGATGGATTATGTTTAAGATATCCATTAATGCAACGATACAAGTTGAATAGGCTTCACAATCTGTACCCATGTGGAGATTCAAACCTGGTCTTGTGTGACATAAACATAACAAGGCTACTTTCTTTCCTGTACTAGCACAAATATTAAGACATTACTAACAGCTGTTCTGTAGAGAGTTTAGTGCTTGATTACACCCACCTTCAAACCTGCACAGAGACATATGCTGTGTGTACAGCTTGGAGAACTGGGCTTCCTCTATCCCAGCCCTTTGGAACTCGGCCACGACAGCCTGCAGAAACAACTTCTCGTGCTTGGACAGGTTCCTGGATAAATGCACCAATATCTTGATGTCAAAAGTATCAATGGCACAATTCATGAAAGTTAAGAGCTTGATGGAAGAATATTTTATGTTGACGTGCAGTCCCAGGCATCAACTCAACAATTACCAGGATTATTATGATTTGAGTATATTGAGTTTTATGCTGATCCAAGCCAGGTCAAGTAAAACCAATCCCAACGGAGTGAAATGTGATTCCTCACTTGGGTATGGTTTTACGCTGCTTTTATCAATATTCATCAATATCACGGGAGGGACACCAGAAATCAGCTTATTACATCGTACCATGGTTGGAATCAGCATGAAGAGTGGACACTTTCACCATTAGGCTACCTCACATCTTCCTTATTTGCATGAAGTAAAAGGGGTATATTCAACTTGACATCTAATATTCGGCAATATTCCAGCCCCATCAGAGGATACCAAGAATGTCCACATATAGGGACTCATAAATAATCAGTTCTGGACCAAACAATGCAATGTAAAATGTCACAAGCATTGATCTGTGCAATTTGGATACAACAAGAAGACAAAGTCATCAATATCCCCCGCAATGGCAAAATACTCTTCCTTATTATGTCTATGAGTTATGATTATGTCAAATATTTAGGTGTGTATATAGAAAAGTGGAAGGAGAGTATTGAAAGGTTTTTAAAGTTCTGCTCCAGAAAGGAGCACTATCACCAATTTCAGTCAATGTCAAACTTGTTGCCATGGAAATGCCAAAAATATTTTATTCAGAAATCCAAAACTACCAAAAGGCACCAGTACACCACCAGATCTATGTATGTGCCAAGTTCGGTGAAGAAATAGCGAACAGTTTTAGAGTTCTGCTCCGGAAAAATGCACTACCACTAATTTCTGTTTTAGTCAAACTTGTTGCCATGGAAAAGCCAACAATATTTTATTCAGAATTCCAAAACTACCAAAAAGCAACCAGTACACCACCAGACCAATCTATGTGCCAAGTTTGGTGAAGAAATAGTGAACGGTTTTAGAGTTCAGCTCCGGAAAAGAGCACTACCACCAATTTCAGGCTAAGTCAAACTTGTTGCCACGGAAAAGCAAACAATATTTTATTCAGAATTCCAAAACTACCAAAAGGCACCAGTATTCCACCAGATCTATCTATGTGCCAAGTTTGGTGAAGAAATAGTCAACGGTTTTAGAGTTCTGCCCTGGAAAAGACAAATGTGGACGGACGGACACACGGACAGAGTCCATTTTAATCCCCCCCCCCCCCAAACGCGTTGCGGGGGATAATGACATGCAATAAATCTGACACCCTGAACCCTGTAATCGCCTCTTACAATGGATTGCCAAGGACAAATTCTAATCCAGATCTTGATGAGCCCAACCCAAGTCCAGAGCCAAAGTGATTGTGGTGATATAAGCGCCTCCTTACCTAATGGCCACAACTTTGGGGGAAGTAAACATCTCCTGTAGAGCAGCATCAACATGCCTCATCCCGATCATGATGACCGTCTGCTTCGTTTTGGCTTCCGTCTCTGCGATCTCAGTCGCTCTGCGGCAGATGTCCAGCGCCCTTCTGGCATCTCCGGACAATGCAGCAACCTTCCTAGCAGCCAACTGGACTGCATCTTCTTCAAACACTCTCAGACCTTTCATTCGTGACTCCACAATCTCCTCCAGTTGACGGAATGTGTATGGTTGAAATGTCATCCTTGTCAAACCCTAAAAGGAGAAGAGCTTTGTCAAAAGGCATACATATCAGTTTTACATATAAACAAATTTTCTATAGACATAATCAACTGATAACAAGGTGTTGATCCTGTAATACAATTAATCATGACATCTTGACTGGCAGGTGTGACCAGGAACTATTCCATCCATTATACACCTGAATGGGGGGGTTTGTGTGAGCTGGTGACCAGGACCACTGTGAATTATTAATTAAATCACCAAATCTCGAACAAACCTGTCGAGGTTACAGATTCTTTGAAGAGAATCCTCCTTGGGGTACATATAAGCATTTAAATGTCCATTTAAATTCCTACGACAGTTGTAACTATATTTGAATAAAAAAATTACAAAACGAAAACTACAGGGCCACACGGACCCCTCACAGCCAAGAGCAGGTAACTCTAAGCTATAACCTCGTACCCCATATTCCATGCTGTCGTTGATCAGTTCAGACTTGTTCAGTACTACCTAGCACTAGTTACACAATAAATCTGTCTGGCCTTTAACTATCTACTTTGAAAAGCAACATTTTCAAATACAGTGCAGCCACAATGACATCCTCATCTGAACTTCAATCCCACACATAACACATAGTTTCTAACAGTATGGCCAAGAGGATATTCACAAGATCCAGATTGGTGGCCATCTCTGGACAATAACCTAACCAAGGTCTGATCAGTGCCCTCACCAGTCTACTGGACACCCTCTTCATCATGATCCTCTCCGGGAGATCCATGGTGTTCGCCACAGCCAGGACAACCAGTTTTGCCTGCTGCTTTGTAGGCCAGTCGAAGATGTTGTACATGACGTCCTGCTTTCTTGTCCACAACAGGTCCAGCTGAAACATGAATTTATCCTGGTCAACTTTCCATCACCATGGTTACTACTACATAGGATTGTACAGACATTTGAAGTGGTGGATATGATAGTCGGATCAGGTGTCACACTAACAGCCATCAGTATAGGTTTATTGGTCATTTCATATGGTCATCCATCTTATTCTCAGCAATAACTATTTAATGAAATCTTAGGTACTGACAAGTCACATCATTCTCAAATACAACCAAAAAAGCAGTTTCTGGAGATTTTGGTGATCTTGAGGTATGTTGTTGAAGTGACAAAACCTGTGATTCTAATGCTTCATTTTGAAGCTAGCAAGGTATTTTTCCTCTTCTAGTTCCTAAATGCACTAACTCCCTACCTCATCCACAAGCAGGACAACGGTCTCTCGTCTGGGACCTGGTGTGCTGAATTTCTTGTTCAGTAGTTCCATGGCGTGTTCTGGTGTAGCTCTCTGACCCGTCAGATCCTGCAATTACATCACTTTTGGGTAAAAGGCAACTCATCTTCAGAAAAACACTGAGTAGGGAATAAAACAAAACATATCAGATCTTTACACATCATACACACACTGGTACCCCCCAATGATCATTCATCAGCATGCCTTGGAATTTGGCTGTTTCTCTTACCTTCAGCAGATGAACATAGGCTTGTCTGGGGTCTGTAAGCTTCATGCCATTGAGCTCCAAGAACTTGAAGTGAGGGACATCGCCGTCATCACAGCCCTGCACCAGTGATCTCATCACCTCTCTCACAGTGGCTGTTTTGCCCGTGCCTGGCACACCCGATATGTACATACATCTGTCATAGAAGATATATACATGTGATGGATATAAACAGTACGTTCCAAGACTTTACACGGCAATATCGCTTAAAAATTAATAAACGAATCATTGTGATCTCAGCGGTGGCTGAATTCAAATGTAATTCCAAAATTCAAACCTAGCATTCCTGAAACTAACCAGTGCGAAAACATGATAAACATTTTCAAAATTTGTCAACAATCAAAGGGGTACCTCAGCCCATAAGTAAGGGTGCACTTAATCTAACATTTCAACGTAACACTATGACAACACCACCTGTAGTTCCATACAGAGGTTTCAACAGTGTAATTCTCAGCAAGTCATTACAAACATGTTAGTTATGATTATCAAAGAGTCTAGGTCAAATGATTTCACTTGATGATCCCTCCTAACTGATTCTTACCCTCCAGTTCCATCCATCAATTTACTCTCTACAAAGGTGTAGATATCCGAGAACTCATTATCTCGGCAGGGCAGGCTGTCCGGGACTGCTGACACATGTAGTCTGAAATAAACAGTCACCATTTGAAAAATTGATACCATCATTCTTGCAAATGCATCACAGTTGCTTGCTATCAGAGCATATAGCAAGTTATGCAGTCAGGTCTTGAGAGAATGAGACCTACCACTTTAGTGAAAGGGTATAGGCAGTACAATTTGTAACCACTAGTGCGTAATATTGTTTATTTAAGACTGTAAGCATTAGTAGACTCCACCGAATCAAACTCAGACTCTCAGTGTGAGCAGCAACACTTAAACCGCTATCGCAAAGATTCATGTGAGCACAATATTTACTGATGTTTATTTTATTCAGAATCAAAGTCATGTTTTTAGACAAATGTAAGAAACATTTTTACAAACCTTGCTCTGGCCTCTTCAAGGGCACTTGTTGGTGACAGGAATGTTTTCTTGCGATTCGGAATTGAAGGTGTTACTGTATCTAGGAAAGATTTCTTGCCCTGGAAATCAAAGAAATTGAAGATTTTACCAATGAATTGTATATGTATAATACTTATCCTATCACACTATACTATACTTTTCTATACTATACTGAACTTTTCTGCACTGTTCTACACTACACTACACCACTCCACACAACACTACACTACTACATTATATCATACATCTATCCTAATTTACACACTGGTAACACCAGCATGGCTACATGACTAGCTCCCTGATCAAATGGAGTCGCTCCATTTATTGCCAGCGCCATGGTACTGAACTGAGTGAATGTTGCATAGAACTCGTAGCACCATAGCACATCTCTTTCAGGGTTTGACAAACAAGTGTTTTAATGCCTGTGTTCAGGATACAATAACCAAGTACTTCAAACACCTGATCATCAGCATTAGGACCTATTGTACTTGGGTGCTATTCAGTCACAGAATCCTCATAGCAAACAGTGATTCTACCACTGGAACTGCACTCTCATAGCCAATGGACCCGAACTAACCCGTGGTGTCTTGCCTTGTCTGGGAGTCTTCACAGAACTTGCTGACTTTGATGGCTTCCGTGAGCTCTTGGGAGTTCTAGATGACTTCTTTTTCTCAAACACTTCATCATCACCATCATCATAATCATCATTATCTTCACCATCTGACTCAGTTTCTGGACAGTCTGTATAGGTGGGATCATAGAGACTGTCATCCAGTTCCTTCATATTCCTGGACAAGAGAGAAACGTAAGTCCTTTGTGATACTTCACTAGTTGCATCAGGGGTGGAAATAACTTTAAAATTGCTAGTGTACTCTGGTTCAGTGGCACATGTAAAATCACTTGCCCTGATAATTTTTCCACTATACCAGTCGATTTTCTTGTTGATTTTTTAAATAAACAACATAATTAATATTGGGAGTTCAACTGGACACCGGTACAGCGTGATATACAAATTAGCTTGCCCGACAGAAAACAACACTGGACTCGGACGTCGGGCAATGGGTTATTTCCAACCCTGTGCATATAGCATAGCCATGTCTTAACGTTTAACAGTTCAATTTTCCAAATATGTGATGACGTGTCAAAAATGATTGGCATGAACATCGATTCCACACATCTGGGAAACGATCACAAGAAATCAGTCAGGTCTCAAAAGGCTGATCAACTCAGTCCACTTAGACCACCTGATTCACTGAGAAGAGTGATGAATATTAGTCAGATATACCTCCCTACCTTCCTATGCTTGTTGAGATAAGCAGCGTTTCCAGAAGCAAGCTAAACTCACAATCAATAACATCAAACTGTTTCAGCGCAAATGGCAACAATGAACATTTCACAATCGCAGTATAAACAAGAAAAAATTGTGTCCAGGGACACGGATGCCCCCGCTGACATTCATAAGACATATAAAGATCAATAATTGAACAAAATTCACGAACATGTTCAATAAACATCTATGCAACTATGACATGCACACCTTTCGAGTCTCAATGAAACACATGTATAAGCTTAATCAATTCTGTTGAGCAGTTTTTGTGGAGAAGTTGATAGACTTCATCCCCTATAACACTATATTCAGAGAGAAATTCAACAAAATTTATTCAAGTTTAAACGGCATTAAAAGTGGAAAAATAAATAAAATCTAATATCAAAATATGAGATGCACACCTTTAGAGTCCCTATAAAGCACATGTGTAATCTAAATGAATTCCCAGAGCTCCAAATAATATTTAGCTCATGTGGGTACTGTACCCACTGTATTTTTTTGAGTGGGTATTTCATTTTCCGTTACCCACTGCTTTCAAATATGTGCGCATTTCAGTCACTTTACTCACCTAAGTATTACATCATTGAGTAAGTTTACTAAGCAGGTATGTTCTGCCTTATGTCATACCTAATCAAAACCAACTTAAATATAATGGAAATTATTTCATAAAAAATCACTCATCCTTTACTGACAGTACAACACTTGTCCTATACTAACAGTACAACTTGATAGCAATCGATGCCTTTTTCATTACGCAAGCGATTTTTATAAATGTATTCCGTACTCATTTGTTTTAAACTTTTTGCGTATCTAACATTTTAAATGCGTAATTGGTACGCAACAATTATTTTTCAATGCGTAATTCTATGCGTATTTTACCCGGATACGCATCTTATCTGGGCCTCTGAATTCCATAAAGTATTTTTTGAGGAGAAGTGGATAATGTACACCCCCTGTTGTATGGGACGAACTGGATGAATAGAACCAAATTCAACTAAGTTCAAACATCTGTAGAAGTGACAAAATTAAGAAATTGGATGAACAAGGTATGAGACGCACACCTTTAGAGTTCCAATGAAACACACGTAGAAGCTCAATCAATTCTGTTGAGCAGCTTTTGTGGAGAAGTGGATAGACTTCACCCCCTACAACACTATATTCAGAGAGAAATTCAACAAAATTGATCTAAGTTCAAACGGCATTAAAATTGGAAAAATGAATAAAATACAAAATCAAAATATGAGATGCACGCCTTTAGAGTCCCTATAAAGCACATGTGTAATCTAAAAGAATTCCATAAAGTAGTTTTTGAGGAGATGTGGATAACGTACACCCCCTGTTGGATGGAACAAACACTGGCTGAACAGAACAAAATTCAACTAAGTTCAAACATCTGTAAAAGTGACAAAAGTAAGAAATTGCATAATAAATTATGAAATGCACACCTTTAGAGTCCCTACAAAAGACATGTAGAAGTTCATTCAATTCTGTTGAGCAGTTTTTGTGGAGAAGTGGATAGACTTCATCCCCTATTACACTATCATCATAGAGAAATTCAGCAAAATGTACCTAAGTCTAAACTTACAAAAAAAAACAATAAAATAAAAAAACAAAATATGAGATGCACACCATTAGAGTCCCAAGAAAGCCCATGTATAAGTTCATTGAATTCCACAGAGCGTTTATGGTGGAGAAGTGGATAGAATACATTCCCTGTTTCGTACGGACGGACAGACGGACGGACACCGAGGGTAACCCTATATGCCCCTGCCATATATGACGGGGGCATAAAAAAATTGGGGAAAATACAGCTGAAAAAGGAGAAGAAACGACTGCCTGCATTTGTATGGTCAAATTAAATCAAATATCAAAGCAATTCATTTAAAATCTGACATCAACAGGGCAAATAATGGAAACTCAAGCAGGCTTTTGTGACAATGACTTGTGTGAGCCCGATAAACTCCTTCTTAATTTGGTGATGTGCCTTAAAATGATGGCTGAAGAAAAGAAATGCCTAGACAAAATTCTGATCAACATGGTGAAAGGTATCTGATATACTACAATCTAGCAATTTCAAATACTGAAACAGACTTATGGAATACACCTACCTGATAACAGCTTTTGACCGTCTGCTAGGCTGTGACCTTGCCGCACTCTGTTTGGCTGCCTCAATGTCAGTTTGTAATCTCCGACGAATGGGACGCACTGATGTATCTGGTGTGTTGTTTCGCATCGATGTATAATTATTTTCAGACACTCTTTTCACTACAACTGTAGGTACACGCTTGACTTTGTCCGTCATACTCAATACTCGACTCACACTTTTCCTACCCTGGTTCACAGATGGTGTTTTCACCCCTAACCTCTTTGACTTTTTGGGTTCAGTTCTACTTCGTTTATGTTTGGATACTCCAGACCCCTGGTCACTGTCCAATGACCCACGTTTAGACCGAGCAGGTGTCTTATCAGATATTGTGTCCTTTTTCACAGATTTTCTTGTACTACGCACACTTTTTCTCTCCCCTGGCTGTGGAGTGGCATTGTTATTCAAGTCTTTGGTCTGTTTGTCATCCATTTTGGATTTTGTTCGAGATTTTCTTGCTGACCTTGAGCTTTTATCTTCAAGGTCAGGATTCTTCTTGTTTATTTTTGTGTGAGATATTCCAGAACTGGTTGTTGCCTCAGAAATGATTGACACACTGCCACAATCACTTGAATCCTCATCCAGCATAAGGAAATCGGTCACATTTGCACCCGTGTACCAGTGGTATTTGGAGTTTCCTTGTTTCGGACTGGTTAGATCTAAATAACGGAAAGGAAAATAAGAAAAGTATCTCATTTTTCACTTCTGAAAAATATACTTACTCTTTACAAGTGAAATTCTTCAAACATGAAGTGGAACACTTTTATGGATAGACTGCTTCTTTGTTGCAGGGGTAGTTGCGACGTTTCGATGTAGATCCTAACACCGTTATCAAGCAAATGATACACAACATTTATACATTTATACAAATATATACATGGCGTTTATTGGGTTTATACAATAGAAGAGGTTGATGTACGGTGTGTTGACTTAAGACTTGTTGTGATAAGAAATGATTGAAGCCAGTAGACAAAGGGTGGGTTATTCTTGATTACGCTTGATTAGTTGATCGTAAGTGTGTGTGGATCAGTCTTTGTGTGTGCAAAGTTTCATGAAAGAATACCAGTTAGTTCTACAGATGTGATCTGGACAAAAAACGATTACAGACAGACAGACAGGCATACAAGCTAATCAACATTAATCCCTGTATATCATATCATGGGGTGGGGGGAGGGATAATTCAGAACCAGAATTCAATGTAGAAAACCAAAAATACAAACATTTCAGGATAGGGGGCAGATTTTTCAAGGGAAACCTCAACATTTTGTGACCCAATGTTAGAACTTCCAACGCATTATTCCCAACTAGGACCTTAATGCTGATACCAAATTATCTCAAGTACATATCATATTTATGAACCAGTTTGCTTGGGTCAAGGTAATCATGGTTTTAAAACTGAAACCCATCACTGACATCATGAAAGTGGAGAAATTTTAAAAGACTTACCGATTGCTGGAGATCTTTTCTCCCCACTGAATATTTGTCCTTGCAGAGGAATAACTGGTGACTGACTTCCTAAACGTTTGACGTTTACTTCAGGCGACTTGTTTACGTTCTTCATCACTCTGTGCATAGGCTGGCACCGTACTTCATCGGAAACATGTCCATTCTGTCCCGGTTTGGCACCGTGCATTTTGGCAGGAGTTCCTGTGTGAGAGTTTTCCTTGCAGTCCTCATTGGCTGCAGCCAAATCTGTGAACTTTCCCCTTCGGTAGGATTTTCTAACGAAAAAGTGTGGCAACGTTTCTTTTGATTTCTTTCCTACTGGCGCAGACTTTCGTTCCTCAACCTTAAGGTGTGAAAAATGAAGTTTCATCAACAAACGAACATACAGTGTTTTCGGTGGCATTTTTATCTACAGGTGCGATGTGCCAGTAGCAAACAAAGTACCAATCAAGGTGAAATTTACCAGTCCTCTCATCCCTCAAAAAAAGATCCAAGACTTTGGACAGAACCTATTTGCAACTACCAGCATTGACAGTAAAGGCACTATATCACATTAAACTTCTCTAAAAATAAAACGTGCATATCTCTCAATAATACTAACTATCAGCCCTCAGAGAAGCTACCATATAATTTATTCCAAAGATAATTTACGTGTTTTGAAATTACAATATTAAATTAAAAAGTTCAAATGAATTAATGCAACGTTGCATTATATTGACTCCTGCACCCTCTACCAGATGAACATTATTTCAAGCGAACCCCATAGAGTTATGTCCATTAGAGCACTCTTTACGAATATCCTACACACAACTTGTGATTGAAACACCAACAGCACAGCATGTGACAGTTTTTGATGTACAGATCAATTGTTTACATTCCATAAGTGTTTCTGTTTGGAAGCTGTTTGCCTCCAAGTTTCAATTATCGACTTCAGGCAAGTCGTAAGGGGTAACAAGTCTTTTATTGCATCAATAGGAAGCTAAAGTGAGTACATATGCCCCAATATATATAATATAGGCCAAAGTATTGTCGAAAATGTGTGACATTGTGCATTTAAGCATTATTTAAAACAAGGTCAAACCGGCATAAAACAAGGAGCAAAAACAAAGAACACTTGTTATTTACTATGAACAGAAGACATTTCATGGACTCTGTTCAACCTGTAGTGATTGGGTACCCTGTAGCTGCCGAGTGGTCTGCTTCGTTTATGGTTAATTTCAGAATGCTTTTATGGTATCACGTGATAATGCAATGTGACTGGAAGCTAAAAGCCATGTGTTTTTGCTTGTGAGAGAATGAGGCGAGGTCTTACTGTTTTTCAACCGCTAGTTTGCAGGATTGGCACTGTATATTCAAATAGTATATGCAGATAGTACAGATATAGTATGACCAGAAATTATTGAGAATTTTAGGAATATGTTTAATTGGATTTCTAGTATAAACGACCTTGACCAGCTATCCAGTGCTTGGTTTCATTCAAGAGAGACAACTCTGTTAATCCTTTTTCATTAGTTTGTGAAGAGTTATCCCCCTTTGTTTACTTGCCAGCAGACGACATTTTCAGTGATCCTCAGTATGGATGATTTAGAGTAGAGGAAGTTGATTTTAGAGTATTATAACAAGGACATCAGATCAGCTAAAGTGATTTCAAGTAGAACAGGCATCCCTTTGTCCACTGTTTATAGTGTTTTGAAAAATATTGCAAATGGATATGGCACTGAGCACCAGGGAGGCGCAGGTGGGCCGAGAAAATTGACTGTCGGTGACAGGAGGCGGCTTAGTATTCTTGTTTCTAAAAAGAAACAAAGGAGTTTAGAAAACTTAAGGCTGGATATGATTGATAGAGGAACTGTGGCTGTCTGTAAGGAGACAATTAGAACTGAGCTGCATGCAATGGGTTGGCAGAAAAGTCGAGGAATTCCATCACCGATCATGAAACCTGAACAAAAGGAGAGAAGGTTGAACTGGTGCTTACAGCATAGAAATTTTAACTGGGACAATGTGATTTTCTCAGATGAAAGTTCTGTGTGGCTGTTTCCTAATACACTGAAATTCTGGACCAAACAAACTGAAAAACCTTTGTATCAGCGCCCAAAGTACAGTCCAAAATTTAACGTGTGGGGTGGCATATCTGTGTTAGGGGCAACACCCCTCTGCGTATTTGAAGGGAATAAATATGAACAGTGAACGGTACACAGATATTCTCGAGGGACATTTACTTCCATCTGCTCACGTGTTCTATGGAAAGTTTTGGATTTTCCAGGAGGACAACGAACCCAAAACATCGTTCAAAGCATTCACAGGCCTGGTTTCGGACCCAAAATATGACATTATTAGATTGGCCAAGCTATAGCTCTGACCTAAATCCAATAGAAAATGTTTGGGGACTTATGAAGGAAAGTGTCAATAAGAAAAATCAGACAAATATTGCTGAAATGAAAGAAGAGGTGGTCCGATATTGGGACAGCATGGACCACGACCTTCTAACTTCTTTGATCAGTAGTATGCCCCACCGCATTGAAGCCTGCATTGCTGCCCATGGCGACTTAACAAAATACTAACTGTTCACCAGTCTTTGAATCTGGAGTTATGTTCTGCTAATATTCACATTTAATACGTGAGTAATGAGTGAAAAAAAAAAAAAATTACAATCTTAAATTCTCAATAATTTCTGGTTGTACTGTATGTGCAGATATATGCGGACGAAAGTAATAAAATCATAGTTGAAATGTTGATCATCGTGTTGAAAATGAGACAAGAAGCTAGGGTACAGTACAGTGCAAAGCGTCAGCATATCCAGTAGCACCTCAAAGGCAGCTTTGGTTGTATGTCTGCCACCGGAGTGCAGTATGATCCTCTGATTCACACTCCGGCACAGCGATGACTAACATAACATCACTGCCACAGGCCAATTTACATATCACGTGACCGGACATTTCTCTTGTTTGTAATCATGCGCGCATATTCATAATAATAAGAGACTGGACTCACGAAAGCTTTTCGGCGCTCTCTTCATAATGTTTTACATTGTTACATATATATTCTTCCACAACTGCGACAGTAAGGTCTATGACAGTACATATTTAGATATCAAACTGGCTGCATGGTTTGCTCTCCATCAGCTTCGATGACAGCACGTGGAGCCGTACAACCTATATAAACAAAGGATCGATACGCAAATCGAAATAGTGTTGCATGTTTTTGGATATTTTCTCAGTGAAACTAAACCATTCTATTAAAGATGTTTAGTTAGATGTGTAGACTTGTCAAAAATAAAAGAGTAAAAGAAATCTGTACATTATATTGAATGGACATTGCAAGATGTGATGAATCGTCACATATTTCTGGCCTGTGGCAGAGGTACTATGCTGGCTTGCCGCATGGAACACTGGGTAGGAGAGTGCCTCTGATTGGGGTAATAATGCGCTCTGACCACTTTGTCTAGCATGGAAAAAGCACCATACAAATGGAATAATATTACTATTTTATCATAATACTTTAGTGGCTATACCCTTGACTGGGTTTGAAGTCCCATAAACTTATTGTCCCCTTAAAGGTATGAAAGCCTATGTCATTCATACAATATTTATATATATCACCATTTTTAATCACAGAACTATTGTAAATTTTAGAAAAACGGAAAAATTTCATACAGTCGATGGAAGCATAGTATTACAGTAAATATTGCCAATGTGATGTTAATTTTTTACTCACTCATCATAATATTACAAGACTGACATGAAACTTCTAATAGTAAATATCTTACCACACATTTGCCAATGATGGTGTCTACATTCACTTCATGGGCCACCAGCTTATCTGTGTTGAGGAAAACCTCACGGTCATCACTCACATCCGATAGTTTACACAGGTCTTGTTTGGGGAGCTCACTGAGGCGCCAGTACCAAACTAAACTGGCTATCTTCTGCACATCCTTCTTTATACCTGAGAAATATATAACATATTAATTCATCGTTTAGAAAATGTCAATCAACTTACCTATCATAAAATGTCTACCTCTGCTGACACAAATACTGACAATTTCAACTAATTCCTTAACAGAAGTAGGAGAGCAGAGTGACATGATAGCATTTGACAAAACTCAAAATGATGTCAATACATGGTCTGGTTAAAATCCAACAACAGACATATCACATGACCTGACATTCGCAATATATCTTTTGTTGTGATCTAGCCTGGATTACTGCACTACCAAATATACTCAGTTCTTAACGAGCTAGCATCCTGTTTGTAGATGAAAAAGGGAGGCCTTGTCAAGTCACATTATCCTATACACAGCCAATATTAACACCTAATTAACTTGTCAAAACAGTGATAATAGCAACAGGTGTGGATGTCATTACTCGAGATGACTACTAACAATTAACTGAGTCCTCCAATATCTAAAATTCAGTGGCACAAAGCAGTGCTCGTTCTGACACTATTTCTGGAAAATGCAAGGCTGCTCAAACAGACAGACCACCCAAACAATTTCTACCACTTTCTATAGTAAAAATAAGCACCAAAGTTGCTGTCTTCTTTGTGGGACATTTTAGAAGTTGGGGAGTACAATGTTGACAAACTTTATAGATAACATCTTCAATTTCTGGGTGCAACATTCCGTTACAGATTCTTGTTCAAGCAGGAATGACTGACTGACTGACTGAGTTTGGTTTTACGCCGCTTTTAGCAATATTCCAGCAATATTACGGCGGGGAACACCAGAAATGGGCTTAACACATTGTGCCCATGTGGGGAATCGAACCCGGGTCTTCGGCGTGACGAGCCAACGCTTTAACCACTAGGCTACCCCACCTCCCCCAAGCAGGAAGGAAATTGCTAAGGCAGAAGGTATTAAACACCAAAAGCAACAAGATCTTGCTCAGCGTGAGAAGTCAGATCCTCAGGATAAAGCACTCATCCAACATTTATGAATATAAATATGTATTGGGTATTGAACCCCATGAAATATTAAGATCATTTTCTGGAGTGAAAACCTCTAATGATTATAGTTTGTCTTTGTTGTGGTGCATGGTACCCTACACATTTGTGATTTCGGTCACAAATCAGGGGGAGTTTAGCTGCATTGATCCTGGTGTATCCATGGATGGGTGACACGGTAATCGGAAAAAAGCATCAGGTAAAAAATAATCGGAAAACAAGAATCAGTTCACACATTTGTTGGTGGAATAATGACACACCTGAGGTGCTTTACTCTTATGAATGTCTAGGAATGGGGTCCTGCCCCATAATAAAGCAAATGTGAGTGCATAAATATGGTTTCACCCAGCTTCTAGCAATATTCCAGCAATATCATGGCAGGGGACACCTGAAATGGGCTTCGAGCATTGTAATGATATCGGGAACTGAACCTGTGTCTTCAGCATGATGAGCAAACACTTTAGCCACTATGCTACCCCAGTCCCCCCAGATGATTTGAGCACGACATGCATATATATGTTCACCCAGTAGGGTAGCTGGGATGAGATGGTAATGTGACTGTTAACCTTCTAGGGCCTAACAGGCAGCTTGGGTTGTATATCTGGTTGGTTTGTTGTTTAATGCAGCACTCAGCAATATTCCAGTTATATTGAGAGGGTCTGCAAATAATCGAGTCTGGATCAGACAATCCAGTGATCAGCATCTTGAGCATCGATCTAAACATTTGGTATACCCTGACATGTGCCAACCAAGTCAGCAAGCCTGACCACCCAATCTTGTTAGTCATCTCTCCGACAAGCATGGGGTGGTGAAGATCAATTCTAACCCGGATCTTCACGGGTTGCTTAGTTTGTATAATACCAATCAAACAGAGAATGAATCTCAAGTGCACACACATCCATTTACCAGTTACCTAAGGGTATGGATGATTCACAATGTAAGGCCATACATTATTATTAAGTATTTGGACCACTAATCATCATCTGGCAAAATCAGAAAAAGTAACTAACTGGTCTCATATAATGCTTTGATTCTTCCAATGTAAGCAGTTGTTGTATCTCCATCATTATCTTCTGATGACACAAATACAGTGTCATTTTCCCAATATTCTTCTCTGTTCAGAATGAAGCCTCTAAAACAAAAGATCATTATTTAAAGAAATCTGATATAAGTGGAAAACTGTTCAAACTAGTGTTAAACCCAACTCACTCTTATTCAAAGTCCTAGGAATGAGAATGTATTTATATACATGTAGTTATGGGTCTGGGGACTATACTTAAGTATACAGTTCGCTCTACCCCCATGTATAGTGTAATGAAGTAAACTTATGCCCTGACCTATCATAGTTAAAGGCGATGACAACTGACATGCATCATGACACCGGTTACCAAGGGTATGTTTCATTACATGGTGCAGACGAGAATGGCAAAGTGACGTCAACACAGTGTGATGTAATTTAAAAAAGTGTACTTTATCGCTTGATAAAGTACTCTCAGCACCTTTGATCTTTCAGTGAAGCATCTTAGGAATGATATATATTTAATGATGTAGACAAAATATTATCTTTTACATAACAAAATGTGCAAGGTTTTCTCATCTCTGGACACCTACACTATGACATACAGTTATTAACTGTCCTTCATGTTTCATCAAAGGTTTACCCAACAAAATCTGCTTAATAACTTGGACTTAACATTCTCATCCCTGAATCCTAAAGTGGGGTTTAGATAAACTAAGGGTATGCATGGTATCCTCCCAAAACAGACTAAAACAACAAACTAAAGTAACACTGTCTCCACCCACAGCTAATCTCCTGCCTTCATCCATAAGTAAATGAAACATTCCAACTAAACCTGAAGTATATCTACCAAAACATTATATCTTAGATGAGGAATGGGATACCACAGGTTAAATATAAAAACAACAATTTTATTATGTTTGATTGCACATCTATGTCATGATACCATTGTAATTTGTATCATAACTTCTAATAGCACATTTAAGACATGTATAATGATGTCTGGTAGTATTATGGTAACAAACACTAAAAGCACAAAATTATAACGATGAGCAAAAATAACTATATATATTCAGGTAATATAATTTGACTTGAAGTGGGGATACACGCGGAAGTATTTCCATTAAACTGACACAATAGTAAATATTCCCTGTGCCTATATTAGGCTATAATTCATAAATAAAAAAAGTTGCACATTGATGTATTGACGGGAAAATAATATTGTGCTAATGTTGTGCTACACAAAGTTCAATCAACCTGTATTGCTGATTTCGCTTATCATCAGTCCAAGAGCCTCTCTCGATCCAAGATGCCTCATCAAGTTTTGATCCACGGATATACCTCCGTTCGGACGGCATCTTGAAATCAACAAGTTTTCAGTGGAACATGCTGTATTGTTGTCATACTCGCAGCGCCCCCTAGTTTCGCGCCAAACTGAACGCCCTATAGCCTGTTTCAAAATGGCCATGTGACTGGGCGAGATTCAATGACGGTCGATCTTAACCTGTTTAGTCATCAGATTATGACATGAATAAAACAATATACCTTTAATGCAAAGATTCCATCGAAATTCGGGGTTTTTTTTGGTTTATATACATATTGGCGCTGAAGGGGTCTTTGTCGGCATGGGCGCTACAGATACGTACCCCAGGTGCGTTTGTTGTGACCTTAAAGCTAGAATGGTCTTAAGTCTAGTACGTTTCTGTATACAGATATGTACCCTAAACAGAGTCAAAATACGGAAACGTACCCGGTACCCTAAAAGGCGGACGAGTCCATATTCCGCAATCCAAAACCGAAACCGTGCGTAGTTGTTCCCGTTCAACTAATTCCGAGTAATATAATTATACATTATGCATCGCGAAATATCCGTTACTGTGTATTCTCATTACTTACATAACGCAATCACATGTATCTAATACAACAGTATGACAGTTCCGATCAAGAATATGACACAGTGGGAATGGAATCGTCCTAAGGTACTTTTTGTATACAGTTCTAAACGTACCTGGGGTACATCTGTAGTACCCGTGCCGACAACGACCCCTTCAGCCTTGCTGGCCATAGTTATTGCGATTACTATGAGTAAACACATGGCCATTAATTTAGCTCGTAACCGTTTCCTAGGACAATTCTGTTTGAAAATGTTGGCCCGAACAATCGATCACACGCTTGCATACTGAAATATACATGTAAAGCCGGTGCTTCTCACAATATCTCAAAAGCTCTTGGTCTTTTTTTTTGCGTAATGCGAAGGCGACAAGCACATTTGGTTACTAAATATTAAATTTTCTGGACATTTCAAGTCCTTGACACTCAGAAAACACACGATGGCAAGTTATTGGCATGCATGATGTCATTTTGCAATATCAATGCTAACGTGAACCACACGGTGTTATATTAGTCGTCTACAGGAAACTCGTGCACGGCCACCGGTGAAGTAAAGAGTCGTTGGGCTCATTGGTCTGATGAAACTCCTTCATTATCTACTACACGTGACTGCATGTTAGATCTCAATACAGTACCCCCGGACAGTCGAAGGTCAACAGGAAGTACTGGATACTGCCGTCGTGCCACATTTTGATAACCATCCCCTTGCTGGTCGTCCGATATTCATGGATGGCGACGCTAAACCTCACGCACCATTCTCGAGCCATCATCGCCCATTTGCTGAACAACACAGTCCAAACATAACCATAACCCGCAAAGAGCTCCGATACCAACCCCATCAAACATCTCTTTGACGCCAAGTCGATCCGAGCTAGAGATCCTCTTGTTCAAAATCTTTTAGGAATTGACACAGGCACACCATGAGGTCTCTCAAAATGGAATGGCCCTTATGTAAATATATGGCATGAGGGTGAGACGATGTCTGTGAGGAATCCGATATCGACGCTTCATTGCCGGTATGAGGAGGTAACTGGCAGATGGTTAGACCAGGAAGTGACGTGGTCGCCATGGCGATCCATATGATCATAACAATCATTATTTCAGAAGTGTGACAATCTGATTGGTGGTGTAGTCTTAGTGACCACACTTTCCGGCAATGTTGATATTCACATTTTTGTTACCAAATTTCAATTTCAATCAGCCAAATAGATATACTGAGTCAAAAAAGAAACTTCAGAAAATGTAATTTGAAAAATAATGAATAATTTTTCTCTGATGATACATCTATGTATCCGAAATGGGATCCCTATCTTCGACTCTAGAAAACGTTAGCAAAACCCACTCAAACCCATCCATTCGTCGTGCAAATGACGTTAGTGCCAAATCAGGTTTTGCACGTGCAGTCGATCACGTGATCTTCGCATCGAAGTTTTCTTCATATGCACGTGTTTGCATTGGCCTCAAGAATTGAAAAACACTTTTAAACCACAGTTCTAACGGTACTTTGAAATGCCACGATTGTCAAATGTGCAACGTGAACGTGCCGTTGGCATGTTGCAAGCGGGAAGATCAGTTATTGACGTCGCAAGAGCAATGGGATGCAGCCGTCGTACTGTGTATGACTTGCGAGGTCGTCTACAACAAACTGGCACCACTTCTGATCGCCCAAGGTCGGTCGTCCACGTGTGACGTCACGAGCAGAAGACCGTCAAATCGTCCTACGTCACCTACGTGACAGATTTCTGCCGGCTACACGAACCAGGGCTGAGATGTTTAGAGGTCGACTGTCCTCACAGACCATTCGAAATCGGTTGCGGGCTGCCAATCTCCATTCTCGACGTCCATATCGTGGGCCAATATTGACGCCGTTTCATCAACGTCAACGTCTGCTGTGGGCCCAACGTCACCTCCGATGGACCCAGAGAGACTGGAATCGAGTCGTCTTTAGCGATGAATCCAGGTTTACCCTCAGATTCGCGGACGGCAGGCATAGAGTCTGAGACGACGTCGTGAACGGTATGCCCAATGTTGTGTACAGGAAGTCGACAGATTCGGGGGCGGAAGTTGCATGGTGTGGGTGCTTTCTGTGGGAACAACCGTTCCCGACTTCTGGTCATCCGTGGAAACCCTCACAGCTGCTGCTTACCGCGACCAGGTGCTCACCCCTGAACTCGTTCCTTTCATGGCGGCTCATGGCCCAGGTCTACAGTTCCAGCATGATAATGCTCGGCCGCATACCGCGATGTTGACACGAAATTTCCTTCAAAACGCTGGAATCAACGTCATGGACTGGCCATCGAGGTCCCCTGACCTTAATCCAATAGAGCACGTTTGGGATGCACTTGGGAGAAGGCTTCGTGGTCTTAGGAACCAACCTCAGAATTTGCAGGAACTTGGCGCTGCCTTGCAAGAGCAATGGCGCAGAATCCCCAACCACGTGTTCACAAGCATCAGGCAGTCGATGAGGAGACGGTGTTTGGCAGTGGTGAATGAGCGGGCGGCCATACACGATATTGAACTGAGAAATTTCTGCATTTTTATTCTTGTGACTTGACATTCTGTATACCCATGTTTTGGAACGGCGGTGTAGCCTAATGGAACTGATTATGGCACTGTCAGTGTATCGAGTACATCACACAGATCTCAGCAATGAAATAATAACAATTTAACCATCTTACCATCTCTTGTTCTTTTATAGTGCCCTGAAGAAAGAATGTGAAGTTTCTTTTTGACTCAGTATATTATTCTTGTTACGTTGATGGACTCGTGCTTAATTCATTTTGAAGGTTCAGTTGTACCAGATATACATCTAGATACATATTTTATATGACGGAAAATGTATTGCTTTTTTGTATGAGTTATGCTTATTGCACAGAATTACGAATTTGGGTACGAAACTTTTCATTTTTAGGGTTTACGGATTCGTTGAGGTTACAATTGTACATGCACCCATCTCCCATATTTCATTACGCCATCTCTTCCCAAATGTCAGGAATCTGAGCTGTACAATATCTCGTGCATGGTAAAGCGCCAGCGCAACATATTCAGGGAACCAGGCTGAGTTGGGGTCTTTCTGTGATATGAAGAGACGGGTCCCAATCCAATAAACGGGAACCGGAAGTGTACTGAATCGTTCTTTCAAACAACATGGCGAATCGCACAGTGAAAGATGCTCATTCTATTAAAGGAACGAATCCTCAGTATTTAGTTGAGAAAATTATACGCACGCGTATCTACGAATGTAGATATTGGAAAGAAGAATGTTTCGCCCTTACAGGTACTCCATATACTGTTCACGTTTGGATTTGTAAACATCATACATCCATTCTCGTCACCTGTTTTCGTGGCAACACTGTATTTCGCCATATCTCGCACTAGAAGCATTATATACAGCAATGCAGTCGTGTTACAAATGGATTTACAAGTAGTTTTCGTGATAATTAGTAAACATGCTGAACTCCCGAACGAAAAATGTTCAATATTTGTACCCATTTAGATTCTACAATCAGAGACCATATGATCTCTGCTGCAATGCTACATAAATTGGAGCCGATGAAATTCCATCATGAATTCACATATGATTATTTTGATTTGTGGTCATTTAACTGAATCTGTCGAGTGATGAATTTGACCTTGAGCCAAGACCGGCTGCAATCATCCCATTGATGATATCATTACTCTGAATCTGGTGTCAATCACTAATTATAGGTGTCAGTTTCCATGTTTTGGGGTTCTGCTGTCTCAGAAATGGGAAGCATGATTCATTGTTGATTTTTCCAGACACATGATATGTATGTCCATTTACCGTAATTAGGGTTTCTTCTGAACATGCTGAAGCATTCTAATATCTTGACATACATGAAAGTCAAATGTCCACTATTATAGATGTATCATTGTAAAGGAAATAGTCTGGATCTCAAATGAACTAAAAATTAAATTAATTAAAAGTAAGTTCTGTATTTCAGCTGCCTTAATGGTGGACAAAGCCATGGAGCTGAGGTACATGGGAGGGATCTATGGGGGCAACATCAAACCCACCCCATTCCTATGTCTGGTGCTGAAGATGCTGCAGATACAACCCGAGAAGGACATTGTGGTGGAATTCATCAGAAACGAAGATTTCAAGTGAGCCACCAGATTGTGAATGATGTATGAATAGCACTGGCCCAAAGTGAAATCATCCAAATAATAGGTGTGAAATGTTACGATCTTTCCACAGTTCGGTACATATTGCAGTACAAGGCCTTAGTTTCGGTCAGTTTCGGTTCATTATTATGAGATATGATCATAATGCAGAAAATTGACAGGAGCCGAACCTTACATTGTTTAATAACATGGGAAATAATAGCTGTAATCTTTGTTATTTTGACTGAACAAAACTGTCATTTAAACAGGTCAATATAATGAAAATACCAAATTTTTGGATTGCATTACGGTATACCAAACCGAAGGCAAAGAACTGTGGTTCTACTAATACCAAGGTATACCATTTCACCCCTACCTAATAATATTTGCTTATAAATGACCCCTAACAAATAACCATCCTGACAGTTATCATTGTATATCATCCGTAAGCTATGGTATCACATCACTTATATGATACCACCGTGGCATTGCTGGAATGTTGCTAAAAGTATTGTAAAAATAAGCTCACTCACTCACTTCTATGATCAGTGCTATTGATGCATACAGTTGCAGTAACAGCCATACCTCTTGCTGTAGTCAGTCTCTGGACCCTGGAGGATAGATTATATAAAGTCAGTCCAATTTATGTTCATGGTGCTAAGTCCATGATCATTTGGCAAGTCAAGATTGTCTTAGTCTTAGGGCTAAATTTTTATTTAACTTCTACCTTGTTTTATCTGCCAGTAAATGTTGTAACTTTATTTCTTGGACTAAATGTTACTCTGCTTTTGCAGTTGGCAAGTATCCTGGTCTGGGAAGTGAATATGTTTATTTCTTATATGATTGGAAGTTAAATAGGGGATTTATTTCATTCTCTGACTGTCTATTGGTAAAATAAATCCAGTCTGTCAAGTGATGATTCTAACATTGAGCCAAGACCAGTTGCAATGGTGCCATGATGATATCTTGACTCTCCACTCTCTGTGATATAAATTAGTCATTACTGAGCATATGTATCATATATATACTATGGATTTATTTCACTGACAATTATTACACTGACAATTTTATGATATAAATCTGGTATTTATGATGTATCACTATAATGTTTAAAATAAGAAATAAAATATGTCATTCAACTTTTGATAAGGTTACAGAGACTCACTACTTGTGGAAACTTCCAGATTCATTGTATTGGTAATAATGCATTGTATTCAGAACCTTCTGTCATGCATGACAATGCATCTCCATGTCCCGTGTAGGTATGTTCGAGCTCTTGGAGCAACCTACATGAGACTTGTGGGGACATCATTAGACTGCTACAAATATCTGGAACCACTGTACTATGACTATCGGAAACTACGTCACATGAACAGATCTGGAGGTGGGTATACATTAACACATTCTATGGTTTGACTGGTCCATGACTCCAGTCATGTATTCCGATCCATGTTAATGAAAATTACAGAAAAAATTCAAAAATTGAATTAGAAAATGTACTTTTTTCTCGTTACTCTTAATGTTGGTTAAGTTTGAGATGTGGAAAGGTGACTTGTCTTTACTTATGTTACAGATGAGATATGTATTATATGTAGTTTGATATCCCATTTCATATGTTCAAACTTTAAGATAACACCAGTGTATGAAGATCTCATTTTTATAATCAAGAACTGAACAAATATGGCTGTTTAATCTTGAAGGGAAACAGGCAAAGACTTGTGTACATTTGTGTGCTTTTTCAGAATTTGAAGTTCTGCACATGGATGAATTCATTGATGAATTATTGCGAGAAGAAAGACTCTTTGACATCATCCTTCCTAGAATACAGGTAAAATTTTACATACAAGTGTGCCCTACAGTGTGGATGCTACAGCTGTTTTATGGTCAGTGAAGTCTTCCATAGACATCTGCCATTACAGTTGATAATATGTCATCTATGTGTGATTCATTCAGAATATATACCAGCCCTTCTTCTATAGACATCCGACATAGGTAAGTACATGGAGCATTATAAATACAATCAAAACTTTAAGATTGCTTTATCAACCATTTTACTAATAAAACTGGTTACCATGGTTACAGAAGCGGGCTGTGTTGGAGGAGACAAACCAGCTGGAGCCCCGAGTGAGTGCAGTGGAGGAAGACCTCGAGGACATGGAGACAGATGAGGAGGAGGAGCTGGTTATGGTGAGTCCACACATCTAACAGAACACATATACAGACATAGTGAAAGTATCTGAGCATTCCTCTATTGTTTAGTTTAAATTAAAATTGGAAGCAAGTCCCTCAGTTCAAACATTTAGATCAGATAGGCTTCATTTTGTCCTTCAGCACTAAGGGGCATGGATGCCTAGTTGTCTGTGGCACCACAGTTTGTCGTTCCTTTGCATCCCTCAGGTGTGCCAGAATCCTTGTTGGTTCAAATCCCAGATTCACCCTGATTACTATTCATGGTTTGTCAGTACCATGCCCTTACTTGTGTTTCACCAATCTGGTAAAGATGTAAGACATGCATCAGTTAGGCTGTTGTCCCATATCAGGCTGACATCACTTGGATGAAACTAATCGATAATTTTTGAAGACTGTCCTTTGAGCACTACTATGAAATTCAACGAGGGTGCTTTATCTCAGTAGCTCATCACATAGATTTCAAACAGGTGGTGTATGGCAAAAATCTTGAATATCCTACAGGCGTTTGAACCAAATACAGATTGAAAGTATCACCTGTGGTTTTGTCAGGAATCTAAAAGAAGTCCATCACCAGAGAAGTCAAAGGGTCACCGAGATCAAGACAAAGCAAGAAGTCCATCACCCCGGTTCCGTCGCAGTAGGTCAAGGTCACCACATAGGAGGTCAGTTTATCATTCACATACGACAACTATAAAATTTAATAACCATGACCACAACCATTATCGTACTCTATGTACGTTAACATCGAATTGTAATACCAGATGGAATGGATCGGAGATTGAATGTTTAATGGTTTGTGTAAATATAACCTAGGGGGCCATTTAGGCCACATCTCCTGTATCAGCTGATGAATTTGTTTGTGTGTTTGCTTGTTATTCATTCATTCATTCATTCATTCATTTCCAGAGACAGAGACAAAAGTCCATCACGTCGAAAGAGGTCAAGGTCAAGAGAGCGAGAGAGGAGACATGGTCACAGGTCACATAAAGAGGATGATGATGATAGGTAAGATGGGAACTGTTACTTTAATAAACGTATAAGATTGCTGAATAATTGAGTAACTGCAATGTCCTTCACAATCGTTTCTGATACTTATTTCGAAACTGTTGTAAACCCAAACAACTTCATACAGAACAGGGGCGATGGGGTAGCCTAGTGGTTAAAGCGTCCGCTCGTCACGCTGAAGACCCGGGTTCGAATCCCCACATGGGTACAATGTGTGAAGCCCATTTCAGGTGTCCCCTGCCGTGATGTTGCTGGAATATTGCTAAAAGCGGCGTAAAACTAAACTCAGTCAGTCAGTCATACAGAACAAACGGTACAGGTCAGGTAACTGCAATCATGACATCTATGAACTTGTTATGAGAATAAATTAAATTCCATTTGGTCTTATTTTGATATTTAAAGCTGAAATGTACAGGATATTGAGTTTGCCTATCAGTATTTGGTGTTTTGATTTTGAGTTGTTCATAATATAGTGACAACCTATTATTTTCCCTGTAGTCTGTAATCATTATAGGGGGCGGTGGGGTAGCCTAGTGGTTAAAGCATTGGCTTGTCACGCCGAAGACCCGGGTTCAAATCCCCACAGGGGTACAATGTGTGAAGCCCATTTCTGGTGTCCCCCACCGTGATGTTGCTGGAATATTGCTAAAAGCGGCGTAAAACCTAACTCAGTCAGTAATCATAATAGCAGTGACTGAAATTTGGTCACTGGTTCCTTGTAATCCTATCAACAAGTCAATCAGTGGTTTTGGATTTCTATTGATATGGTAAAATAATGGGGCAATCAGTTGAGATACGTGGATAAGACAATATCCTGCCCCCTTGCAATCAAGCTTCAATGCATTGTTGTAGGAGGAGGAGATCTAAGAAGAGCAAGAAAGACAAGAAGGATGACGATCGACATCGTGACAGAGATCGAGACCGGGAACGGGACAAGGACAGGTCTAGACATCAGGACCATGATCGGGACCGACGTGATCGTGGAGACAGATCACGAGGAGGGGGTCTTAAACAAGAGATTAAAGAAGCTAATGAACTAAGAGCAAGACTAGGCTTGGCACCATTGAGGCAATGATTGAATGTATGGGGATACCGTCCTGCATGACATCATTCAGAAAGAGCAGGTTGAGGATCTTTGAAATGCAAATAATCCTGAGTTGATGGTTTGTTTATGCATGATAGGATAGGAATCTCTATTTGCAAAATGGTGAAATCTTAAAAGCTATCTACAGCTGAGCAGGTTTCAGTCAATAGTTATGAACAGCTGACTCTTACAAATAAATAACTGTATGGTATTTGAAGATAAGATGAGGTTGGCATGAAAGCGTAATTTCTCTGTGCATAACCTTTTCCCCTGCTTTTCATGAAGCTTGTGTATATATGCATTTTAACATCAGACAACCGTTGGCACTGCAGTGTGTGTCATTTGTATTAAGTTTCATGATCATTGTGTAAATAAAGTCATTTTCAATGAATCTGTATTCAGTTTATGGCATACAGTTAGGTAACAACTCCAAATGTGAAGATATTAAGGTGAACACACCTAGAGATTGTCATAGCAGTACACATCCCATTTGTTTGTGGCATAACTACATGTAATAATGAACAAGACAATGCTACCAGCAGATTCTACTTTGACTAGGAGACAAATTCAGGGAAATTCTTATCCCAGTCGAACAGAACCAAGCAGATGTCGCAAAGCAGGGTTGTGCATTCCTTGAGTTTAATAATCTGTTCCATACACAGGCCACACACAAAGCCAATGGGGACTTAGTTTTGTTTGTAACGTCGCACTCAGCAATATTGAAGATATATGGTAGTGGTCTGTAACTAGTCGAGTCAGGACCAGACAATCCAGTGAACAACAGCACAAGCATCAATCTATTCAATGAAGATATGACTTATGTCAACCAAGTATAACCAAGCCTGCCACCTGACCCTGTTTTGTTGCCTCTTATGAGAAGCATTGGTTGCTGAAGACATATTCATCTTCACAGGTGGAGCATTAGTGAATGCAGTCACTAGATAGGTAATTTTCCATGTTGTTGGGGTACTAAGACATGCAGTCTGCAATTTCAAACATTACATTCATCAGATGCACATTGGATGGCCGATTCAATGTCCTTTGGTATGTTATTAATGTATGAATGAAATTATAATTCCCATGGAATCTCCGAGTGTTTTAAAGACATTTGAGTGGTAAACATGAGTTGATCATCTGAAGGTCATTTTTGTTGACAGCTTATGCAGATGTAAAAATATATATATCCTTGTTGCCATGAGTGGTGAGTGTGGTATGCTGAAAGATGCAGTAAAATTCTCTGCTGGAGTCATTAAAATTAGGACGGCGACCAAATCTCGGACAAGTCCCCTTTTAACCAACTTGACCTCTGGGAAACTGTAAGACCTAAATACTGTAAACAAGAAGACAAAGTCATCAATATCCCCCGCAATGGCAAAATACTCTTCATGATTATGTCTACGAGTTATGATTATGTCAAATATTTAGGTGTGTATGTAGAAAAGTGGAAGGAGAGTATTGATAGGTTTTTAAAGTTCTGCTCCAGAAAGCAGCACTATCACCAATTTCAGTCAAACTTGTTGCCATCGAAATGCCAAAAATATTTTATTCAGAATTCCCAAACTACCAAAAGGCACCAGTGCACCACCAGACCAATCTATGTGCCAAGTTTGGTGAAGAAACATTGAACGGTTTTAGAGTTCTGCTCCGGAAAAGAGCACTACTACAATTTCAGGCTAAGTCAAACTTGTTGCCATGGAAACGTCATAAATATTTTATTCAGAATTCCAAAACTACCAAAAGGCACCAGTACACCACCAGATCCATCTATGTGCCAAGTTTGGTGAAGAAATATTGAACGGTTTTAGAGTTCTGCTCCGGAAAAGACAAATGTGCACACGGACGGACGGACGGAGTCCATTTTAATACCCCCCCGCAAAACGCTTTGCGGGGGATAATAATGGTCTAGCTCTTCTTGTAAATTCAGCCATCATGGAAGCATACAGAAATTTGAGATCCACTCCCAGGTAAGTGAGTTAGTTTAATTTTACGCCGCACTCAGCAAAATTATAGCTAATAGGCAGCAGTCTGTAAATAATCGAGTCTGGACCAGACAATCCAGTGATCAACAGCATGAGCATCGACCTGCGCAGTTGGGAACCGATGACATGTGTCAACCAAGCCAGCGAGCCTGACCACCCGATCCCGTTAGTCGCCTCTTACGACAAGCATGGGTTACTGAAGGTTCATTCTAACCTGGACCTTCACAGGTCAGATCCACTTGCTAATGAATATAGGAATTCAATGGTTGTTTCTTTAAGCATGATGAAAACTTCTTTTCATTTATAAATATTGGACAAATGCAAATGACCAGAGTTTCAAAAACAACCAGGATACATCTTCAGCAAGTATCTTTTTATTGAACACTTGAAAAAGCAGCAACATAAACAGCATCCATGCATGCATAACCTTAATCACAATTCTTAAATCAGAAACAAAACAACTGTATTTTAAACAAAATATATAATTTTATTTAGATAGTATCACATCAGTAAGAATTATATTTTAAGGAATAATAATTTTTTATCCTCGAATGTTAATCCTCCAATATATCTATAATCTAAGGGCATTTTATGCATATATTTTTCTGATTCACAGGGACATTCTTTTCACTACTTTCACTACATAACCATAACACGCACACAAAGTAACCATAGCAACATAGCAACATTCTGAAGACACAAATAATACACATCAACATCACAGAACTCAACTGGCACAAAACAATATCTCACAGAAATGGAATATGATGCATTTGATGCTAACAAAAGTTTCTTGATTAGATAAGCATTTTCATCAAGGTTCAAGCATATTTTGACAAGCCAGGAGAAAGGTACTTCAAGTTCAACACATGTACAAAAACAAAATGGTAGATATGTTACTTTTATCTGGTAAAAAAATACCCCAACCTTAAAACTGGAATAGCACCTCAGGACATAGCAAGTGGTTTTTACAGTATAATGACTAAATAAGATGGAAACATAGACAACTGGTTCTCAGGCAAGAAGTTTTTGATGATTGAAATGTTGCATTCAGCAAAAATCCAGTTACATGATGGAGGTCTGCAATAATCAAGACTGGGTCAGGCTGATATGGGTGAGCAGGGTACATTTACAGGCAGTCAAGGCAATTAGATAAGCAATGGTAAATGGGGACCTACCCTTCCCTGGAATTCCAAGGGGATCTTTTTAAAAAGGGACCAGCTACCATTCTTGCTTAGGTGAAAATGGCATCGATATCATATTCAGACTAAACAAAAAGTCTGAAGCTAGCAGTTCTATTATGTCTACTGATATGGGTTTGCCTGAGAACTGATTGTGTTTCCAAACTTATGGGCAGTATTGAAAATTGGAAATAATCATGAACACAGATGAACACAAAAGGTAATATAAAAGATTGGTCATTCCTGTTGTCACTTCATGAAACTACGTGACAACAACACAAGGTTTGAGAAGGGGCTCCACAGATTCAATCCATGCTCTTAAATGGTCAGATTTACTATGTTTTCCCAGGATGTTTATTATTATGACAAGCAGTCACTTTGGTACATTCACTATACAGAACCACACCTTGAATCTGTATCTTGAAACGTTTCCTACTCATTATGACCTGTGTAGACACAGCTTGGTATTCATACATATATGTCAGCCGACATATTTTGGAAAGACATTTATACAACATGCCAATATTACAGAACATTGATTGCACATGTGACAAAAGGTAATATCAAATAATACAAATGCAACACAGTTTGGCAAACAATAATACTTTTTCAGGAATGATTTCTTTGAAAATCATTGTAATGTTTGGCAAAAAGAATACATTTCAGGAATGACTTCTTGAGAGTATTTTTGCAAAGACCTCTGGCAAATATAAATATACTTTAGGAATGATTTCTTTTAATATGTATGGTTAAAGGTTTGGCAATCAAAAGTAAATTTAGAAGCAATTTCTTAAAATACAAAAAACATAGCAATTAACATACTAAATTGGAAAGCCAACATATTTAACATGTCACTTACCGATAAAGTCAATATAGACAAAAGTGGGAAGAAAACAGACTTTCAAGCACAAAAGTCAATTGACTTTTAACACAATTCTCTTAAACGATCTATAATCACATAACACCACCAAGTATGTTGTGTTCTATTGAAAAATTGTCCATCTGAATCCTGCCCTGTTGTAAGTCATCAGTTGACCCACTTTCAGTCACATGGACTAGGAGGGGATATCCTTAAACAATGCACTATATTGAACCATGAGGCAAGTTGATAATCAATGTGTAATGCAATACCTATTGCTTCAACAAATTTTCAAAAGTACAAAATATATCTTCTTTATAAAACATGCACCAACCACAACAATCACATTTTGTCATGGAATAACTAGGAAGACATAACAAGTCTATGGCAAGAGACACTGGCAGTCAGTAACAGATGTTTCACAGGGCTCAGAGCAATCATGACTCTCACTGTTTTCAGTAACACAAACAAATTATCCATGACTGTTTTGCATAGATATTAGATAACTTCAGAAGCTAGTCACCTTTGATGATTTGTTACGCCCCTACATGAGGTGTATCTGTCCAGAAATATGCTGATTTGAGACCAGCTTAGATGTAGTGATCATATCTTCAAAGAAGAAAGGATATGCACCTCTTCTTAGTCTACACTTGCCATGCAGACATCCTCACCATTGAGGAGGCGTAGCGTCTTTTCGTCATCAGACAAACTCTCCATGGTCGCCGTGCTCTCTTGTGACTCAGGAAGATCTTCCTCTGTTTCTCCTTCGCCTTCTTCCTGGACACCTTCGTAGTTTAGTAAAGGAGGATCAACACACTCACACACTGCATAATTTGCCTGATTGTCAATATACTTGTCCACATTACATTTCAGGTCTTCTCTCCCGATCCTTTGCATTAACTCTCTTAACAGAGACGTGTTGCTTCTTGATATTTTTTTCAGACCATGCAAATGTCCAAGAAGATCAGCCGTGTTTCTTATTTCACAACATTTTTTAGTCTTGATTACTTCATCGACTGACAAGACCAGTTTCATCTGGGAATATTCCTCATCACTGACTTGAGTCGAAATATGCAACATTAGTATTGCATAATCAGAAAACTGGCCACATGCTCTATTTTCTAATAAAACCTTCGTTAGTCCTTTTGAGGCTTGTGTTTGACAGTTTTCTTTCTCACAACCATTATTTCTCTCAGTAACTGTCCTAATGGCGGTGAACCGCTTGCCAGGAACTGCGGCCATGACTCTGAAACAATATGAACAATTATTCAAAGTATCCACTTTAAATGTTCTAAGAAATCTTCAAGGCATTTGAATATTCATGATATTGGAATACTCAACTTCATACACATTTTCACTGAATCAGACAAAGTAAATATCACAAACATAATCTTTTAGGTCAGGGTTTCGTATGTTTATTGCGAACATTGCCAGAGCTACAGATAACTTTTAGGGTCATTGAGTTATGTACTCGCTTGTGTTCATCTCAATTGGGTATCCTAATTTTCCTTAGAGTAACCAAATAAATTATACCCACTTCACTCAAAGTCAATTGGGTACTTTGCCATTTTCCATAACTTGTGAAAATAGAATAAAGTTTAAATGTTGGGCGGTTTACGTGTGTGTTATTTATATTTGATGTGGTGCCAAGTTCGTGTGCTGAAATGGAACCTCACAATATACCTCAGTTATTCTATCTATCCTCAGTGACCTCAATCTGTAGTGCATGGGTCTGCTTACTTCAAATTCAGGTAGGTTTCTGAATGTTACAGTACAAAAGCTAAGATTTGGCCTTTATGTGTGTACGCATGTACGGTCAAATTTATTGAGTATTTACGAAAATTCGGTAAGAGTTCCTCCCGTTCCCCCATCCCAAATAATATTTATAAATTGATATATACTAGAATTATTAACAAAACCTAACACAACAATTACTAGAGGACTCACAAAAATAACTAAAAGCCCCAAAATTAAGTACAATATATACTGGCTAGCCAGTAGGGTTGAACCACTTAGTGTTACGTCTGTTAATCTGCGGAAAAAAGAATATGGGGGAACGGAATGAACACTTTCCGAAAATTCAAGCGTAATTTACGCAGATACGCAGCTTATCTGTACCTCTGAATCACTGCACAATAAACAATGTTAACACTGATATGATCGTCTAAATTAGAGCAATAAACTAGAAATGGGCACCCGCTGTTAACAAAATTATTTTTATCAACGACTGACTAGCACAAACCAGAGACCATATATCTATTATATGGTCTCTGCACAAACGTACAATTGTTTGTAAAAAAACAAAGAGATAATTTTAAGGAGTCTACACGTAACTCATGCAAGTAAAAAACTGGCTCAGTACCTGTGCTATTTTCGTGTATCGCCACTGCAGCTCCGAACAGTGCACTGCCTACAACCAGCTAGCTGACAATCTAGAATACAGGAATGACTTCCCTCTAAATATTCGTCACAATGTTTTTTCAGAAAAGTGGTCGTGCGTTCATGCATATCACGTATATACACGTGTCGCAGCTTGACCTGCTTGCTTCATGTGCTTTGGGAATTTCCCTCTTACTATGGTGATGCTTGTTCCCGCGTTTTCAGCTGCGGTACTTTAAAAATAGGGAATCGTTTTCAAACGAACGTTAGAATATGTTTTTGCATAACAGAAGTGATCCACAATTTAAAGGGAAAAAACATATGTCAGCTTCTGTTCGTATGAGGAACACGACGTTTCGAAGTATATTCCTACTAGGTGGTGTTTCTCATATTAAAGAAGTTCAAATCCATATCCCTGCCCAATTTATTAGAATTTGTGTACGAAATATGAAAGATTATTGGGCCTCAAGAAATACGGATTCCATACTACCCGATAAACAGACTTGAAACTAATATTCTCCATATCATTCTGCGCTTTTCAAGAAGCTGGGTCCAAGGAATTGTACTTTGGGTACAGTGCGTTGTTAATATAAGCGGAAACCATATAATATGACACTAATAATCCATTACATAGGTGTTTATATGAAAATACTGCCAGTGTGTGCCTTTGAAGACGTAGGATACTGGGGTCCATGTATTGGGTTGTAGTCAAATGGGTCGAAGGACAAAAGGGCCGGAAAATAAAGTGAAAAAGGACGAAAATAGGGCCGAAAAATAAAAAATGAATAAATTACATAATAAAATAGTGTTTAGTTTGTTGTTATTTTAAATGGAAATTGAACATATCACTCAAATGTTTTCGTTTTTAAATGTCTCGACTCAGTGTCATGACTAATCTGTATAGTGTGCAGGGTTCCAAGACTGTAAAAGGGAACCAGCATGCCTTAGAGTGTGATCAAAGTCAGCCATGGACACAGGGATGACTCGTGAAGACAATGCCAGGCAAACTAATCTCAATCCAAGTAAGAGCTCAAGTGCGTAGTACTTCATTGGCGGATCCAGAGGGGGGATTCAGGGGGTTTGCCCCCCCCTCCCCCTTGAAAATGACTTAAGACCTTATTGAAGATTTTTTTTGCGTTGGTGGAGCCAATGGGGGGGATGTCATGGGTTCGAACCCCCTTACCCCCCACCCCTTCAAAATTCTTGGATCCGTGGATGAACTTCCTATTGATTGACTCTTAATTAGTAGTTAATTGGACCATAGAGTTAATTAAGTACCGAATAAAGATTGATGGTGGAGTCTACTAATGCCTACAGTGAATAATGCCTACAGTGTTAAATAAACAACTTTACGCACCAGTGCTGCTGATTGCACCTGCCTTCAACCTTTCAATAAAGTGGCATGGTCCTATTTCAAAGTGCACTAATGCCTACAGTATATAGAAAACAGTAACTTTCTATGTTGAGAGACATTTTATTTGGTCATTCATATACATATGTACATTCATATACATATCTTTCACATTGTTGTCATATTTTTCTTAATTTTCTTAAACTTTATTCATATCTTTCACATAGTAGTTTGTTTTGAGATAAATAAATTTACATAAATAAACATAATCATTTATTTGGATTAAAATGTAATTAAAACTTAATTTGATTCATGATTATATATACATATATACATCTTTCACACAGTCAACTACCACATTCATTAATAAAGTCATTGTGGTAACCAAAAGTAATTTACATGTATACACACAGCTTCACACATTCATCAACATAGTCATTTGGTTTTCAAGCTAGCTTGATCAAATATCCTGCAGCAGTCAGGACTTCCAGGGGTGTCTTGATACCAGATGTCAGCTGGGCCTTCAGACGAGTGAGTCTCTGGTCAGTTTCTGTGTACGTCCTCTTGCGGGGTGGGGGACGGGCGCCATGAGCCATCTGCACCAGCTTATTTCTCTCCGCTTGCTCCAGCTTCTGCAGAACCTTCACAAGAGCGAAAATGTTCGGGTGGGCTCTCTGGACGGTCTTGTTGAGAAGAAGAAGTCGGGTAGATTCACCTCGCTGAGCGTCTGGGGAAGTGGCGGCATCATCTTCCGTCTTGACCGTTGCTGCTTCACCTCGGTCAAGTCGGGAAATCTCCTCATCGTAGATCACCTGAACTGGCGTCGTCTCAGTCTGTACCCGCTGCCTCAGGGAACTGGCAATCTTCATGGCTACCTGGTCTTCCTGTGGGTGGTTGTGTGGGGTCTGATTCCGAACAAACTGTCCGACTGTCGTACACTTGCCAAAGCAGCCACCTTGAACACACTTCCAGTGTACACACGTCTGTCGCCTGTTGTTGAGTCTGTAGCGGTATCCCTCCAAGAGTACCTGCTGTCCTCCTTTCTGTGATGTGAAGTATTCGACTTTCTTGGGATAGCCAGGTCCATAGCTGAGGATGTTATTGATATTGTTATGATATTAGGTTTTAATGCTCTATATATGTCAATAAAAAATGAAAAGCATTTGTAAATTTTTTTTTGTTCGGCCCATATGACTAAGAATAAGGCCCTTTTGACATTTTTTCACGGCCCATTTGACTTTCACCACGGCCCATTTGACTTTTATGCGCATACAGGCAGTCACATACTCTGAGCTGATGTATGATACTATCATATTTGTATCACATATAGTGTGGACCTTGGGCGATTGAGTAGATCGAACAGCTAGTGGTTAAAGCGTTCGCTAGTCACGTCAAAAACCTGGATTCGATTCCCAACGAGGGCACACTGTACCTCCTGATATGATACTGGTGTGTAAACACACTGACTCACTCACTCACAGGTAAACCGAATCAATCTGCAGAAAGGTCAAAGGTCACAATTCCTCCTGGGCGTAAGAGGGAATATATGACGCGTTACACTCTTTGAAAATTAGATTACACTAAGAATGTTTTGTAGACATTATAACTTTTATGTTAGATTCATTAATGATAGGGATATATTTGTGGAACGCCTGGTGAATGAACCTCGATAGCTTGTCAACGAATGATCTGCCAAACAAAATATTTGACCTATTGATGAAACCACATTGTTTGAGGTGAAATACACAACATACATGTGACGTGCAGGTTGTTGTGCACATTGCAAACTTAATTGCTCGTAATGATACAAGGTTGATCAATAAATATGGCTCACCATTTTCTATTCATAAGAATTTACGCCGATCGTTTTTGTTTCGAGAAGAGTTTTGGTAATAACCTATATGTCTGAAAGCGGGGAGCTCAAACATGTTGGAACCCGCCTTTCAAAATAAGTGTCGTTAGACGCATGACAGGAAGAACGTTTTTACATGATTCCGCAGCTGAGAGAATCTAACATTTATATACTCGGATTAGAATATTCACGAATCATTCGAGCATGAGCTAAAGTCAAAGAAGTACAAAATGTTAACTTGATGGTTACGATGGCAAAACACGACTTCCGGATACAAATGTCATGCTGTCAAAACAATAATAACATGCATTTTCTTAGAATTTATGCCGAGTGAACGAAGGGAAGGAAGAAATTAACCCTTTTTCTTCATTGGTAAAAATAACTGCAGACAGAATGGCAGACGAACTCTTTTCTAAACGACTACCGGTTGTCGTCAAATCAGCTGACCGAGAAGAAAGGTTTGTGAATTTCAAATGTCTTACTAAAACCCCGGATCCCCTTAACTTGTCTCCATAGAGCTGGACAAACCATTAAGCTGTGTTCAGGTGTTATCAGCTGGCCGTTGCAGTTGGTGTAAAATAGTATTGTCTGGGACATTTTCTAGGGTGATATGAATATAACCCATTCTCTTAGTATAGTTTAGTAATGCAGCAAGGGAGATCGGTGTGACGAGCGAATGTTTTAACCACTAGGCTATCCCACCACCCCTGTCATTTCTGTATAAATATTTTCTCTTACCTGGAATGCATATGGATCCACCGGTTCAGGTTTAAAATTTGCATTTGAACAGATACTAGTACCTGGATGAATGGTGTTCTCAATGTGTATTCATGATAATAATATTCATTCTAAGATGCCTAGTGGTTAGAACAATCGAAAAAAAATACATTATCAGACAATAAAGGTATAGTTTTTTGATGACATAACAATTGAATGACGTTATCCCGTCCAGGGGTGGAAATAACCCATTGCCCGACGTCCGAGTCCAGTGTTTTTTTCTGTCGGGCAAGCAAATTTGTATATCACGCTGTACCGGTGTCCAGTTGACTTTCCAATGTTAATAATGTTGTTTATTTAAAAATGCAACAAGAAAACGGCCGGTATAGTGGAAAAATGATCAGGGCAAGTGATTTTACATGTGCCACTGTACCGGAGTACACTAGCAATTTTAAAGTCATTTCCACCCCTGCCGTCACTGCGTCATTCTAGTGTGCCCCCTCATAATCGAATTATTTTACATTACGTCACAATGTAAGCGACGTCACGATGCATGTCAGTTGTCGACTCGCCTCGTACGGCCTCCTACAGTAAACTACTCCGTTGCATCCCGTTTCTTGGTTTGCAGTTGCTTCACGCAGCTAACATCACTGGTGGAAACATTACGTTTATGTTTTACGATGGTTAAAATGTGTCAATTCGACTCACAAGTTTTCAGCGACACGGTAACGTTCGCAATGTTTACATTCCCACAATGCAATCGTGGAATGTCGCTTGACTACTCAGCTTCATCTGGATGTACTGATCTAAACTTACGTTGGTAGTAGAAATGCGACGTTCATATTGCCCCACATGGTTTACGTTAATGACAGATGTAATTAAAATAATTCAGAGAAGATATTTAATCCGAACGTAAACCGTCATCAAACTGTTTATCATGTGTTTTTTTCTGGTAACGTTCGTCTTAAAGTAGGGGGGCAGACACATCAATAGAACAGCGCGCCAGTTGGCCCTGTGCGGGGATTCTTAATTTAGGTCACCGATACCGTCGTTTGTTTTCTGCCTTAAATTAATCGTAATTATCCTTAGAAAGTATTAAATTTAGCATCCCTGAACTATTATACCGTCCTCGTGCTTTAATTATAATAGTTCAGGGCAAAACTATACTTTATTACAAAACACATTGGGGTAGATCGAACTTTATTTCCTAATTTGATTAACATCCACCAGTTCATCTTTTCCCAATAGTACTATATATTTTGTTATCAGAAACTATTTAAGTATCAATACCAAAATTGTCCATGTGGTTGTTCAAAATCTATACAGCCCCATTGTCAAAAATATGTCAGTATGATTTTGGAACACATCTGGCCAAGCCTTTTATTTGTGTAGTGCAAATCAATTCCTGAAACATTTTACCCTTAGTTCCAACTATACAAACTTTATGGATGATCAACTTCTTTATTTTCACAATGGCGACATTTCGATATAGATTCTTATACTGTTTTCAAGCATATGCTTGAGGTCGCTATACCAAAACATTGCCATTGTGAAAATAAAGAAGTTGATCATCAGTAAAGTTTTGTCATCTCTATACCACCAACTTCTAGCATGCCACTCAAACAAATTCTAAATATACATTTGCCACACTGACACATTACTGTGTGAACATTAGGGGTGGGTATTGCAAGGAATTTTCATATTGCGATAAATTGCAATGCGAAAGCATGTATTGCAATATGTATTGCAATATATTGCAAGAAGTTTTCTTTAACAAAAAATACGTATAATCGAGTTAGTGCTTGATTTATAAAGTAAAAACACAACAAAATCACAATGCTTGATTAGGAGTTAATAGAAACTTTTAATCATGACAAAATAAAAATGTAAATAATGTTTGGCACAAATGAAACAAGGAAAGGATCAATTTAAAAAAACGGAAATATCCTAAAAATTTTCGAGTGTTACGAAGTTTTCCAAATGCATGTCAAAATACCGGTTTTCGATCAGCGTATCGCAATACGTATCGTTTTCATGTCTGAACCGGTAAATACCAGTATACCGGTTATATTGCGCAGCCCTAGTGAACATGGTATTTTAGCAGGACACTCTCGAAGTTTTCTCAAATTTACTGTATAGGTATAGTATTCTTTGTTGTTTGTTTTGAGAGTGAACCTGTGAGTAAAATGTAACATTATTTTCCTTTCAGGAAAGTTTCACTCCACTTGCGAATGGAACTGCAAGCAATAACATCTCCGTTACATAGAAAGGTAAGTTTCCTTGAATATATTTGAGAACGTTTTTACTTGGTATAAAACAAATTGTTTGTATTGTAATTAAGGGGGTTCTTTTTTCATGATTTTAGGGTATTTTAAAAAATAATATCAGTATTATTACAGATATTGATATATTGAGAATCTCACCCAAGTGTCTTCTGATATCAATTATATCAACACGAGTTGATAAAGTTACAAATATCCGAGGCTTGCCGAGGATATTTTTACTTTTATCAACGAGTGTTGATATATTTGATATCAGAAGACACGAGGGTGAGATTCTATTTATCATCCAAAATCACTCTTCATTAATTTTCAATGAAAAATGTACATCTCTGAACATGGTACTGCCTTTAGACTTGCAGTGCAGCGATGTCATAGCATTGTGACGTCATCAAGTACATGACGTCATAGCATTGTTACGTCATCAAGTACATGACGTCATAGCATTGTCAAGGCATTGTGCAAAATCTACTGTCAAAACGATATCTCCTAGGAGATATCGCGTGATCTCACACAAGCGATATCTCCTGTGGAACACAGTTTTGGATGATAAAATGATATAAACTTCTAAAGTACTGTCGGAAATAGAAAAAAACTGTTTTTAGACTGTTACTCTGTATCCCTAAAATTGACAAATTTACAAATAGCATATATCAAAATAACCCACATCAGCCTAACAGGGCGTTCAGTGGGATGCGTAATAGGATGGCCAGAAAAGCATGTTCTCTTGTAAAATCGGGCAAAACTTAGAAAAAATACGAATAGCTGCTCAAAACAATAGATCAGACTATAGATGGCAATTAGGTCGCTCAGCCAGGTATTACAATGGACCGTCGACTCACCTGGCATGAAATGCACGTGCTGCCTACAAGCACAAGGGGTCATCTCAAAGATATTTTATGCTTTTTCATGTGTGTTGAATATGTCTCATGTATTGATTAATTTCTTACGTGCCTTTATTTCCTAAACTTTATGTTGAGATATGTAAAAGGGTATGATACCCATGGAAAAGCTTAACTCAGCCATTGTATTAAAGGTTTTAAAATATATAGGTGGCATGACCACTCGAAGATCGACAGGACTGGATATTATTTGTAAATTGTTATGACATGCTGTTTGCTTCCCAGTTTAATTCCCCTTTAAGGATTATCCTATCTCGGCTTATATCGTTACCCCCCCCAGCCCGACCCCAACCACCGTCTGCGACATTTTTAGTGATAGTCAGATTCCATAGTAGCTACACCCTTCATAGTTTCAGTATTACAGTTATTATTTTTTTTATGTCAGCTATTGTTTATAATGAAGCTCAGTTTAATTTTCGAAATGGACTTTTAAAAATTGTCCTTTGTAATATAATGTCATCACACACTAATTTTCATAAAGCCATGGTCTGTTCTGAATAAATCGCTTTGGACTTAGAAAAACCCCGCATTGCTCATTTCTGCACTAATCTCTCCTCAGTAAAGTCCTTTTTCTACGTTTCCTATCTCCCTACCACTGAGACTGTAGTTAGGCCGAAGTTAGTTTAACAGATATTTCACACTTTCACATATTAACTACATAAATTGTAGATATCAATTCGAAAAAACATTTTTGTTCTATTTCCGACAGTACTTTAGTAATGATGTTTTGATACTTTGATCATGTTGATAGTACTGAGACATCACATTTTATACATAGTGTAACAAGTTGTTAGTGTTTCACCTGTTACAGGAACTGGTTGTGAGACTCACAGATGAAAGTGACTTATTTTTCCTGTACACTCTAAGGCTTGGGGAAGAGGACTTTCAGAGGTAAAGTGTCACACAGTATTAGAATAGCAGCAAAATATACCCCTTGTCAACATGAGTGAGTGATGGAGATTTTACGCAGCTTTTTAGCAATATTCCAGCAATATCATGGCAGGGGACCCTAGAACTGGCCCTATGGGCTTCACACATTGTACCCATGTGGGGAATCAAACCCGGGCCTTTGGCATGATGAGCCAATGCTTTAACCACAAGGCCACCCCAGGGCCCCTTGTCAACGTGACCAAGAATTGACCTGAAGCATGGAATTTGTTATTATTTGATAATAATGTCTTTCAGTGGCATTTAGAAGTTGTACATTGATGTCCAAGATATTTTTATGGATTAAACTTCTTTATAATTTCCCTCACGACGTTTCGAGACCATTCCAGGTTCCTTCATCAGGTGAACTGACAGTTGGGACTATCAGTTCACCTGATCAAGGGACCTGGAATGGTCTCGAAACGTCGTGAGGGAAATTATAAAGAAGTTTAATCCATAAAAATATCTTGGATATTTGATAATAGTTCTGAATAAATGTAACACTGAGACATGCTCCTGGGAAGGTCCAGTTTAGGATTTGTCTTCAGCAACCAATGTTTGTTGTAAGATGACCAATAGGATCAGGTGGTAAGGCTCGCTGATTAGGTTGGTACATGTCATTGTATGGTCATTACTCATGATGTTGATCATTGGATTGTCTGGTTCAAACTTGAGATCATGTACAGTTCACCGTTGTACAACATAGGAACAGAGACATGCACTGGTCACTCAGAGTTGTGCGTAAAGCGTTCTACTCATAGGGGGTCGGTGGGGTAGCCTAGTGGTTAAAGCGGTCAGTTGTCACCCCAAAGATCTGGGTTCACTTTCCACATGGGTACAACGTGTGAAGCCCATTTCTGGTGTCCCCCACCGTGGTATTGCTGGAATATTGCCAAAAGCGCCATAAAACTAAACTCACTCACTTCAGACTCCTAGAATACCTTTTTTGTATGTTTAGGTTGAAGCTTCTTCTTCCTGTGATTATTTCTGTCCCACTTAATGAATCTGTTAGATAGAACCTTTGATATTTACCGGTATCTTCATTCATTTTGCAGCCTCAAAGTACAGCAAGGACTTCTGGTTGATTTTGGTGCTTTCCCTCAGAAGTTTATTGACCTGTTGGAGATGTGTGTGAAGGAGGAACACAAGGATGTCCCTAAGTATGTCCTTAAAAATGGGATCCTATATTATCCCATTTTCCATTTGTTTTAGCCAAACATTTGTACTTGAAATTGTCACAAGTTCAAAACTGGAAATTGATAGAAAGAAAAACAGTTGTCAGTTGAAGAAATACATCCAATACTTTTCACAATAATCACATCATAACATGTTCCACATTATAATAAAAAAATACCTTGCACCAAATGTCACTGACACTGGTGTACTGGATTTGTGCCAATTTTGGGTTAAACCTTTGGGTAAGGAATGCCTTTATAATGTCATGTTGTGTCTTTTGTAGATTCATTCTGCAGTTTGTGAGCCAAGGGTCTCTCTCTGAGAAGGTGACAGGAATGTTAAACATTGTAGAAACAAATCCATTCAAGCATCTGACTCATCTGTCACTCAAGTTCATCCCAGGGCAGGACGCAGATGTCAAGAAATACCTAGCAGACTGCCTCAAACAGCTGAAGGTGAGCACATGATGTTTTATGTACAGCGTATACAGCAATTGAGCAGCTAACACCTGAAATAGCATGTCAACAAAACTGAACAGTGTGTGATGACCAATATATGATGACCGGTGTTTGATGACCAATGTATGATAACCGTTGTTTGATGACTAGCGTTTGTTGACCAGTGTTTGATGACCATTGTTTGATGACCAGTGTTTGATGACCAATGTATGATGACCAATGTATGACCGTTGTTTGATGACTAGCGTTTGTTGACCAGTGTTTGATGACCGTTGTTTGATGACCAGTGTTTGATGACCGTTGTTTGATGACCAGTGTATGATGACCGTTGTTTGATGACTAGCGTTTGTTGACCAGTGTTTGATGACCACTGTTTGATGACCAGTTTGATGACCGTTGTTTGATGACCAGTGTATGATGACCGTTGTTTGATGACTAGCGTTTGTTGACCAGTGTTTGATGACCGTTGTTTGATGACCAGTGTTTGATGACCGTTGTTTGATGACCGTTGTATGATGACCAGTGTATGATGACCAGTGTATGATGACCAGTGTTTGATGACCAATGTATGATGACCAGTGTATGATGACTAGTGTTTGATGACCGTTGTTTGATGACCAGTGTTTGATGACCATTGTTTGATGACCAGTGTTTGATGACCAATGAATGATATCCAGTGTTTGATGACCATTGTGTGATGACCAGTGTTTGATGACCAGTGCATGATGACCATTGCATGATGACAGTTGTATGATGAGCATTGTATGATGACCAGTGTATGATGACCAGTGTTTAATGACCAGTGTTTGATGACAGTTGTATGATGACAGTTGTATGATGACCGGTGTTTGATGACAAATGTATGATAACCGTTGTTTGATGACTAGCGTTTGTTGACCAGTGTTTGATGACCGTTGTTTGATGACCAGTGTTTGATGACCGTTGTTTGATGACCAGTGTATGATGACCAATGTATGATGACCAGTGTTTGATGACCAGTGTATGATGACCAGTGTTTGATGACCAATGTATGATAACCGTTGTTTGATGACTAGCGTTTGTTGACCAGTGTTTGATGACCGTTGTTTAATGACCAGTGCATGATGACCATTGTATGATGACAGTTGTATGATGAGCATTGTATGATGACCAGTGTTTAATGACCAATGAATGATGACCAATGAATGATATCCAGTGTTTGATGACCGTTGTTTGATGACCATTGTATGATGACCATGTATGATGAACAGTGTTTGATGACCGTTGTATGATGACCTGTTTATGATGACCCGTGTGTGATGACCGGTGTTTGATGGCCCATGTATGATGACCAGTGTATGATGACCGGTGTTTGATGACTGGTGTTTGATGACCTGTGTATGATGACCAGTGTATGATGACCAATGTTTGATGACCAGTGTATGATGACCTGTGTATGATGACCAGTGTGTGATGACTGGTGTTTGATGACCAGTGTATGATGACCTAGGAATGATGACCTGTGTATGATGACCAGTGTGTGATGACTGGTGTTTGATGACCCATGTATGATGACCAGTGTTTGATGACCAATGTTTAATGACCAGTGTATGATGACCAGGGCCAAAATGTTCGAAGCTCTCTTACAGCTAAGATAGTCGTAAGTTAATGTTAATGTATGGCACTTACGACCATCTTAACACTAGGAGAGCTTCAAAAATCTAGGTCCAGTGTTTTTAATGCATGTTGTTCCAGGAGACGAATGGCCTGCTGCAGCAGAGGTTGGAACACACTCATGGAGATTTGTCCCAGAGGCTGCAGGCTACACAGGAAGTACGTAGTAGCGGGTAACAAGTGTTAACAAACAACATGTAACTCTGAAGTGTGATCTTTGCAAAAAATGCAAAGGCAATAGTTGGACGATGTAATATTTGCATGATTATTCTATTTCAGCAGTATGTTCAGTGTCTCTTTTAATTATTACATTGATATGTCGTTGATAAGACCTTTTGAACTATGAAGGTGAAATAATCCTCATATAATCCCACTTTAAGAGACATCTTGTACAAATATCTCTCCCAAATAGTATTGTTGTGTTAAATTTTTCTCCGTATGTCATTTATGTTTATCTACTGTGAAAGAAAACCCCTTCATGTTCCTTATTCTCTGTAGGCAGGTTATAGCCCTGCACATTTGTGTGAAATGTTGCGTTCTCCATGCAGTCTCTGGCGTCAAAGTCATCAGAGTTGGAGAGTCTGAAGACGGAGTGGACGTCCAGGTTGGTAGAGGTTACATCACGGCACAAAGAAGAAATGGCATCTGAGAAGGAGCGCTCACTTCAGGTGTGTTGTGGCTTGTGCTGCTTGAAGGTAGATCAAAAGGAGTGAATTATCAGGCAGGTTACTTCAGAAACCTGGAGAGATGTCAGCATTTATTGGGGATGTTTAGTTCTATGGAGAAATGGTGCCCAGTATCCAATGCTTGTATTATCAGCTGTGAGTCATTGTACCATGACAATGTTGGATGCTGCTCACAATATTGACCACTTATTTGTCATTTTAAGAGGGCAGTTTTTGAAACATTTATGATTTGACGTGAAAGGCCCTTGGTCCTGGTGATGAAATATTTGGTCTGGATCTTTTACACCGCTTTTAGCAATATTCCATCAATATCAGGGCGATGATTTTGTTGATAACATATTGTTGTACTTTGATAGTGTGGAGGTTTGTTCATGATGTCAATCACTGGTTTGTCTGGTCCGTACAGGCCTCAGTGTTATGCCCAGGGATGAAAGGAAGAAGTCTTGTTACACTGTCATTTATTCAGTTGCATACATTTACAAACATATACCTGCACACAGCAGCACTCAGTCCAGAAGGACTAACTGTCCTTCCCCCAGCAACAAACCTCACTTGCATCACACACACCGTCATACAGAACACCAGAAAAAAGTGACAACATGGAACACAGTCACATCCTTGATGCAGCCATCTTGAATAAAGTGCCAGTCTTTCGAAATCTTGTTAAATATTACATGTTATGAAACAAAATACATTTGAATTATTTCATGATCCAGAAATCTGAAACAGTCATGTTACATGTTCTAGATACAGGGCGGCCTTCAGCAACGGTTTGACCGAGAGAGAAAGGAACTGGAACAGGCCCATGCCAAGATAGTCAAACAGTTGGACAGCAGACTGTACGAAGTGGAAGGGGTCAGCAAGGTCAGAGGTCATGGTCACTTAGGGAGCTTAATCTTTATTGAATCATTCACTCTAGTCAATATTTGACGATGTTTTGATGACAATTGAAAACATTGATATAATGTACACCTAAATGTTTAATTTATGATGGTTTTTTATCTTGCTGTTGACTTTTGCACAATCACACTGTCACTCTTCATTTTCTGTTTAGGACCTGACAGACAGGAAATACAAATCAGAGTCGACAGTCCGAGAACTGAAGTCAAAACTGTCAACGCTGGAGGAGGAACACACACGAGCCAAACAGGAAGTACAGACACTGCGGAAGCAGAACGCCAGCATGGACTCCGACTACCATGAGCAGGGCAAGCTGGTGAACCAGCTCCAGACACGGATTGCTGTCATGGAACAGGAACTCAAGGATAAGGAGCAGGTGCTCTCCAAGTCATCAGATCTTCTCGGGTCTGAACAGGAGAAAAAGGTCAGTCTTGTGAGGTTGCCTTGTTTTTTGGTTACTTAGTTACTTAGTTCCAAGTTTTCTGATACTCTTGGGTCTGAAAAGAAGAATTTCAGTGTTGTGATGTTGCCTTGTTCCTAAGTTACTCTACTTGGTTCCAAGTTTTCATATTGTCTCAGGTCTGAGCTTGAGAAGGTCATTGTTGTGTGGTTGTATTTTGGGGGGGGGGGGGGGTTGAACTTGGTTTCCAAGGCATTGCTCTGTTCATTTCACAGCAAAAGAGGCAACATGCATGGCAGTATTGAATGTTGAAGATGTTGGCCATCTGTATCAATGCCTATATCCTATCAGTCACTGCATCAATGTGTCATTGTTGATACCACTGTAATATTCATGGAAATAGTGACCCTACTGTATTCATTGTATGGCTTGGTTGTCTAGGATGACTTCTGTGTCCCATAGCTTCCAGTATCTGTTCCAAGATTCAACACCATGTCAAGTGTCACCACCATAAATCAAGGCCCATCTGTGTCATGTGATATAATTGATGTTAAACCCATGCTGTGGTAACCGTATCTCTCAGGGCCTAGATTTTCGAAGCTCTCTTAGCGCTAAGATAGTCGTAAGTGCCATACATTAACATTAACTTACGACTATCTTAGCGCTAAGAGAGCTTTGAAAATCTAGGCCCTGGTTACTTGTGGCTGCACATAGCCAATGGTATTTTTTCTGGAAGAATCCAGATTTGGAACGTATCATGTTAACAATGTTGGGCAATTTTTAAGAATACCTCCAGTACTAAGTTATTTAAGTTGAACTGGAGTTCATGAGGTGTGCTGTTGCCGCTTTGTTGTAGAGGAAGTATGAGGAAGACTTGGACAGGAAGCACAAGGACATCAGTAAGCTGGAAGGCAAGGTCAAGGCCATGTCAGAGGAGCTTATGAAGGGCAATGAGATCATTAAGAAGTTGCAGGAAGAGGTCAAAAGCAATCGAGCCAAGGTGAGAGGAAATTGTTTATATGTGCCTTAAAAGTAAAAAAAACTCCATGTTTGCAAATATGTGAAATATGGATCAGTGGTTTTATTTGCAGAATCAAAATTTACTTCATATGGAGTATGCCTCTTGTGCCTTAACTTTGAATATCTAGACAAACATTTGTGCATCTAAAGTTACATAGGACAGAAAGTATAAACTGTTATTCTTATGACAAAATGGTGGTATCTTTTGTTTATGTGATGTGGTGTGCAAGGCTGAATCAGACTTTGCATTGTAGCCAAACATTAAAAATAAAATGCAATGGTGTCTCAGCAATGTGGGGCGGCGGGGTAGCCGAGTGGATAAAGCGTTCGCTCGTCACTCAGAAAACCCAGGTTCGATTCCCCACATCGGTACAATGTGTGAAGACCATTTTTGTGGTATCCCCCGCTGTGATATTGCTGGAATATTGCTAAAAGCGACGTAAAGGTAAACTCACTCACTCACACTCAGCAGTGTAGTTACCAATGTGAACACAGGATGCTGACCCTGTGGGAATTCAGGGTCGGAGTAGGTCCCCAGCGACCTGTGCTGGTTGTAACAGGCAGTCTAGTAGATCAAGTGTTATGGCTTGACAGCTGTGTTAAAAGTGTGTCTTTGTAAACCTGGTGCCTATTTCATAGTTTCTCAACTACCCTCTGTGTTGTTGTAGGTGAAGTTGAGGACACAGATTGCAACGGACAGGAGAATGGGGCAGGACAGGAGCAGGAGAATCGCAGGATCTTGCTGGCACCAAAGACAGAAGACCACTACAGGAGGTTGGCATGGAAAACATGACTGTAAATATGTGTCAGACTGATCTTGCAGTTTCCAGACTTAGTCAAAGATGCTTTGGAGTGATATTAAGAGTCAGTGCCACTTCAACAAGCTTATCTGTGGAAATAGGGCTGATATTTAACAGTTTTCATTTATCCAAGACATTGTCAGTATTGCATTATCCTTGTCACAACAAGTTTGGGAAGAGTTATTTTTGTGTTTTTAGAATAGACGACTTTCAGAGAGTGTTGAAACAACCACAAAGAAATTGGAAGAAAGTCGTCAGCTGTTGAAGACAAATGAGAATGGTATGATACCAGTTTTATGAATAATATCATGTTAGACATGTTTAAACCTGTTAAAACCCTCAGCCAGATTGAAATGGAAACCATCTGTTGTCATACTTACATGATGGTTATTTTTGTGTCAGTCATATCAATATTGTTGCAGAAGTATTTTCAATAGTAAGATATGTCTACATACATTCTAGAACTCCATTGCTAATCGGTTCCTATTACCTCTACTGCAGTGATACAGTGGCTGAACAAACAGATCAATGAGCAACAGTTGACACATCACAGAGTCGGGGCTTTCGAGATGCCCTCTGCAGCATCAACAATGGTCAGGCCCGGGGGGACAGCACTGGTATGTATTTATCATTTCAGGTGGTATAGCCATGGTATGTTCATACCAAAGAACCCAGCACAGGTATATATTTATCAGGCCTGCAAGCAGAGCACTGGTATGTAGTTGTCAGGCCAGGGGGCACAGCACTGGTATGTAGATGTCAGGCCAGGGGGCACAGCACAGGTATGTAGATGTCAGGCCAGGGGGCACAGCACTGGTATGTAGTTGTCAGGCCAGGGGGCACAGCACTGGTATGTAGATGTCAGGCCAGGGGGCACAGCACTGGTATGTAGATGTCAGGCCAGGGGGCACAGCACTGGTATGTAGTTGTCAGGCCAGGGGGCACAGCACTGGTATGTAGATGTCAGACCAGAGGGCACAGCACTGGTATGTAGATGTCAGGCCAGGGGCACAGCACTGGTATGTAGATGTCAGGCCAGGGGGCACAGCACTGGTATGTAGATGTCAGGCCAGGGGGCACAGCACTGGTATGTAGATGTCAGGCCAGGGGGCACAGCACTGGTATGTAGATGTCAGGCCAGGGGGCACAACACTGGTATGTAGATGTCAGGCCAGGGGGCACAGCACTGGTATGTAGTTGTCAGGCCAGGGGGCACAGCACTGGTATGTAGATGTCAGGCCAGGGGGCAAAGCACAGGTATGTAGATGTCAGACCATGGGGCACAACACTGGTATGTAGATGTCAGACCAGGGGGCACAGCACTGGTATGTAGATGTCAGGCCAGGGGGCACAGCACAGGTATGTAGATGTCAGACCAGGGGGCACAGCACTGGTATGTGGTATGCAGGCCAGGGGGTATGATATACTTGCAAGCCCTAGCCAAGTACTCTACCTAGCCAAACTTAGTTTGTGATGCCCAACCATAACAAGAGGAATTAATGTTTTTATCTAGCCTAGCCTCGCCTCACCTCACCATTATGTCTATGCCTCTTCTTATGACAAGGAGGAGTGTTATAGAGAACACCTCTATAATTCATAAACAACATTTCAGGGCTACTTCAGCTCCTAAATGCCCACAAAGCCTCTCATGCCTCTTGTTGTCCTCCAGCACAACTACAGCACGTCCAGCTACGGGTCAGCAGCATCCCACCACAGTGACAGCCATGTGATGCAGTCAGGTGTTGGTATACCACGACAGTACCCACACCGACAGCCCCAGGTACCACCCTTGAACATGTGAAAACCATTCACAATACAATCTGTATGAAGCATCTGTTCCCACTGAAACTAGAGGTCTTAGAACTGTAGCACTTCAGGTTTCACACACACTGTGAAGTGATACTTGGGTATATTCTGAACTGTGGTTAAGGGTTTTCAGGGATATTATTTATTTAGATAGCTTACTAAATAAAATACTTACATATGACGAGACCTGTGAAGATCCGGGTTAGAATGAACCTTCAGTAACCCATGCTTGTCATAAGAGGCGACTAACGGGATCGGGTGGTCAGGCTCGCTGGCTTGGTTGACACGTCACCGGTTCCCAATTGCGCAGATCGATGCTCATGCTGTTGATCACTGGATTGTCTGGTCCAGACTCGATTATTTACAGACCACCGCCATATAGCTGGAATATTGCTGAGTGCAGTGTAGAACTAAACTCACTCACTCACTATATATGGCAATCCTTAACATTTTGGGTTCAATATATAGAAGTGAAATAATTTTCAAAATGGCATTAATCTGAACATGGTCTGCTGTGAAAAAATGTAAAGATATCACCTGCTTTATCACCCTTGACTCCTGCAGCTACTGAAAGATAAAAATCTTGTGAAGAGTTGAAAATATTTCATGTGATATTATTTTCAGAAAGATATATAATAAGAATATTTGAGAAATGCAAGAATTATCATTTGAAGTCATGGAATTCTGTTTGCAGGTTCAGTATAATCCAGGGAATCCTAGACGGAGTGGTCTCCCCATGCCAGTCCCGGCCCAGCCCGCCCTGGTCCCCCACCCCCAATTCCAGAGGAAATCCGCCCCCAAAGCAACCACAGCTCCCCAGCCTCTAATGCAGACAAGGAAAAGTGAGTCATCTCCACAACACATCTGTTTTCTTTCGATATCAGTTCCAGATTCATTCAAACTTTGGTAACTGAAAATATGTAGATCTTTGAGTGTATGGATCTTCTGTAGTTTGATGTCACAATGGTTGTTCATTGTGAGGAAGTGTCATTGTAGCAATATCTCCTTGATGATAACCAGCAATATCTCCAGCAGAGTCCAGTTTGGTTCTCATACAGTTCCTGTAGCACAAACATCTGAAACCTGGAAAATGTTCCAATGTATATATGTGTATGAATACAAATTATTATTACATTAAATCCCTTTCTTGTATAATTTATAAACAAACATGTCTGTTTATTCACCACCCTCATCTTCCAGTGACCCACCCATTGACCCCAAGTTCTTACAGAAGCGGGAGGATGCCATCCCAGTCCGGGGTCTGCTGAACAGAAGCAACTCCCCTCCCCTCATCTCCAACACAGCTCCTCCCCACCCCTCCACCAACTCAGTCCGCATCAGCCAGCAGATGATTGTCCCCCGAACAGTTCAGGCTCCACTGGCTTCAGCGTACTTCCCTGGTCAGAGCAAAGCTTCATGATGTCAAAGCTCCGTGTGAATTTCATAGTTCTGAACAATCTTCTCATGGGAACATGTTTGGGCGACATACTCATAAAGGTGATTGAGACAGGAAATTTTCGTGAAGTGCAACAAATAAGACAATTTGACGGCTCCACAGTGAGATGGCCTGTGCAAAGTTTCGGGATTGTGACATTCTTCTGAGAAGATGTTTTGGCCAAACACAGCTGTATGGTCACAGAATTTCAGGAACTGCAATAATTATGACAAGCTGGAGGTTCCACAGTGATTTGGCCTTTGCAAAGCTTCAGGATGTTCTATTGCTGTTAACTTTCTTCCAAGATGTTTTGGCAAGGAAACTGAATGGTCACTGAATTTTTTGCAAAGGAAGTGCAACGAATGAGATGATTTGAAGGTTCCATGATGACTTGGTCTCTGTAAAGCTTCATGATGTTATGTTACTGTCTTCCAGGAACCTCTTAGTACAATGTAATGTTACACAAGTATTAGTTCATTAAGTGCAACAAACAAAAGGATGTGAGGAATGGATTCATGATGACTGAATAAAGATTTCAGAGATGAAGAAGGGCTGTAATGATGAAATGCTCCAAGGATCTGTTCTCATTGATCATATACTTATCAATCGCAAGATAAACTTCCGTTATTAGAATTGTTACTTCATTTGTCTCTGAACTAATCAGAATGTTTAGCACTCATACCATCTTGTCATACTTTACAGATCGAATGTCTGGATGCCACTCAAAGATTGAGTGGTAGACTTTGTAAAAGATACTTTCTGAATATGACAGATTGTCACAAATTTGTGAGGTTGAAGAAACTTACAATCTTCATTGTGGTCACCTATAGAACTATTATATGATACAGCTAGTGTTTTTGTGACGTCCATTCACTGCCAGAGAACAGCCCTGTGTACGAGGGTTTGACTGATGTGATCATCTCAATGACTAATGATGAGGCGATGAGATTCAAGGAGGATGCATAAGCTGCCTCATAATAGTAGTGTTATATCCTTGATTTTCAAAGCAGTCCGTTAATGTCAACATGCAGAGGCTTCATCTGTAGGACTATCCTAGATTCACCTGTGTTCCACATTGTAGGATGTTGGTGTGTGTACAGCATTATTACCCCTGTGTTCAACATGTCGCCTACAGATACGTTGTAATTTCAAATGATATGTGGGGGCGGTGGGGTAGCCTAGTGGTTAAAGCATTTCCTCGTCACACCAAAGACTTGGGTTCAACTCCCCAATGTGTGAAGCCCATTTCTGGTGTCCTCCCGCTGTGATATTGCTGGACTATTGCTAAATAAGGAGTAAATCTAAACTCACTCACTCTAATAATATGTACCAAAGTTCCCCAAAACAAAGAATTCTATTACTTCTCGTATTTTTCTGAAAACAACAGAAACACTTTTAGACAAAATGTACCTAATATTTAGTTTTCTATATGTTTTCCAAATCAATAATGATAATTTTCATAGGGATAACATGCAGGCACTATGTTTAAGAGATATTAGGCAACGAATTTTAATATAAAATGGATTATTATCACAAAAATGGTGACAATTATAGAAATAGATACAAACAAGGAACAATTGGATACTAAAATAGCCGATGGAAAGGACCATATGCTTGTTATTGACCACTGTGTTTGTAAAGGAAGTATTTGCATGCCATTATACATGTAGTTGGTTATTGTAAACATGTTAATACATGGGTCATGCTTTCAACAAGAAACTTATTTATTCAATATGTTCACTGCTCAAGGAGCATATTTTTAACTGTTTAAAATGTGTGTTTTTTGTGTAAAAACTTCTTAAAGAGATATATGAAATAAGTAATTCAGAATGAAATGTATTAATTCAACTGCAATAGAACTTGTCATATCCTGTCACTTAAAACTCAAAATTCAAAATTCAGTCATGTGATTGTTGTCACTGTGAACAAATTGTGTGAAAAACGCTGAAAAGATATACCATGCAACAACTTTGTTTTCCAAATGGTGTTGCATGTAGCAACTGCATCAGCATGTGTGTGACCGCCATTGTTACTGAATTCTCTCTGCATTGTTCATGGAGTTTGTACAGGTTGTTAGAATACAGTGGAGTACAAGGTTCATGAGTAGAATACATGGATTTACAACTGTTGAGGAACACATTTATGTAGATTCTCTAATACTGGTTGGATATATGGTGTTAAATTTACGGTGTCGAGGAACAAATTTCCCATCTTTCCTGTCTGAAATGGAGCAGTGGGGTAGCCTAGTGGTTAAAGTGTTGGCTCGTCACGCTGAAGTTGGATATTAACATGGGCAGAATGTTAAGCCCATTTCTGGTCCCCCCCCAATATTGATTCTCCCTTCAATGTCCTAAATCAGTCTTTCCTGTCTGAAATTTTAAAACAAACTTTTCAGGGCTGTGATTCACCTATGAAAAGGGAAATTATATGAACTTATGAAAAAAACACTCTGCAATATGATTGAAATACTGTCAAAGTTGTGATGAAACCAACTCATTATCACATGACCAGTCACCAAAAGGTGCACACAAGATGTATTTGTAATGTGTTGTTAAAATATGGAATCAGCATAGGCAATAACACATTCCCTAACAATTTGCAGTATGTGAGCTTTATTCAGGTTTGGAATGTGAAAAATATACATGTTCTTTAAGGTTAAGTAAACTGAGAATTGCCAGGCTCAGTGAAATACTGTTTTAGAGACATCCATTGTGCAGTTGTTACTTACAGATTACACCATACATGATACTATTACAATGGTAAAGCTTGTGCTGCAATGTGAGTGTAAGTTAGTTATCTGAACTATAATGAATGGGTACCAACTTATATTTCAGGTCAATGTAACCGAGATCATGTACTGGCGTTTTGAGCTATACATTCTTCCCTAATTGCAAATTTCAAGCATGATTGTAAAATAAAAATATAACAAACAAAACTTTGTTATTTCTTATGAAATTAGAAGATGCCATTATCAAGTCTGGACTTGTGCGTCAGTGGTCAGGGGTGTGTGATCACTGCCCCATGTTGCTGGGGTCAGTGCTCAAGATATCCGATCCGGTAAAGCCACTGATAGAGGATTCTCATGTATCTTTGAAAAATAATTGTTATCCAGATTTAAAATGTTAGATACACAAAAAGTTTAAAACAGCTGGGAAGGAATATATTTATAAAAATAGGAAGGTGAATGAAAAAGACATGGATTGCTCCTCAAGTTTGTACTGTTAGTATAGGACTAGCGTCCTGTACTGTCAATATCTGATAAGTGTCCTTGTATGAAATCATTTCCATTATATTTAAGGAAGTTTTGATTGTATGATAGCTAGGCAGGACATACCTGCTTAGTGAAACTTACTGGGAAGACCTGTGTTTAGACACAGTAAAATGACTGAAATACACACATATTTGAAAGCAGTGGGTAACTGAAAAAGGTACCCACTCAACATTCATAATACCCACTGTTTGACACAGCTGGGAAGGTACCCCATGTGTTAAATCTTATCTGGAGCTCTGCAACCATTAGAGCCACTGAGGAGGATTTACTCATATGTAATCTTTGACTTTGTTATCCAGACTGGTTAGTTACCCTGTGTCTGACACAGCTAAGAAGGTCCTGTGTTTGACACAGGTGGGAAGGTCCTGTGTTTGACTCAGCAAGGAAGGTCCTGTGTTTGACTCAGCTAGGAAGGTCCTGTGTTTGACTCAGCTAGGAAGGTCCTGTGTTTGACTCAGCTAGGAAGGTCCTGTGTTTGACTCAGCTAGGAAGGTCCTGTGTTTGACTCAGCTGGGGAAGGTCCTGTGTTTGACACAGCAGCTAGGAAGGTCCTGTGTTTGACACAGCTGGGAAGGTCCTGTGTTTGACACAGCTAGGAAGGTCCTGTGTTTGACACAGCTAGGAAGGTCCTGTGTTTGACACAGCTAGGAAGGTCCTGTGTTTGACACAGCTGGGAAGGTCCTGTGTTTGACACAGCTAGGAAGGTCCTGTGTTTGACACAGCTGGGAAGGTCCTGTGTTTGACACAGCTGGGAAGGTCCTGTGTTTGACACAGCTAGGAAGGTCCTGTGTTTGACTCAGCTAGGAAGGTCTTGTGTTTGACACAGCTGGGAAGGTCATTTCTAACTGATGCTCTGCTCCAGTCTAGTGATCATTTGCAGTCTTTGTCCAGAAGATGTTACTGGTGCCATGTTTAAAACTTTGCAACATTGTCTCTGTGTAATCTTGGTTTTTATTAACTGTCATATAAAAAATCATGCTGATGTATATTTTGAACACAAAACAACATGGTTGAGGTTCATCTGGGTCCTCCTCACCTCTAATTAAAAAAACAAATAATGACATATTTTAGTTACGTAAAACCTTTTATTGTCTGTAAATAGTTTACATACAGCTCTTCCATTCTATGCTCATCAAACAATTTCTTCAGATCCTTTGATGACTCACATTCAACAACTTTGAAATCTTCAAATCTGAAAACAGATATAATTTGAAACTTTAAATTAGTATGTAAGCACTGACAAAATAAATATTCTACCTGTTCAAAAGTCAAGCCTACCATGATTGTTTAGCATTCCAACAACCCTGAAACAATTTTCGATCTGTCCCTAAATTCTCAACAGGAACCTGATACTGCTCGAGATTCTGATAAATAAGCAAATCGCCCGATTGGGTCCATAAACATGAGTATAGACCTCATTTGAAGTCTTATAATTAGTTTATTATATAATAAAGCCAAAAAAGCAGATTGACTATCTAAACCTATGTTATCTTATATAATGTTATCATATTTCAACAAATGGTGACAATCTCATTGGCTTAGGTTTGGGGAATACCACTACTGGTGATTCCAAATCTATTTTTGGTAACTCAAGTCAATAATCAGACTTGAATCATAGCTTCTTTTTTTTTTATAGTGTGTGTGTTTCTGTCAAATTATATGTGACTGCTTCTCATCAAATGAATATGGGAGAACTCTCAACAGTGTGTACCTAGCGCTGGCTGGCAGTGACGTCTCACACAACACAGACATCATCTTCTCCTTACAGGGATGGCCGCGGGAATCAACATCAATGTTGACAGACTTGTGACGAACCAGGTACTCCTGAAATATATACTGTGGATTTTAAACAACTTATAAATGACATGGAGAACGAAAAACAATCTGTTTGTTGCTGAAAGATCATTATAAAACCTTTCTCGTATCACATATATCAAAAGGCAATGGCCTAGTGAAGAAGTAAGAATAGGTCTTCACCAACCCTTGCTTGTAAGATGCTATTAACAGGAATGGTTGGGCTGACTGGCTTTTTGATGCATTTCAAGCTCTCTCTGTTCAAGCTCTTCCTGGGACTAAATTCATAATTACTCACTGGATTTTCTTGATCAGATCATTGACAGACCATCGTCATTAAGTTGGAATAATTGTTTTCCTTCCTCACTACAGAATCATTAATAAGGTAGAATCATGTTTGCGAATTTATTTAATACCTGTGACATTAATGTACTCCCCTTGACAGCTGTATATTTATGTAAAATATTTAAGCTTAGACTGACAAACATGTTACACTCTGGAAATATAATCTATGTTACTACTGAACTATCGGACATGTGGCCTATATTACAAAATAAACTTGACTGATTGAATATTATGTACACATTAAAACAAAAGGAAACCATAGATTAGATAGAAGTCATAACACAAAAATGCAGTCCATCATTTGTACCTTCAGGCTAGACTGGTGTCCTTGCAGGAGGATGAGAATGAGTTTGTTCCAGAACACTAGTCTCCCGTCCAAACCAAGTTCGCCTGTCCACCTCCTTATAGTTTTAATGTACTGAGACTTGGCCCTCATGTGATCAAGACGAAGCATCAGTGTCATCCTCTCTGGCTCCCGGCTCATCGGGGAGCCAATTTCATCTTCAGTCTGATGCAGCGACAGTGTCGACAGTTTGTCTTGAAGTACAGAAATCAACTCAATTAACATTGGACTGCCAGTATTGTCTGTTGCATGTTGGTTGGCTGTGTCTCGTAGAGTTTTGGACACACTCTTATCAATGGCCGCACTGAGAATTGACACATCTGGAGGTGTGTGGGGGTAGGATGGTGTGACGTCCAACACTACCTTTACATCTACCCCGTCATCTCTGTGAAGCTGGACTGTCACTTGGATGTCCTTTCCATCCCCTATGAGAACAAAATATAATTTTGTACATTTATACGTAGACCGTGACTAAAAAGCACTGTATGTATGGTACTACAGACTATAGCTTTCTGTTATATCAGAGTGACTAAAATATATATTCATGTGTTTACTGCTTAAATAATAAACATACACGAGTGTATTTCTAACAAAATTTCACAAAAGGCATATACAGTAGACTTAGAAGACATACAGTAAACAGTGGATACTTTCCATCATTCACATAAGAAACGTGAAAGTATCAACAAATTATACATTGAATATGGACTACACAGGAGGTCAAGTGTGCCCTTTCATTCTAAACATGACAAAACATTGATTTGAACCTTAATTTTATCTCAGACCAACTCTGTCAGATGGTCAGTCAGCATGCTACAGGGTGTAACACTCTGCTCAGTGAATGACTACATTGTATTTGTGTGCATTAATACTATGTAGGTCCAAGAGATGATAACTGATACAATATCCCCTCATGCGTCCATCAGCTGTTTCATATCTAACTTCTGTACATGGTGATAAGAACGGTGAGGCTTCTACGGTTACCGCACGCTTATATAAAATAATGCATGAACCATGTACGATGTCCAGCTCTCCGGGCAAACAGTAAATGGACTTCAAGGCAAGAAGCTCGTCCTCTTCCATCATCGAGGGCTACTGTGTGGTCTAAGGGAAGCTACTCTTGTCAACTAACCACTAAACATACTCCTTGCAGCGACATCAGCTGTTAAACAAACCTATCGTTATATAAACTGGTGATGAATGGAGCTTACGCTGGTTGTTCGGAATATTCAATGTTAACTTCACGCCTCGAAAATACTGCGAACCTGACTTTTGTCCACATCTGATTTTAAACAGCGATTATTCTCGCGTGGCTAAGGCCAGGGAGACTATAAGATTGTTGATTATCCCTGCTAAGGCGAACTCTAAGTTTCATGGAAGACTATTTATTATGATTATTTAAAACTCTTCTTTGTCACGTCACAGATTTTAGTATGAGCGATAATATTCAATGGTCTGTCGGTTACCCTAAACGGGATATGATAGGATACACTTAAGACCATTTTAGGTTGAGAACAGCACATACGCATACAAAATGTAACAGTTTGTGAAAAGAAGATTTTGCATGGACTTTTGTAAGTTCAATTCCTGAGAAAGTTAGATTCCTTTACAAGAAAAAAGACCGATCGGCCATAGACCAATTATACACGCACGCACGCACGCACAGGACATTACCGGTCATGCCAGATGCTTTTCTGCCTCCCGGGGACACAAGTCTTTGTCATTCCGATGCTCTATATGATCTCCGCACATAAATTAATTTTAAAATGAATGAATTTAATTTTCACTGCAAATATACTTGTTCATAAATCCATACATCAGAGCTTCCAACCCCAAGGTAAAAAAGACTGAGATACTGAGGTCCAAGGGCATAATTGCCAATTCCCTTCTCAGAAACGTCACTGAAAATTTATGTGTTCAGACCTATTTGTGTTGTTTCAAGTCGTCAAAATGTACATTTTTTCATATGAACCCTACCCGTGTTCACAACATCCGGGTTATCAGGGGCGGATACAGCTTCTTGAGAAAGGGGGGGTGCACCCTTCATTTTCACCCGAGTGTCAATGGTCATTTAATAAACTTTCAGGACAAGGGGCACCCTTGCACCCCCTCTGGATCCGCCTATGGTTATCTAATTGATATTCAGCCACCCATGCTTGAGGCGACTAACGGGATCGGGTGGTCAGGCTCTGACTTGGTTGACACATGTCACCATATCACAATTGCGTAGATGGATGCTTATGCTGTTGATCACTGAATAGTCTGGTCCAGACTCGAGTATTTACAGACTGCCGCCACATAGCTGGAATATTGCAGAGACACTGCAGCGTAAAACAACCAACCAACCAAACCAACCATATTAACCCAGTCTTGCACGCGTGCGTTTTAAATATCAGTTTTGTCGTGAGCGCATGACATGAGTTATGAAAGCGTGAGTCTCAAGCCGTTAGAGTATGGTATGATACACTGCATGATGGGCTAGAATATGTGGCAAGTCTAGATTACCACCGTTTCAGTTTCTGAAAATGAAGAACGTCTCTGGGCTCTTTTTAATTATATTTCAATATAATTTAGAAACATTTTTATCAGTGTTATTCAGAGACCATATAATAGATTATATGGTATCTGGTTTATTAGACTAACAACTAGTCTCTGAAATGAACATATTTTACTGAAAAAAAAGTTCATAGTAGAAAAAAATTAAATATAATGAAAAGGAGCCCTGAGACTTTCTTCATTTTCAGAGACCCTGAAGCTGAGGAAATCTAGACTTGCCACTTTTTCTAGACTTGTGTGGGCTTTCTTGGATATATTTGCTTCAGGGTCTGTACGAGAGACTACTGGTTTATTTGAGAGACTAGATACGTGAGTTTATTGTTTAATGCCACACCCAGCAATATTCCAGCTATATGGCGGCGGTCTGTAAATAATCGAGTCTGGTCCAGTGATCAACAGCATGAGCATCTATGATACGATGACATGCACCAACCAAGTCAGCGAGTCTGACCACCCGATCCCGTTAGTCGCCCCTTGAATGTCTTCAGGTCAGTAAAAGTCAGTTCGACATAAGCATGTTCGTTGTAAACGTAGTGTTCTGTAGTCAATGTGTCGACTTTCTCTCAAGACTGGTAACGCTTGTATTTTGTTAACCCGTAAATAAGCCCGGGCGTAAGAAATCCACATCGGATTGTCCCAGCTAGTCCGGACGCTAATTAGTAAGACCCAACATAACGATCAGGCTTCTATCAACTGACAAACCAATGTGTGATAGTTTGAGGGTGTCCTTTGACTAACTGCTTATACAAATATGATTGCTTCCTTGCTATATTAGCAATAACAAATATGACGCAACAAGAATATTAGTTCCGCTTATTTCCCAAAGAACTGAGACTGATCTTCTTTGACTGCCACTCACTGATCCCAACAGAACCTAACTTGTATTATCGTGGTCTATTTACCTTTGAAAATTCAAAAGCACGTGTTACAATCGGAGCTGTTGGGCAACATAGTTTACCACACGAGATTTGCCGACTGCTCCCGGGGGCGGAAGATGCGCAGTGTTCGACTCGAAGATACGTAGCCGCCATGTTTGCTTTGTAATAGTTGGAATCGATTTGTAGACGAATAATATAGTTGAAAACCACAACAAGTGATTTATTATCGTTTGTGTAGGTAGTCAACGAAGATAAACGTCCAACGTTGATGAAAAGCTCATTATGAGCTCAGACGGAACTCGAGATGTGGATGCTAAAGGTACCAAATTATGGGTCCCAAACGTTTAGGGCTAATTTCCAAATTAGTCTCTAATTGTATTATTCATCGCATGATTTTAAGCATTTAATCTATGTTTATTGCTCAGTTGTTCATGTAGTACAATCGTCGAGGGTTTAAGATTCAACATAATGATCTTTTAATAACGACTTTTTACTCAGTCTCATTATGCGTCAGGAGTTGTCTTTCGGAATAGTTGTTCATGGGTTCGCCACAGAATACATTTCTCAGCCAGTATAACTTCCAAGGCCATGTCCTTTGAGGGACAATGAAGTGATTTGCTTCGCATTTAAAAGCCCATAAAACTGTGTAGAGCTTTAAAACGACCCACATTGTTCAACCTATTTACATAATTGAATTTAGAGCAGTCATGTAAACCGGCTGTAAGCATAACAGAAGGAACTCTTTCCGATGTTTGGGAAATAGCATTAAGTTGTACGGTTAACATGCTTACTTGACCTAACAATTCTATTCACAGAAATAAGTCTTCAATATTTGACATTTAGTTTCAACTTGTGCAGTATGCACGATCCATTAAATTTATAAAAGCCTGATGTCACTTCAGATAAATACTTGATCTAACCTTTACATCCTGCATGTCAATGTCCCAACACATCCTTGGGATCTTTGTCTTGAAAAAGACTTTTAAAGGTCTTTATATAGAAGCTCCCACATTATGTACAATTGACAAATGTTTTTCATCAGGTTTGATGTGTTGTGGTAGCCTAGTGGTAAAAGCATTCGCTCATCACACCAAAGACCCGGGTTTGATTCCCCACATGGGTACAATGTGTGAAGCCCATTTCTGGTGTCCCCTGTCGTGATGTTGCTGGAATTTTGCTAAAAACGGCGTAAAACCATACTCACTCTTCATCTGGGTTGATAAGTTGATTTCAGTATTTCATGATCTAACTTTAATTTGCAGGTGGCGATAGCTTCGTAAATGTCCTGGATGACATCCTTGACCTTGATGGTAATGCAGGAGAGGATGAACTAACAGCAGAAATAAACCAAGAAAAAGGTAATGATACCTTTCTCACCTAAGTTTTCGGTTGTAGATGCGAAATGACCATAATGACTTGAACCTATGAAACATGGAAAGGGTAGTTTGTTAGATGTCATTTTCCTTTGTTAGATGTCATTTCCAATTTTCTAGGCTTAGTGCCCATGCTTGTCGTAAGAGGCGACTAACGGGATCGGGTGGTCAGGTTCGCTGACTTGGTTGACACCTGTCATCAGTTCCCAATTGCGCAGATCAATGATCATGCTGTTGATCACTGGATTGTCTGGTCCAGACTTGATTATACAGACCGCCGCTATGTAGCTGGATTATTGCTGAGTATAACTCAACTCAACTCAACTAGGCTTAGTGGCTGAGTCTGGCAGTAAGTCAGCTGATTTGTTTGAAAGTTGTTGCCAAAACTAGATGAAATACAAATATTGTACTTAATACTCTTTCCAAGTATCTTTACACATGGACTGATTTGAAGTTTTGAAGTATTATATATACATACACTGTTTTATTGGCACACATGTACACATTAAATATTGACCTATTCATCCTGCAGAGGCATCTGAAATTGCAGTAGAAGAGAAAACAATTGTTAAAGCAGATCAAACAAAGAAGAAAACAGTTGTAAAAAGGACAGTAGCCAAATCCAAACCAACAACCAAAAAAGTGGTGAAGAAAACAGTTGTGAAGAAGGAAGGGTCTGCTAATTCTGCTGTGAAGAAATCAGCCACACCCTCAAAGGCAGCTCCGGCCAAAACTGTAAAGAGAAAATCAACTCCAACTGATAGACCTGTGGTATCCAAAAAGTCAGACCAGGGAGACCTTGCAGGTAAGCAAATTAATAATGTTACCATGGTTGTTGCTCAGGTACTGCACCACAACAGAAACAGTATTTAATATGCAAAGAAACAGTAATTTTCCCTCAATAGGCATGAGATATCAGCACTGTGAAACATTACTAGTCTTGTTTTTATCATGAATTATCGAATGCCCAACATTTCTACAAAGAAATTGCTGAAAATAGAGATTATGACAACATCCTTTTAGGTGATACCTTGCTCTGTGGTCCACCTTCTAACAGCAAGATAAGTTGCAGGAAGTAATAGTTTGTTGTACAAGGCATCTCAGTTGGAATGGCTGATTTCATGTCTTATTGTTCATATCACAGTCTACTGTATTGGTTTATATTTTTGTGTCTGAAGGTTGGTACTATTATGTTTGTCTATATGTCTCTTGGAACAGTTTTTATTACAGATGATACAGGAGTAAATATATCTTGCCTGAATTTTTGTTTCAGCGGAGGTACCAGAAAAGGTTGCTAAAGTTGAAAGACCCAAAACTAAAGTTGTGAAGAAAGTCGTGAAGCCTAAGGCAAAGAAAGAAGTTCAGACAAAGGTTAAACAAGGTAAATCATATATGTGACTCCTTCATTGTGAAGAGGTCCTTCTGTCCCAGGGGCGGTGGGGGTAGCCCATCGTTGGCACGTCCGCCCGAAGACCCGGTTGAAAACCCACATGGGTACAATGTGTGAAGCCCATTTCTGGTTGCTGGAATATTTGTTCAGTCAAAGCCTTCTGTCCCATCTGAACCTTGAGTCTTGATGTTCAGAGACCCGTGAAGATCGGGGTTAGAATAAAACCCATGCTTGCCACAAAAGGCGACTATGCTTGTCGTAAGAGGCGACTAACAGGATTGGGTGGTCAGGCTCACTCACTTGGTTGACACGTCATCAGTTCCCAATTGCGCAGATTGATGCTCATGCTGTTGATCACTGGATTGTCTGGTCCAGACTCAATTATTTACAGACCGCCGCCATATAGCTGGAATATTGCTGAGTGCAGCTTAAAGCTAAACTCACTCACTCATTGATGTTCAGATGGTGAGTATTGATCTACAGTATGTAGACTTCCTTATAGATACTTTGTCTGACTGTTATTAAGATGTTAATGTTTGTTGTAATTAACCCTAATTGTTATAAATGAACGCAATACCGATCGGATAGTGTTTACCAAATATTGACCCCCTCTTTCATTGTAGCAGATCCAGTTGAGGAAGACGACATAGGTGGTGACGAGTCAAGGGAAGAGGGTCAGGGAGACGATTCGGAAGATCGCATCCATCTGAGTCTCAGTGCTGAGGAATCTGAGGAACTTCGGCAGAGTGGAGAGGTCATGGATAATCATGGCTACGACACCCGTAGTGAGACGGGCAGCACTGGAGAGGAGTCGGTGGCCAGTGACAGTGAACCCAACACTGGTGAGGAGATGGTTGACCTTGCTAGCTGAAGGATGGGGGAGAGAATGTTATCACATGTAGATCAAAAATGAGGTGGAGGCAAAACATGAGTATTTTGTTTCAATAGTTTGTGAGGCAGTATCTTTGTGTGTTGACATTGTATGTTCTTGAGTTAGAAATCTCAAATGATAAGAATGTTTTTTATAAGTAAGTGCCACTTTCCTTGCATATACTTTAAAATGCCAAAATTGATTCAGTGAAAAAGTATTGATGGATTAAGTGTTGCTTTAATGTTTTAACATAGTCAAAATTTTAATACTGTTTCAGTCTGTGACTTCAGCCACAAGTCAAAAGCACAAGTCATATGTTTTTGTGAATTGTCTAATAAACTCTGTAATAATCCATGTAATAACATAAAATCGGAGTGGAAATGATGCAAGGGACCATGTTGGCATAACTACTTTAAGAAATATGATTCATGCAGGCAAATGTTTATGTCCATGCAACTTCAATATTACACATTTCCTCTATCAGATGGTGAGGCCAGTCCAAAGAAGAAGAAGCCTAAACATGGGGGAAAGAAGAAGCGCCAGAGAGAAATATCCCCCATTGAGTGGGACCGACAGAGTGAAGAGAGTGAGGAAAATGATATCACTGATGCCAGTGAAGAAAGTGAAGATGATGAAGAGAAGAGTGTGAAGAGCGGAGAGGGAGGCAAGAGTGACAGCGAGACAGAAAGGCGAAGTAAGTCATCCTTTAAGTGGTAAAATGGACAGGGTAAAAGAGGGACATATTTTATTGTCTTGAAGCAAATGGTTGAGGGTGCTGGAACTTTTGTTGTCAACATTTAACAGTTTGAAACTATAGATGTGAAGTGCTTAAGGATATATGTGTTTTTTTTGTAAATGAATAGGAATATTCTTGTGGATTCAAAAACAAAGAAGTATACCATGAGTGTTAGCAAGATATCATTGAGGATTAGCTCCTGCTCCTTGATTAGGTCCTAGATGTATGACAGTTTCTGGTAGTAACTATATGACAGAGCTCCACTCGTTACAGGATATGCCAGCAAGGTGAAGTACCTCTTCAAGGGTGCCAGGTACTTCCTTATCAAGAGTAACAACCATGAGAATGTAGCTCTTGCCAAAGCAAAGGGTGTGTGGTCAACACCGCCTCAAAATGAAGCCAAGCTCAACCAAGCTTACAGGGTAAGGCTGTGCCTATATATTTGTGTTTGTAAAATGTCAACCCATGACATGCATTTATATCAAGTACATGTAATCATTGTTATCTCAATCTTCTAGACATAAGTTTATTGTTTTGTACCTTCCATATGTTCTGGATTAGAGTAGAGACCAAGCAATGTATTGTGAACCACCAGTCATGGATGAAGTGTGAACTAGTTGAATTCTACACATAAACCTGGATTTAGCAGTCAGAACATAATGTCACTCAGAAGTCTCGTGACTGCATAAAATTCATAGATGTTTCCTTTAGGGGTGGAAATAACCCATTGCCCGGCGCCTGAGTCCAGTGTTTCTTTCTGTCGGGCAAGCAAATTTGTATATCAAACTGTACCGGTGTCCAGTTGACTTTCCAATGTTAATTATGTTCTTTATGTAAAAAATCAACAAGAAACAGCTGTTAATAGTGGGAAAATTATCAGGGCAAGTGATTTTATATGTGCCACTGTACCGGAGTACACTAGCAATTTTAAAGCTATTTCCACCCCTGTTCCTTTAGTATAGAAACACTGCATTTTCTCTGTTTGTGGTATGTTTCTATTGATTAAGTTACTTGTTTTTCAGGAATGTAATAATGTAATACTCATCTTCTCGGTGAAAGAGAGCGGCAAATTCCAAGGTTAGTAACAGGCGTCTATAATATTCTAAGAATGAATTAAGCCAGCTTCATTGAAAGTGGGTTTTATGGGTTAAATTGACATACAGTTTGATTACAACAGACACGTAATTTACTGACCCTAACATGAAGGTAGTTGAATCCACTTCTTTGTAGAACTACTTAATTTAGAGTTGTTTGTCTACCCAAAATGTTCCCAATCTTTCTATATTTATTCTGTAATTGTGATAGTGTTTGGTAAGCAAAGATAATGACTTATTTCAGGGTTTGCTCGTATTGGTGAGGAATCGACCAAGGACCACCCTCCCATCAGATGGGTTCTACCCCCAGGGATGAGTGCCCGTGCTCTGAGTGCTGTCTTCAAACTAGACTGGGTTGGGAGGTAAGGTCTATGATATAAGATGCTGATGTTGATGTCTGATGCATTGTAGTCTCAACTGTTAAGTTTTGGTATCTTAAAATATGAGGAAAAATGTTTCACTAAAGTAAAAACTCACAAGTCAGAATAAGTTCATCTTCTAATTCCAGCACAAATGTATATGTGTGATTTAAGGTTTACAATTACACAGATGAATGTTTTTCAGACGAGAACTGCCTTTTACAAAGGCTGCTCATCTTCACAACTCCTGGAATGACAACAAGCCAGTGAAAATAGGAAGAGATGGCCAGGTGAGTGTTCGATCTGGATATTAATATTTTCTGAAAGTCTTGAGAGTGGCAGGTCCGTGATTTTATCTCAATCATTGCAATTGTTGTTGAATGATGGTACTTGTCATCGCTACCCTACCTGGTATTGAGAGGATAAAACAGGTACAGGTCAGCACAGTCACTGTCTTGGTGTATAGGGTATTACGGGATATCCATGTTTTACTGAGGCAGTGTATGTCATCACTGTATAGCTGGCATTAGTCCAGACAAGTTTAAGCTGCCAGGCATGTACATGTATTTGCATCACTAAGGATGTGCATTAGTCTTGAGCATGACATGAAACCACATTTCAACTCAGGTTTTGAATCTCTGCCTGATAAATCTAGTTGTGATGAAAATTTTATATTTATTTTGTGTCCTAGTCATTCTATAAATACTACTGTTGGTATTACTTTTCAGGAAATTGAGCCCCGATGTGGTGAAGCCCTGTGCAAGATGTTTCCACCAGACAACAAGCTGGACATCAGTTCAATAGTACGCAAAGCTCGGAGATCCCGTCCTCTTGTGCGCCCGGAGAGACCCCGCGACAGACCAAGGAATCCGCGCTTCAACGACATGGCTAGGTTAGGACCTATAACATTGCCACAGACTTCACATAGTGGAGGAAGAGGACTTACATGAGTGTTTTTCCTTTCAATATGGATACAGTGGTGATGTTTATAATTTCTAAATCCAACTTGCTCCCTGAAGCAAGAGAGGTCTGTGCATTGGGTTGTGTAAGGTTTTGAACTGTCTCTTTCTTTTAAAAAAGCAAGATCTGTTCAGGTGGGCATTTGGGTGGGTGGTAAGTACCAATGGACTTAAAAGTTGTCGTTTTTTACTAAAATTCCTGTAAGGCTCATTGCAGGGTAGAAGTTCCAAATTGTGGAACTGGTAAAACCAACATTGAAGATTTCCAGAATTTGTGCCTTCCAGTGCCTCTCTAATCAAGAGGTGTGGATCTTTCATCTCGTCCGTCAAGGTCTTTTAGAAAATGCCTGCAAGAAATATCCAATTAAAGCTTCCAAAAAGCCAAATCCAAACCTGCGAATGGTTTTCCAAAAATGCTGTGCTGAAGTTTAAGTGTTAGCCAGAGACGATTCCGGCTCCCCATATGGACTAAATACCACCCAAGCATGCAGTGCACTTCCCATTGTGCCTTATGGACTTACCATGGGGGATGCATTGCTTTGTTAATAGCACAAAAATAGGGATGGTGAGTTCACCTAGCCACTCATGTGGACAATTGTTATATGTGGCTTAAGTCTGGATGTTCCTGGTAGCGTCCCTGTTCTTGCAACCAGAATGGACTAAAAATGAGGGCTGTTGGTTGAGAGCCAAGTGTCCTATCGGTAATAGAAAAAAGGGACCTAACGTCTTCTTCATATTAAGCTTTAATTGGGACTAATATAAGTGTGATAATGGACTATCTGTCAAATCGATACGGGACCAAGTTTTTAATCACATGGGACTCCCCGTGTCTGGGATGAGCTGTGTTAATTCGAGATGTGTTTCCTGCTTGCCGATGTACGAGTGCCAGATTCGGGTATGTGTACTTTAACTATTTGTTGCAGTTTTAAGTACAAGAAAATGAAAGCATTTTCCCCAATCTTCAAAAGGCAGACGGTGAAGGTTTGTTGTGTGTTACATCATGTCACCTTCCTGTGCAGCATCTGCTGTTTTGAACACATAATTATGTTTGTGCCTGTTGTAATGTAACACTCACAAAGATGGCATCAAGTTTACCCTTTACACTCTCATAATATACATTCTTTAACATGGTGAGCACATGTTTTTATTCATGTACCATGTTACTCATCAGAAGTATGGTTTGGTCTATGAATATGCAAGAATATCACACTGGCTGCTCCACTCATTGATTTACCCAATAGTCTCATGAAACTGCCAACAGCACTCAACAACACAGATAAAATTCATGGCGTCCGAGTGCAGCTTAATAGTTCACAATTACATGGTGGTAGGGCTGGCGTATATTTTTCTAAGTCCATTATGGAAATCAGTGGACCATGTTGACATCTATCACTGGCTGCTCCACAAATGATCATTGATGATTTACTTCTCCAATAGTGTTCTGTCATGACAAGTTCTTCCTCAAGCATGTGTTAACATGACTAACTCAATATATATTGATGAAAACTTGTGAGTCACTACCGCCGTAAAACATAAACGTAATGCCAGTGATGTTAGCTGCGGAAGCAACAGCAAACCAAGAAACTGGATGCACATTGACAAAAACCCAGACAAATACAGATCTCATCTCCAAAAATCTACATCTCTCACACACACACACAGATAACATGGATGAAACCTATAAGGATGGTGTTTGTTTTCTTTTTTGAAGACCAGAAGATATCTCATTGGATGGTACATGTGTTTTGAACTGTTTAGAAATCATAGCCAAACAACCACATTGATGAGCATATAAGTCCAGAGGATATCTTTGCCAAGAGGGGTAGCATGCCTGTCTGATGATTGTTCACGTACTTAAAGTACTGTTGGAAATAGAAAAAAAACCTTTTTTTCTCGCATTTATATCTACAATTTATGTAGTTAATATGTGAAAGTGTGAAATATCTGTTTAACTAAATTCGGCCTAACTATAGTGTCAGTGGTAGGGAGATAGGAAACGTAGAAAAAGGACTTTACTGAGGAGAGATTAGTGCAGAAATGAGAAATGCGTTTTGTCTTTTTCTAAGTCCAAAGTGACTTATTTGGAACAGACCATGGCTTTATGCAAATTAGTGTGAGATGATATTGTATTTCATAGGACACTTAAAAAATGCACATTTTTAAATTAGACTTGGCTTCATTATAAATGATAGCTGACATAAAAAATAATAACTTTGATATTGAAACTATTAAGGATTAAGCTACCATGGAGTCTCACTATCACCATAATAAGAAACAGGTAGGAGTCGTCGTCTCAAATGGTGTGTCAGGATGGGTGTCCCAGGCGGTGGTAGGGGTCAGGCTGGGTGATAGAGATATCAGCTGAGATACAATAATCCTTTAGGGGAATTAAACTTGGGAAGCAAACAGCTTGTCATAGCAATTTACAAATAATGTCCAGTTCTGTTGATCATCAGGTGGTCATGCCACCAATATATTTTGAGACATTTAATATAATGGCTGATTTATGCTTTCTATGGGTATCCTACAATTTTACATATCTCAACATAAACTTTATGAAAGAAGCACACACATAAGATGTTAATCAATAGATGAGACATTAAACACACATGAGAAAGCATAAAATATCTTTGAGATGACCCCTTGTGCCCCGTAGGCAGCACATGCATTTCATGCCAGGTGAGTCGACAGTCCGTCGTCATACCTGGCTAAGCGACCTAGTTGCCATCTATAGTCTGATCTATTGCTTTCAGCAGCTATTCGTATTTTGTCTAAGTTTTGCCTGATTTTACGAGTAAACATGCTTTTCTGGATATCCTATTATGCACCCCACTGAATGCCCAGCTAGACCGATCTGGGTTATTTTGACACATGTGATTTGCAATTGTGTAAATTTTAGGGATACAGAGTAACGGCCTAAAAAAAGAGGGTTTTTTTCTATTTCCGACAGTACTTTAACACTAAAATCCATTGAAAATGATGTTAAGAGCCACGTTAGAGCTGGAATAGAAGACTCCTCTATGGTTTTGGTACAGACTGCATGTATGAGTGACCCAGAAGTTTCAGCCGTGTTTGTTCATTATCATAATTTTAATGATAATTTTTTCAAGATAAAATGTAAGAACATTACATTGTATTAAACACTATAAAAAACATTTTTGTGACACGGACAAGGTTAATTGGACTGAAGCATTAACCATTTGATAAGTTGCAGCCATTGTAATGAGTATTATTTATCTCTTCTTTCTTAATTACAAAATACTTTATCTTGTTAGGGAGTGGTGGGGTAGCCTGATGGTTGAAGCATTCACTCGTCACGCCAAAGACCCGGGTTCGATTCCCCACATGGGTACAATGTGTAAAGCCCACAACTGGTGTTCCCCGCCTTGATATTGCTAAAAGCAGCACTTTATCTTGACCATTTTGACGATGGATAAAAAAAGTTTATTTTTTATTATTGTAGTATCTCACAATCCCAAGAGCACACCTAAATATCTGCAAGATGGCAGACTTGAAGGCAAAGGTTTTATCATTGGATCCCTGTCTTTTGTACTTCTATCCTGAAAGTACTAATTGGTAACTTCAGGAATCAATGTGATCAGAGCATTTGGTCATGACCATTACCTGCTCAGGACATACATGAGTTGGGGAAACAATGTAACAAAAATGTAATAAAAGGAGTGAGTGAGATTAGTTTTACGCCACACTCGGCAATATTCCAGCTATATGGCGGCGGTCTGTAATTGATCGAGTCTGGACCAGACAATCCAGCGATCAACAGCATGAGCATTGATCTGTGCAATTGGGAACCGATGACATGTCAACCAAGCCAGCGGGCCTGACCACCCACCTCGTACGACAAACATTGGTTACTGAAGGTACGTTCTAACCCAGACCTTCACTGGTTGTAATAAAAGGAAATCTGACCTGACAGTATTTATTAGCCAAGACCAAGAAGTAGGAAAATTACTATGCTTTTACCAACAAGAATTTTTTTATTATCTAATATCATTATAGTTGTTGAATCTTAAATATAACAAAAACTGACCTGAATAACCTGTTCGAAATTTTTGTGATTTAGCAGCAAAGTAAAATGTTGATTGAGGATTCCATTTTAAAAACAGTCAACTAAAATAGGGTTCTGTGACCTTGTTCATAACATACTGCATCTTGATGGCACAGGATTTTGGATATACATCAAGCACTTGTCATGGCTCTGTCATCATTGGTGTTGGTATATGTCAAATATTTCCTATATCACTGTCTGTTTATCTTTCAAGCCCTATGTTGCAGTGTTGGGAGTCATTACAACTGATCAATCTTGTCATTACATATCAGGATCATATTGGCCCTCAAGAAGAGCTTTGAAGGTCAAGTTGAACATAAATCAAGTTCAATCCTGGTTTACGAGCGAAACATGTTAAGTTGAGAGGTCATGAGTGACTAAAAAGTCAATGTAAACCCAAACACAAAAGTTTATACACCATAAATGTTTGCCATTTCTACATACTATATTTCTGTAGAGCTGAAGGTTTTAAGTTACCTGTATGTTTTGAGAGGTCATGATGAACAAACTTAAAGATCACCTCTGTAGAGTTTTTGACAGTTTTGATGAGACAGTCAAAATAAATTATGAACATTTCTAGTGTATATCCCAAAAGAATGGTCCCCAGCTGTGATATTGCTGGAATATTGCTAAAAACTGTAAAACCATACTCACCCAAGAGATCAAAGGTCAAAGTTACTTTCACGGTCATAGACTAAGAGATGTATGTTTATGATTACTTAAGTAGTGGTTTGTGCTCCCAGGTAACATTTTGTTAATAAAGGGTTATGAGTGAGTTTCATAGAAGGTGTAGGTCAGGATGATCAATTGTAATTTTTTGATTTTCTCTTTATTGAACCTACGACATATAAATTAGAGATGGGTCTTGGGGGTTTTCTTAAAAAAATAAGAATGTGATAGGCTGATATTTTAGATCACATTCATACCAGTCACTTTCTCAGTAGTAAGGTAACTGGTTCCAGTGGAAGTATTTTCCTTTCCCTAAAATATGCCCCAAGATCTCATTTGTTACAGAAACACTTGTTCAAGTAGAAATTAATATTTACAATTTATGTTTATAACATTTTAGATGTCACCCTTATCATATGTGCCACCAAATTTTGCACGGTACCAAAGAGTGTATAAATCATTACATGGAAACCATGATAGACTGTGATTTTATCTATCAATATATTTATGTCTAAGGATGGAACAAAATGATGATTATTGATAATTTACACAAGTACTTAAATGAGAAACCAAACACGCTAAGTAGTATCATTTGATTTTGTCCAAAAGAAACTTTGTTGGAGAGTGAGTTATTTCACTTTCTAAGATGCCTAGCGGTTAGAACAATAAAAAAATAATACATTATCAGACAATAAAGGTATAGTTTTTTTGATGACGTAACAATTGAATGATGTTATCCCGTAACTGCGCCATTCTAGTGTGACCCCTCGTAATCAAACCATTTTACATTACGTCACAATGTAAGCGACGTCATGATGCATATCAGTTGTCATCGCCTCGCACGGCCTCCTACAGTAAACTACTGCATCCCCACTTGGTTTGCAGTTGCTAACAGCTAACATCACTGGTGGAAACATTACATTTATGTTTTACGATGGTTAAAATGTGTCAATTGGACTCACAAGTTTTCAGCGACACGGTAACGCTTTGCAATGTTTACATTCCCACAATGCAATCGTGGAATGTCGCTTGACTACTCAACTTCATCTGGATGTACTGATCTAAACTTACTCTGGTAGTAGAAATGCGACGCTCATATTGCCCAATATGGTTTACGTTAATGACAGATGTAATTAAAATAATTCAGAGAAGATATTTAATCCGAACGTAAACCCGCCATCAAACTGTTATCATTTGTTTTTTTTTCTGGTAACGTTCGCCTTAACGTAGGGGGTCAGACACATCAATAGAAGAACAGAGCCAGTTAGGATTCTTAATTTAGGTCACCGACACCATCGCTTGTTTTCTGCCTTAAATAATCGTAATTATCCTTTTAACTATAATAGTTCAGGGCTTAAGTGTGTTTCACCCTGAACTACACTATACATGGACGCAAGGTAGACTTTAACTATAATAGTTCATGAAAGTTCTTAAATCTATACATGGTGGTAGTGGTTAAATCTTTGGGTAGTGGTTCGCTTGTCACGCCTAAAGACCCGGGTTCGATTTCCCACATGGGTACAATGTGTGAAGCCCATTTCTGGTGTCCCCCACCATGATATTGCTGGAATATTGCAAAAACCGCATAAAACCATACTCACTCAATAACTGTGGTTACACCAAATAGCTGTAACATTGCTGATGCATCTGCTGGTTCAGTCATCTCTTCCTACTATTATTTTCAATGGATTTTAGGTTTAATGTATTGGCATGAGAACATGGACTTATACTGCCTCATCAGTGCCCTCACTTCTTAAGAATAATTTTGTTTTCCATAAACTCACACTATCCTCCCAAATTTTGTAGAAGAGAAGTAAGTTACTGTCAGTTTAAACACTTGGGGGGAAGAAATAAAACCGTTTATTCTTACTTTAAACATGTTTTTGGATTCTCATGATAATTGAAAAAGAATGTATACAGTTCACAAGAAACAAGAACTTCTATACCTCTCCCCTCGCCTACAAAACAACGCCATGATATAACCAGAATACTGTTCGAAGTGGTGTCAAAACCAAACCTACTCTCTCCCACAAAACATGCAGTGGAGAGTGAACATTTTACACACAAAACATTTTACAAACTGGCAGTAAGGTGATGATGTAACATTTATGTATTATTCTAATAAACTTTGTAAAATGGAGCAGTATTCAGAGTAGAAATGAAATGTGGCTCACCTTAAATTGCAGGCGGCGACGACACAGTCGAGAGAATTTTTATGAAGGACCTCGAAACAAGAGAAGCAGAGGTGACTTTGGTGGCAGAGATGGTTAGTTGTCATTACCATGAGGGCAGTAAACCATGTGGAATAATGTTTATAGACAATATGGTAAACCCATCAGATCGATGGCTGAGACAAAATTCAAAACTGGTTGTATCATGGTGGTGATGATTATGTGGTTATCCTGTATTTGCATGCTTTCCCTGCATGTGTTTGATGTCGCAAGTCAAATTGCTGTATAGATCACTTTCCATCAAGAAAATCTGTTCAGCTTTTTAAAAGGTTATTTGCATAATCCTGTTTTTTACTACAAATTTGATAGGTTTTTGTTTAAAATATATTTTACTTAATGATTACTGTTACTTAACTTTGAACTTTACTTTTTATTTAAGTGGTCAAGCTTGGTTTGATTTTGCATGGTGTTTGTTACAAGTTCTACCCAACAGAAGTACATGGTAACCATCTTTCACAAGTGCTATATTTTCTTGATTTCAGGATTTTTCAAAGACAAAAGAATGGATAGGTATGGCATATCTATTGATTTTGATCTGTGTTTGTGAATCTTTTTTTAAGAAATCTCTGCTTACATCTTTGGCTGATCTTGAAATGTGCTGACACCTGTGAAACCCTTAGTTTATTGTGATCTTGAAAAAGAATATTTTGCAATACTTGAACTGTTTTGGGTTACAGAATGTCATATCAAAAATGGATGGTTATGGGGAGACTTCCTTCTTTCATTCACTGACTCATATTGGCAGGGGCCTGTTTCACGATCACTGCAAAATGGGGTGATGGGGTAGCCCAGTGGTTAAAGCATTTGCTGACTTAGCTCTCTTGGCATTACACCATTTCCATCACCTAATTTCCATGTCACATGACTGGTACATTTCACTGGTGTGTAAGCAAATGAACTTCTTCTAAACTCAGAGCAGTCCACTCTGTTGTACATCTTTCCTTGTGATTTGCTGAGGTAAAATGAGGATGTTAAGGACAACTTTGATGAATACTTCTTTGCATATTTTGTCATACTCCTTAAAGTTGCATAATGTCCATTCAGTACAGTGATTATTGTTAGTTTTCCCAGATGGTTTGTTATCAAACGTGGAACTGTAATAACCGTTGTAAGCATAGAATAAGTATGCAAATGGAAATTGTTGGTAGCTGGAGGTTAAGATCAAGATTTGTAACCATTGTCTTTTGTTTTCAGAGGACCTCGTGGCTTTCCAGGTGTTCGACGGGAAACCTTCTTGAATGGGGTAAAGAAGCATTTCTGTTGTTTGAGAACATGAATATTTATGGACTTGATTACTAACTCTACAGACCGCCTCCGTGGTGTAGTGGTTAGAGCGTCCACCCGGAGAGCGGAAGGTCGCGGCTTCGCTCCCCGACCGTGTCATACCAAAAGACGTTAAAATATGGTACTTGTTGGTCCCTGCCTGGCGCTCGGCATTAATGTGTACAAGGACTGGTCGGCTCGGACTCAGTATAATGTGTCTGAGTGGGGTATTCATGCTTCACTGCGGCATGGTATCTCAGTGGGCTAGCACTATAAAACCAGCTTCAGTCTGGACTAGTACAAGCAGCCGCACCTACACATACACATGCATGAGAGTCGTCATATGAGCGAAATATTCTCAAGCACGACGTAAAACCCATTTTCACCTCACCTCACCTCACTAACTCTACATCATCTGAAGTTTTATTTCTGGTGGGATTGAATCATTTTCTTCAGTGTGTTTATCTATACCATTGTTACGGTTGTTTAAATAAGGATATCTAATATGAACTACTATTTCAGTCCTACAGTGACTACATGAGAGAGTTTGCCCACAACCGACCTCCAGTTCCTCCCATGGCACCGTATGGTCCACCGGTAAGCCATTACTTCAGTCATGGGGATGAGAGTGTCTTCTGGTTCCCATTCTTGTTGTTATAATCAAGGAATTCATTGAAAGTTGGCACACTTCAGGTTTACTTTCTTTTAAGTAGGAGGCAGGCCCTTTGTCCTTCAGAACAGGTCTATGTAGTTGTGCTTTGATTTGCTGTTTTGGGTGTTGGAATCAGAAATTTGCCCTTAATATGGTCTTTGCACCACTTTGTTGCTTTGCATGGGGACTTCAGCAAAATAACTAATACTTTTAAAAGTATTTGGACTACAGTCAGCCTAGATGTCCAATGTGTGGCAATGGACTGTTTGAAGTTGCGTCCCTCAGTCCAGGCATGATCCCATGATCATTGGCTTGGATGATTCATCCTGACAATAGTCATTGGTTTGTCAGCATCATACCTGTGCTTGTAGGATTCACACAAACTTGTAAAAGTATTAGGTTTTGGTTCAGGTTTTCCTCCTACATTAACACGTTGACTGCCATCATGACAATAGCTGTAGTATCAATTCTTGCAGATTTGCCACTACAAGTTACCTCGTTGCTATATCAGTGGTATTGTAAGGCAAGTTTCACATGTTGACAAAATAGGCACAAGAAGCAATCGGCTCCTGGCGGTAACAGAGAACACAAGATGTTTGTTTCTTGTGCCTATTTTGCCAACATGTGAAACTTGCTTTACAATACCACTGATAAAGTTACAAGATAACTAATAGTGGCAGATTCTATACCACTGATATAGCTACAAGATAACTCGTAGTGCCAGAATTGATACAAGTATACTCGTGATAGGCAGTCACTGTGTTAAGCTAGACTAAGGTTCAGTGCAGAGTGGAAACAAATGTCCTGTTGTGTTGCCATGATTGCCAGCTATACCTTGTTGAAGTTGTCGACATTCACATAATAGTATGTATAACACAGCAACTGTTTGTAATTTAAAATGCAGCCTCCTGGCTACTTTGAGCCGCCACCATCGTACACCACCCACTATGATAACCGTGCACCCCGGGACTTCATGTCTGGCCCCAACTACGGAGATATGTCCATGAACAGACAGCGGAGGGATGGCAGAGAACCTGATAAACGCTCGGTACATATTTTCACTTACTATTTATTTGTCTTCAGGTGGTATGCAAAGTAGATGTTTTTCATGGCAGGATTCTAGATGCAGTCATTGTCTTAGAAGAGTTCATGTGACCCAACAAAATACTTTGTCAACGAGCAATCTTACAAAATGAAAACTATCAACTGATTCATGAAACATCTTTGTAGAATCTGATACACAGTAAACTACAGTTAAAACAAACTCATAGGGACCGCCAATTTCCACTTAAATATACCGCCAATTTCTACTAAAATATACCAGCAGTGGTTGGGATAAAAAATATGTTTGTTATATCATTCAGTTTGTTCATAAGTTTGTTTGTAAATGCATTTTACTGTACTTATACTACACTGTACAACTGAACAGCTGATTTAAGTACATAGTATTTGTCCATGTACCAGCTGTACAATATTTTGATATTACACTGAAGAGAAGTTAGTGTTATTATTTTGCATTTTCTGTTCACAGTACGAGAGAGAAGTGAATGAGTTTCTTCGGCGAACAAGTCATGGCACACTTGGCAGTAGTCGAGATCGGGAACGGGACAGGGATCGTGACCGTGATCGAGAAAGGGATCATGATAGAGATAGGTCACGCGAGAGGGACAGGCGTCATCGAGACCGTCGATAATGGGATGCAGTGAGATCCAGTTGTACAAAGAGGGGTTCTGTGAAGCTTTGTGGTTTATGCTCATGGGGTTGTGTGAATGAGGGATAGCCTTGAGATGTGTTCAACACTGTTGCTACCCAACTGTGGTCAAAATATTTTGTAGACATAGATAGGAAAGGCGATGTTAAACTGATTCAGTATGTAGTTTTACTGTTGAAATGCCAAGAATATTAAAGAGAAAAAAGTCTTATGAAAGAGGCATGTATTGACGACAAAGGCAGTATGTGTGTGGAGATATTCCTGGTGCGTAGCATGTTGAATCACATGGTATGTTGATGAAAGAAAGAACAGTGGAGGGTGAATGTAAACTGATCTGAACAAAATAGAAATGTCTTTATCATTCTGTATGATATACTGTCCATTGTTCTCATCCATATGCAAATCTCTCATCCACAGTTGTCTTCTAGATCTGCTAGTGATACTGTTAAAACACATCAGTGCATTTATGAAAATTAATAGTGGTGCACAAGTGCTGTCTTCAGACCAATGTTTCTGAGTACCTTTGGATATGGAAAATGTCCAAGTTTGTATTGGAAAGTGAAAGAGAATTGTTCCTTGATTATTCTTATTACCATTAGTTAAATTTTGTTTGTGCTTTTGTGATTTGTTTCCTAAGCTGAATGTGATGCAAGTTACACTTGAGTTAACTTTTGTAGATCTTTGTATACCATATTTTGATAGTCTTGAACTGTTGATAAACCTGAAATAGAACTGCTTCCATCCCAAATGACAATTTTCAATAAATGTTATTTAAAACAGAGATACTGCAGGGATGCACTTAAACATGAAAAGGCTGCTTTAAGATTTATACCTACAAATTTAAGGCATGTTTTTTTCACTCGTAGCACCAGTAGAACCAATGTACATTCACTCTGCAGGGATTGGGATAGATAACTTTGACAATGGGCCATTTTCAGGTTTATTTGCCATTTTCAGGATTATTAGCCATTTTCTGAATTTAGAATGGGCCACTGCCCTTGTATCAATAGTAAACTTCAAAATTTTAATTATGGCCCATGGCCTACCTTTCCCAATCCCTGACTCTGTGTGTATCACTTATGCTAAGTGACTATCTGTATGTTTATGAGTTGATGAGTATAGTTGGTTACAGAAACAACAAAGACTATTCTAGGTATGTGTATGTTTTGATATGGCAATATACTTCATAAGAACATGACTAATATGTTTTGTATTGTCCAGTCATTTGCAATTAATCATTAAGGAATATTTAGGAAATGGGAAATCTTGTACTGTTTCTTTTATGTGTTTTTGTAATCAGAACAAAGTTGGGGCATTTTGCAGTATTTGCAGACACCTTTCTGTCCTGCCAGTGTATTGTGACATAAACAGTGATTTTGTACTACACTCTGTGATGATTCAGTGCATTTACCATGTTTAACACTCTTTCTGGTGGTCACTGTTTCCCTTGAGACACATGACTTCTACATTGAAATGCCTTAATTGCATTGATGTATTTTACTTGTAAAGAAAACGTATAATTTGTTTGCTGTCTTGTTCTGTGGCCATCTTGCTGTTACATATCCAGTCTCATCAATTCATTGTGTGGAAGAGATAATGATATGAAATCCTGTAGATGTCCATTTGTTTACGATCCTTAGATTTTGCTGAAATCCTGTGAAAGAAACTCGGTAGTAACATCATATTAATTCCCTACTCATTTGAAGGCATCACATTGTTGTTTCATCAAGCCCAAATTTCTTGTATGATCATCATTGATTACAGTTTTTCAGTCTTCGTACAATTGAGATAACCTTCCCATATGTCAGAAGTTATTTACTATATGTTATGATGAGTTACAGGTGTCTTTATTCAATGGCCTGTATGTTTTAAATTTCCTGAAAAACAATATATCTATTAAACCTTCAGATTCATTGACATACTTTCATTACTGACAGCTGATGGTAGTTTCCTATAGTGTGTTCTGGAGAGACCTTTGCTGGATTATTTGTTCTCATCGGCCTTTGGAAGGTTAACATTTTAACCAAGTAAATCATATCGTGAACATACATGATGAAGACATAGTAATTTGTCCTCTAACCATCATTTGATATTTTTAATATTTCTCATTTGTTTTTGGCATTCATGTTGTTTAAATGGTATGTCATACTTAGCAATAACTTATTAAATGTGTCAACTATAAGGGCCCTGTCATCAGAGTTGTCATGGAATACTACAGAAAGTGGAGAAATGTACATTTTGTATGTAAGTGAACTACATATAGAGAATAAACATGAAGCAAAACAGGAACAGAAAATAATACCTGTGCTTATGAATGGTCAGATGTAACAAGTACACTTTTTACAATCATACATTTGCTTCGTTTCATAACCTCAATTGCCATGATGGTGAAATATTTTCTTTTCAGATTTGTTTGTGGTAGAAGGTTACATGTAATTAAGTATTATCAGATAGTTAGGTTAAAGGTTTTTAAGTCTCTTGAACTATAAGGATAGAGGGGACTGCTTGGTCTTTGATTTGTGAAAAACATTACAGATTGACAGTATTAGTTGATTAATTTTTCAGAAGTCAGGCAGGCAACCTGAAATTTTGACATTTGCTGGACTTAAATACAAAAAAGAAAACCATAACTGAGGTTGAACGATGCCTTGTATACTCTCAGATGTTGTTGTGACCATCTTATTTATCCTGTTTGTGCAGTATTAATACATGGTTTAGAATACGGACGTCAGAATTTGCTATTTTCTGTGCAGAGTTAGGTCCCTTGGATGTATCTGGATGTTCAGGTGAGGATTAGAACCCCTGATTCTCGTTCATTTTCCCCAAGAGTTTAGAGTCTGTAATAGATACAGTGATCTGAGGACATTTAGCTTTCTCCTTCATAAGATCGGTAATGTAGCTGAAGTCCTCGTAGAATGCTTTCACTTGCTTAACCAAAGTGATTAAACTTAGGCTTTCATTTAGTTAAGTCATTTTTGTTTTCTATGGAAATTTGAATGCCTTCACATGGAAAGCTTAGTCTGTTTTAGTCTTTCTGATATTCACATTTTAGTTTAAAACTTAATGATTGAGTGTAAGTTTTAAGAACTTAAGATGCCCTTTCCTTGGTAAAAAACTATAGTGTTCTGAGCCAAAGAAGAATATTGTCGGTCCACACATTTCATTATTTAGTTCATAACACAGTCATCGTGTACATAAATCTGTCTCATTGTTTTCATATCAGAAGGTCTTCATGAAACACTCAAATCGGTCACACTTGTCCTTCATGTACAAGTTTTAAAATGTATTGTAAATAAATACTTTATAAGATATCACTTGTTTGTAATGCAAGACCATCTGTCCTGGGAGTGGAACACTACAGCTGTCTGGATTTGTGCATATGAAATATCCTCAACCTGTGCCCATACTGTATAGGGGCATGGAAGCCCCAGTCATCGGAGGTGCTGTTGTGGTGATCACAATCAAGGGTTTTCCAAGCACCACAATTCAATGTATTGTGCAGCCATGGCAATTTTCCGCTGATCCGCGGATTTTGTTTCAAATTGTTCAATTGTGAATCGCCTAAATCCATTGAGAAACCCTCAACATGATGACACAATATTAAGTTTTCAGCTGAAAATAGATTTTCCTGTTGCCATCCCTGATTGTGTGGCACTAAACTCAGCACACTAATTACTGGAACAATTCTTAACCTTTGGTATGGGTACTACTCTGAAAGCATCTACACGTCTTTCTTTGTCATACACATTGGCATGTCAACTTAATTGTAAATGTACTTGCAATGTGCATTTTTTGTGATGACTGACCATTAATTGTCCCTGACAGTTGGCAGCCATTGCAGGATTTGGTTTGAAGAAACTGGTACTGGAAGGTAGTTCTGGAACTTGAGATCTTTTAGTAACAAAAAACACTGAAATTGTAAAATGTTTTATTTCTGAATGAAAAAAAAAGAAATTTGTTCAAATACCCACGATTTCTGATAATAATAGTCAATTTATGCTACAAACAAAACGTATGGGAACACCCTAAAATTTGAAAGTCATATATAAACTTAAACGTGGTGAGGTCATCTATACTCTTAGGTAAATGCATAGGTGTGCTTTATGGGCACTTTAAACGACATGTTAGAACGAGCAGTGAAGCAACCGAGTCAATATTCGTTAGTTTGAGTGAAGTGCAAAGAGAGGAACATCCAGGTGTACGTGGAGCACGTGCACAAGTGCCGACAAAGCTATTGATTCATTTATCTGAGCTGTGCCGTATCCATCCTTTCTCGCACACCTAGCTGTCCCTTTCTCTGCACTCTTCCCCCGTACCAAATAGTGAACTGTCTAAATCTTTTAATAATAGTTTGTTAAACAACTTTCTATTTTTAGGACATAAATTCTGCAGAAAATGCACAGAGTTGGTCTGATGTTTTTATTATAATCGGCGTTTCATTGAGCATTATATGTTTATCAGTTTTTGAGTTAGATCCCAATCCATTTTGAGCCAAATGGACTATAACTTCAACTGATACTTCAAATACTCATAATACTTGTACTGGACAAAAATGTATGTATACATGCATGACAATATATCACAAATAGAACCATTCCACTAAACATAAATGAAAGACATCAGTGTATAATATGTAATTGATATAATCAGCACATTAATGATGTTTTATTACGTTTTGTCCTTCAGGTAAATCACTCATTTGTACCTCACACTTTGGAGTTGGTGTGTGTTTAGTGACATTCAAACCCCTGGTTTGTCGGCAGAGTATACACACATCTAGTTAGTATTACATTTGTAAATTGTTTCCAGGCTTCACTACTTCATGGCAACCATATACCCTTATAAGGGTGGTAAGGTAGGCCAGCTGTTCTGCTGTTGTCAAGCATATGACCCATTAAGATCTGGGTTAGAATTGGTCTTTAGCAACCAATGCTTGTTATCAGAGGTGACAAACAGGATCCGGTGGTGGACCTGGTTGATGTATTGTCATCGTATGTATAGATAGATGCTTATGATTTCAGTCACTGGATTGTCTGGCCCATACTGTCATCACAAAGCTAGAAAATAGGTGAGGGTGTCATTAAACAAAACACAAATCAAGCTAAAGAGTCTCTAGGGGTACAAAGTAAAATCATTTCTTCGGTTTACAATACAAATATACTGTAGTAAATGTGCTGGTCAGAGGGTAAAGATCTTTCTGACTTGTGGCGGTGGGGTAGCCGAGTGGTTAAAGCGTTTGCCCGTCATGCCAAAGACCTGGGTTCGATTCCCAACAAGGGTACAAAATGTGAAGCCCTTTTCTGGTGTCTCCCACCGTGATATTGCTGGAATATTGCTAAACGCGGTATGAAATCATACTCACTCACTCTTCCTGACTCGCACAGACTTTGAAGAAGAATGCTGTATTTAACAATGATCATCATACATGTTGAAACAAAACATGTAGAGGAGTAAAAGTGTTGCTGAAAAATCATACCAAACAATAAGTCCCTGTTAAGGTTACAATCACAGATACCCGTGAAGAACTGGTCTTCGACAACCAATGGGGTCAGGTCGTCAGGCTCGCTGACGCACATCATATCTCAACTGCTCATGATGTTGATCACTGGATTACCTAGTCCAGATTCAATGAGTTACAGACAACAGCCACATAGCTAGGGTGTGGCATTAAACGTTACAACAACCAATCAAAACAAATATGAAAATTGGCAGTATCACAGCTCTGTCCTACAAGTACAATCTTGATCCAATGAGTTTCTCATCATTCTGACATGGAGGTTGAATACGAGGAGTTACAGGAAAATGTTGCATTGAAAATGTTTGTAAAAGTACCTATTGGAAAAGAAATTCATTTCTCTTAAAGAAAAGACCACTTGCCGTACATGGTCATGGATCCCAATGAACTTTAAGTAACATTATCATCAGTTTCAAAACATACATTGCTAGCTTAGTAAGTCTAGAACCACATATAAGAAATTCAATGTATTCAATATGGCTCGTGAAAATAAACTTAAATCTTATACAACTGACAGATCCAACTGCTACTTCAGTTTTCTGATTCCTTCAGAGTTTTGAACTAATGCTTGACAGTAATGCTGTCATAAGAGGCAACTAACAGGTTCCGGCGGTCAGGCTTTCTGACATGTCATCTTATCCCACATGAGTAGATTAATGCTCATACTGTTTATCACTTGATTGTCGCATCCAGACCGCTGCCTTTTAGCCATAATACTGCAACAAACGAAAAAAACATTCTAATATGAAAATCGGGAGTATCAGAGTTCAAATCTTCAAGTACAACTAGATCCAGTGAGTTTCATATCCCTGGTGGTTCATTAAGGACAGCAAGTCATTGTGAGAAGATCGTCCCTGTTTCATAACACGAGCACAGTATTACAACTGTCATGGGTTCAATCCAATGTCTTGCTACAATATTCCTTATTTGAAACACTCTGTTTCCGTCCATCTCCCACTATTATCGTCATGATCTACATCTAGTTAATCTTTTGCTCCACTTCCTTTCCACTGCTGCTGTATTTCTGTTCATTGGTGCCATTGTTCAAGGATGAGTTTTCGCGTTTTTGCACTTTGTCTGGGTCTTCTGAGCTAGTAAGTTGAACATCCGTTATAATCTGTTGTCCATCTGTCCTGCGATAAAAGCGGCGGGCAGGCAACGCCAGAAGGAACATTTCCACAATGACAATGAGATGGTTCCAAACTGAAATTGAAAACAGAGCCTATTAACATCATTTGCAGGTAGATACCAGTCATTTGTTGGGTGTTTCAGAAGAAATCAGGATTATCACCAAAGAGTCATTAGGGAACGGTTTTAAAAAATTGGGGGAAGGTTCTGAAAAAATGGACATTTTATAATAAAAATTAAAATGCTTTTGCGTTTTGTCTTTTAGGAGAGGGCATGTATTCGGGAAGGGTAATTATTTCCAGTATTTTAAAAGTCCCATAGTTCACATCTTTCTTTTATCAGTTGGAGTTAACTGATAGTGTCTGAAGTAATGTTACAGGATGTAGGTCGTTATCGGCCATATATGATCCTATTGCCTCATACTGAAGCATGGACACAGGAGGTCCTTGATGGCCAGATGTGACACTTACCATTGCTTGTACATTATTAGACGGTAATGGTGTACAGATAAGGAGCTTGCTGCTGGCCAGATGTGACACTTACCATTGTCTTGAGCATTAAAAGGCAGTGCTGTGCACAGTGAAGAAGGTTGTTGTTGGGCAGACGGACTACTTTTGACAACAGATGTGAGACTTACCATCGCCTCCTGCACTAGGAGACGGTACTGTGTACAATGAAGAAGGTTGTTGTTGGGCAGAAGGACTACTTTTGACAACAGATGTGACACTTACCATCGCCTCCTGCACTAGGAGACGGTACTGTGTACAATGAAGAAGGTTGTTGTTGGGCAGACGGACTACTTTTGACAACAGATGTGACACTTACCATCGCCTCCTGCACTAGGAGACGGTACTGTGTACAATGAAGAAGGTTGTTGTTGGGCAGAAGGACTCCTTTGACAACAGATGTGACACTTACCATCGCCTCCTGCACTAGGAGACGGTACTGTGTACAGTAGTGAAGAAGGTTGGCACTGGGCAGAAGGACTACTTTTGACAACAGATGTGACACTTACCATCGCCTCCTGCACTAGGAGACGGTACTGTGTACAATGAAGAAGGTTGTTGTTGGGCAGAAGGACTACTTTTGACAACAGATGTGACAATTACCATCGCCTCCTGCACTAGGAGACGGTACTGTGTACAATGAAGAAGGTTGTTGTTGGGCAGAAGGACTCCTTTTGACAACAGATGTGACACTTACCATCGCCTCCTGCACTAGGAGACGGTACTGTGTACAGTAGTGAAGAAGGTTGGCACTGGGCAGAAGGACTCCTTTTGACAACAGATGTGACACTTACCATCGCCTCCTGCACTAGGAGACGGTACTGTGTACAATGAAGAAGGTTGTTGTTGGGCAGAAGGACTCCTTTGACAACAGATGTGACACTTACCATCGCCTCCTGCACTAGGAGACGGTACTGTGTACAGTAGTGAAGAAGGTTGGCACTGGGCAGAAGGACTACTTTTGACAACAGATGTGACACTTACCATCGCCTCCTGCACTAGGAGACGGTACTGTGCACAATGAAGAAGGTTGTTGTTGGGCAGAAGGACTACTTTTGACAACAGATGTGACACTTACCATCGCCTCCTGCACTAGGAGACGGTACTGTGTACAGTAGTGAAGAAGGTTGGCACTGGGCAGAAGGACTCCTTTGACAACA